AAAAAAATTTTCTCAAATTTGAAACTTTTTTGGATTTTTTTGCATATCCGGGATCATAGATTTTTTGAAAAATGACTAACTTCTTTTTTGACAGATACCGGCCTGAAATTTATCGGAGACTCCACAAACGGTCTTGGGAACGTATCTTAAGGCATTTTAGATGGTTTCCAGGAAAAAAAAAGTGTTTTCTGAAACTTGAGAATTTTTTCAATTTTTTCTAGGTTAAGAGTGATAAAATTTAATTCTTGACATGACTCTCTCCTTTCAGATATCACTTGGAAGGTCAATGAAACGTCTTCAAATAATCAAGAAAGGTATTTTATTGCAATTTTAGCTGTTTCAAGCAAAAAAGGTTTTACTCAAATTTGACACTTTTTTGGATTTTTTTGCATATCCGGGGTCACATATTTTTTGAAAAATAACTAATTTTTTATGAGAGATACGGGCCTGAAATTTATCGGAGACACCACAAACGGTCTTGGGAACGTATCTTGAGGCATTTTAGGTTGTTTCGAGCCAGAAAAATGTTTTTATCAAATTTGACACTTTTTTAGATTTTTTTGCATGTCCGGGGTCACAGATTTTTTGAAAAATGACTAACTTCTTTTTTGAGAGATACCGGCCTGAAATTTATCGGAGACTCCATAAACGGTCTTGAGAACGTATCTTGAGGCATTTTAGGTTGTTTCGAGCCAAAAAAAAATTTTCTCAAAATTTGACACTTTTTTAGATTTTTTTTGCATATCTGGGGTCACAGATTTTTTGAAAAATGACTAACTTCTTTTTTGAGAGATACAGGCCTGAAATTTATCGGAGACTCTATAAACGGTCTTGGGAACGTATCTTGAGGCATTTTAGGTTGTTTCGAGCCAAAAAAAGTTTTTCTCAAATTTGACACTTTTTTGGATTTTTTTGCATATCCGGGGTCACATATTTTTTGAAAAATAACTAATTTTTTATGAGAGATACGGGCCTGAAATTTATCGGAGACTCCACAAACGGTCTTGGGAACGTATCTTGATGCATTTTAGATTGTTTCGAGCCAAAAAAAATTTTCTCAAATTTGACACTTTTTTGGATTTTTTTGCATATCCGGGATCATAGATTTTTTTAAAAATGACTAACTTCTTTTTTGCGAGATACCGGCCTGAAATTTATCGGAGACTCCATAAACAGTCTTGGGAACGTATCTTGAGGCATTTTAGGTTGTTTCGAGCCAAAAAACTTTTTTCTCAAATTTGACACTTTTTTGGATTTTTTTGCATATCCGGGATCATAGATTTTTTGAAAAATGAATAACTTCTTTTTTGAGAGATACCGGCCTGAAATTTATCGGAGACTCCACAAACGGTCTTGGGAACGTATCTTAAGGCATTTTAGATGGTTTCCAGGGAAAAAAAAGTGTTTTCTGAAACTTGAGAATTTTTTCAATTTTTTCTAGGTTTAGAGTGATAAAATTTAATTCTTGACATGACTCTCTCCTTTCAGATATCACTTGGAAGGTCAATGAAACGTCTTCAAATAATCAAGAAAGGTATTTTATTGCAATTTTAGCTATTTCAAGCAAAAAAGGTTTTACTCAAATTTGACACTTTTTTGGATTTTTTTGCATATCCGGGTTCACATATTTTTTGAAAAATAACTAATTTTTTATGAGAGATACGGGCCTGAAATTTATCGGAGACACCACAAACGGTCTTGCGAACGTATCTTAAGGCATTTTAGGTTGCTTCGAGCCAAAAAAAAATTTTCTCAAATTTGAAACTTTTTTGGATTTTTTTCCATATCCGGGATCATAGATTTTTTGAAAAATGACTAACTTCTTTTTTGACAGATACCGGCCTGAAATTTATCGGAGACTCCATAAACAGTCTTGGGAACGTATCTTAAGGCATTTTAGGTTGTTTCGAGCCAAAAAACTTTTTTCTCAAATTTGACACTTTTTTGGATTTTTTTGCATATCCGGGATCATAGCTTTTTTGAAAAATGACTAACTTCTTTTTTGAGAGATCCGGGCATGAAATTTATCGGAGACTTCACAAACGGTCTTGGGAACGTATCTTAAGGCATTTTAGGTTGCTTCGAGCCAAAAAAAAATTTTCTCAAATTTGAAACTTTTTTGGATTTTTTTGCATATCCGGGATCATAGATTTTTTGAAAAATGACTAACTTTTTTTTTGACAGATACCGGCCTGAAATTTATCGGAGACTCCACAAACGGTCTTGGGATCGTATCTTAAGGCATTTTAGGTTGTTTCGAGACAAAAAAATTTTTTCTCAAATTTGACACTTTTTTGGATTTTTTTGCATATCCGGGGTCACAGATTTTTTGAAAAAAGGACTAACTTCTTTTTTGAGAGATACCGGCCTGAAATTTATCGGAGACTCCACAAACGGTCTTGGGAACGTATCTTGAGGCATTTTAGATTGTTTCGAGCCAAAAAAATTTTTTCTCAAATTTGACACTTTTTTGGATTTTTTTTGCATATCCGGGATCATAGATTTTTTGAAAAATGACTAACTTCTTTTTTGAGAGATCCGGGGCTGAAATTTATCGGAGACTTCACAAACGGTCTTGGGAACGTATCTTAAGGCATTTTAGGTTTTTTCGAGCCAAAAAAATTTTTTCTCAAATTTGACACTTTTTTAGATTTTTTTGCATGTCCGGGGTCACAGATTTTTTTAAAAATGACTAACTTCTTTTTTGAGAGATACTCCATAAACGGTCTTGAGAACGTATCTTGAGGCATTTTAGGTTGTTTCGAGCCAAAAAAAGTTTTACTCAAATTTGACACTTTTTTGGATTTTTTTGCATACCCGGGATCATAGATTTTTTTAAAAATGACTAACTTCTTTTTTGACAGATATCGGCCTGAAATTTATCGGAGACTCCACAAACGGTCTTGGGAACGTATCTTGAGGCATTTTAGATTGTTTCGAGCCAAAAAAATTTTTTCTCAAATTTGACACTTTTTTGGATTTTTTTGCATACCCGGGATCATAGATTTTTTGAAAAATGACTAACTTCTTTTTTGACAGATATCGGCCTGAAATTTATCGGAGACTCCACAAACGGTCTTGGGATCGTATTTTAAGGCATTTTAGGTTGTTTCGAGCCAAAAAAAATTTTTCTCAAATTTGACACTTTTTTGGATTTTTTTGCATATCCGGGGTCACAGATTTTTTGAAAAAATGACTAACTTCTTTTTTGAGAGATACCGGCCTGAAATTTATCGGAGACTCCACAAACGGTCTTAGGAACGTATCTTGAGGCATTTTAGATTGTTTCGAGCCAAAAAAAATTTTTTCTCAAATTTGACACTTTTTTGGAATTGTTTTGCATATCCGGGATCATAGATTTTTTGAAAAATGACTAACTTCTTTTTTGACAGATACCGGCCTGAAATTTATCGGAGACTCCATAAACGGTCTTGGGATCGTATCTCAAGGCATTTAAGGTTGTTGCGAGCCAAAAAAAATTTTCTCAACTTTGACACTTTTTTGGATTTTTTCGCTTATCCGGGGTCAGAGATTTTTTGAAAAATGACTAACTTCTTTTTTGAGAGATCCGGGCCTGACATTTATCGGAGACTCCACAAACGGTCTTGGGAAAGTATGTAAAGGCATTTTAGGTTGTTTCAAGCCAAAAAAAATTTTTCTCAAATTTGATAATTTTTTGGATTTTGTTGCATATCCGGGGTCAGAGATTTTTTGAAAAAATGACTAACTTCTTTTTTGAAAGATCCGGGCCTGAACTTTTTCGGAGATTCCATAAACAGTTTTGGGAACGTGTCTTGAGGCATTTTAGATTGTTTCGAGCCAAAAAAATTTTTTCTCAAATTTGACACTTTTTTGGATTTTTTTGCATATCCGGGGTCACAGATTTTTTGAAAAATAACTAACTTCTTTTTTGAGAGATACCGGCCTGAAATTTATCGGAGACTCCACAAACGGTCTTGGGATCGTATTTTGAGGCATTTTAGGTTGTTTCGAGCCAAAAAAATGTTTCTCAAATTTGACACTTTTTTGGATTTTTTTGCATATCCGGGGTCAGAGATTTTTTGAAAAAATGACTAACTTCTTTTTTGAGAGATACCGGCCTGAACTTTTTCGGAGACTCCATCAACGGTCTTGGGAACGTATCTTGAGGCATTTTAGGTTGTTTCGAGCCAAAAAAAATTTTTCTCAAATTTGACACTTTTTTAGATTTTTTTGCAGATCCGGGGTCACAGATTTTTTGAAAAATGACTAACTTCTTTTTTGAGAGATACCGGCCTGAAATTTATCGGAGACTCCACAAACGGTCTTGGGAACGTATCTTAGGCATTTTAGGTCCTTTCGGGGAAAAAAAATCTTAAGGGATTGTAGGTCGTTTCGACCAAAAAATAATGTTTTCTGAAATTTGATAAATTTTTCAATTTTTTCTTTGTTTAGAGTGATAAAATTTTAATTCCTGACATGACTCTCTCTTTTCAGATATCACTTGGAAGGTCATTGAAACGTCTTCAAATGATCAGAGAAAGGTATTTTATTGCAATTTTAGCTGTTTCATGCAAATAAATTTTGTCCCAAATTTGACACTTTTTTGAATTTTTTTGCATATCCGGGGTCACAGATTTTTTGAAAAATGACTTACTTCTTTTTTGAGAGATCCGGGCCTGACATTTATCGGAGACTCCACAAACGGTCTTGGGAAAGTATCTTAAAGCATTTTGGTTGTTTCGAGCCAAAAAAAATTTTTCTCAAATTTGTTAATTTTTTGGATTTTGTTGCATATCCGGGATCTAGATTTTTTGAAAAAATGACTAACTTCTTTTTTGACAGATACCGGCCTGAAATTTATCGGAGACTCCACAAACGGTCTTGGGATCGTATCTCAAGGCATTTAAGGTTGTTTCGAGCCAAAAAAAAATTTTCTCAAATTTGACACCTTTTTGGATTTTTTGCATATCCGGGGTCACAGATTTTTTGAAAAAATGGCTAACTTCTTTTCTGAGAGATACCGGCCTGAAATTTATCGGAGATTCCACAAACGGTCTTGGGAACGTATCTTGAGGAATTTTAGATTGTTTCGAGCAAAAAAAATTTTTTCTCAAATTTGACACTTTTTTGGATTTTTTTGCATATCCGGGATCATAGCTTTTTTGAAAAATGACTAGCTTCTTTTTTGAGAGATCCGGGCCTGAAATTTATCGGAGACTTCACAAACGGTCTTGGGAACGTATCTTGAGGCATTTTCTGTTGCTTCGAGCCAAAAAAAATTTTTCTCAAATTTGACACTTTTTTGGATTTTTTTGCATATCCGGGATCATAGATTTTTTGAAAAATGACTAACTTCTTTTTTGACAGATACCGGCCTGAAATTTATCGGAGACTCCACAAACGGTCTTGGGATCGTATCTTAAGGAATTTTAGGTTGTTTCGAGCCAAAAAAAATTTTTCTCAAATTTGACACTTTTTTGGATATTTTTGCATATCCGGAGTCACAGATTTTTTAAAAAATGACTAACTTGTTTTTTGAGAGATACCGGCCTGAAATTTATCGGAGACTCCACAAACGGTCTTGGGAACGAATCTTAGGCATTTTAGGTCCTTTCGGGAAAGAAAATCTTAAGGGATTGTAGGTCGTTTCGACCAAAAAATAATGTTTTCTGAAATTTGATAAATTTTTCAATTTTTTCTTTGTTTAGAGTGATAAAATTTTAATTCCTGACATGACTCTCTCTTTTCAGATATCACTTGGAAGGTCATTGAAACGTCTTCAAATGATCAGAGAAAGGTATTTTATTGCAATTTTAGCTGTTTCATGCAAATAAATTTTGTCCCAAATTTGACACTTTTTTGAATTTTTTTGCATATCCGGGGTCACAGATTTTTTGAAAAATGACTTACTTCTTTTTTGAGAGATCCGGGCCTGACATTTATCGGAGACTCCACAAACGGTCTTGGGAAAGTATCTTAAAGCATTTTGGTTGTTTCGAGCCAAAAAAAATTTTTCTCAAATTTGTTAATTTTTTGGATTTTGTTGCATATCCGGGATCTAGATTTTTTGAAAAAATGACTAACTTCTTTTTTGACAGATACCGGCCTGAAATTTATCGGAGACTCCACAAACGGTCTTGGGATCGTATCTCAAGGCATTTAAGGTTGTTTCGAGCCAAAAAAAAATTTTCTCAAATTTGACACCTTTTTGGATTTTTTGCATATCCGGGGTCACAGATTTTTTGAAAAAATGGCTAACTTCTTTTCTGAGAGATACCGGCCTGAAATTTATCGGAGATTCCACAAACGGTCTTGGGAACGTATCTTGAGGAATTTTAGATTGTTTCGAGCAAAAAAAATTTTTTCTCAAATTTGACACTTTTTTGGATTTTTTTGCATATCCGGGATCATAGCTTTTTTGAAAAATGACTAGCTTCTTTTTTGAGAGATCCGGGCCTGAAATTTATCGGAGACTTCACAAACGGTCTTGGGAACGTATCTTGAGGCATTTTCTGTTGCTTCGAGCCAAAAAAATTTTTTCTCAAATTTGACACTTTTTTGGATTTTTTTGCATATCCGGGATCATAGATTTTTTGAAAAATGACTAACTTCTTTTTTGACAGATACCGGCCTGAAATTTATCGGAGACTCCACAAACGGTCTTGGGATCGTATCTTAAGGAATTTTAGGTTGTTTCGAGCCAAAAAAAATTTTTCTCAAATTTGACACTTTTTTGGATATTTTTGCATATCCGGAGTCACAGATTTTTTAAAAAATGACTAACTTGTTTTTTGAGAGATACCGGCCTGAAATTTATCGGAGACTCCACAAACGGTCTTGGGAACGAATCTTAGGCATTTTAGGTCCTTTCGGGAAAGAAAATCTTAAGGGATTGTAGGTCGTTTCGACCAAAAAATAATGTTTTCTGAAATTTGATAAATTTTTCAATTTTTTCTTTGTTTAGAGTGATAAAATTTTAATTCCTGACATGACTCTCTCTTTTCAGATATCACTTGGAAGGTCATTGAAACGTCTTCAAATGATCAGAGAAAGGTATTTTATTGCAATTTTAGCTGTTTCATGCAAATAAATTTTGTCCCAAATTTGACACTTTTTTGAATTTTTTTGCATATGCAGGGTCACAGATTTTTAGAAAAATAGCAACCTCCTTTTTGAGAGATACGGGCCTGAAAGTTATCGGAGACTCCACAAACGGTCTTGGGAAAGTATCTTAAGGCAATTTAGGTTGTTTCGAGCCAAAAAAATTTATCTCGAATTTCACACTTTTTCGGAATTTTTTGCATATCCGGGGTCATAGATTTTTTGAAAAATGACTAATTTCTTTTTTGAGAGATACGGGCCTGAAATTTATCCGATACTCCACAAACTGTTTTGGGAACGTATCTTAAGGCATTTTAGGTTGTTTCGAGCAAACAAATTTTCTCAAATTTGAGACTTTTTTGAATTTTTTTGCAAATCCGGGGTCACAGATTTTTTGAAAAATGACTAACTTCTTTTTTGAGAGATCCGGGCCTGAAATTTATCGGAGACTTCACAAACGGTCTTGGGAACGTATCTTAAGGCATTTTAGGTTGTTTTGAGCCAAAAAAATTTTTTCTCAAATTTGACACTTTTTTGGATTTTTTTGCATATCCGGGATCATAGATTTTTTGAAAAATGACTAACCTCTTTTTTGACAGATCCGGGCCTGAAATTTATCGGATACTCCACAAACGGTCTTGGGAACGTATTTTGAGGCATTTTAGGTTGTTTCGAGCCAAAAAAATGTTTCTCAAATTTGACACTTTTTTGGATTTTTTTGCATATCCGGGGTCAGAGATTTTTTGAAAAAATGACTAACTTCTTTTTTGAGAGATACCGGCCTGAACTTTTTCGGAGACTCCATCAACGGTCTTGGGAACGTATCTTGAGGCATTTTAGGTTGTTTCGAGCCAAAAAAAATTTTTCTCAAATTTGACACTTTTTTAGATTTTTTTGCAGATCCGGGGTCACAGATTTTTTGAAAAATAACTAACTTCTTTTTTGAGAGATACCGGCCTGAAATTTATCGGAGACTCCACAAACGGTCTTGGGAACGTATCTTAGGCATTTTAGGTCCTTTCGGGGAAAAAAAATCTTAAGGGATTGTAGGTCGTTTCGACCAAAAAATAATAGTTTCTGAAATTTGATAAATTTTTCAATTTTTTCTTTGTTTAGAGTGATAAAATTTTAATTCCTGACATGACTCTCTCTTTTCAGATATCACTTGGAAGGTCATTGAAACGTCTTCAAATGATCAGAGAAAGGTATTTTATTGCAATTTTAGCTGTTTCATGCAAAAAAATTTTTTCTCAAATTTGACACTTTTTTGGATTTTTTTGCATATCCGGGATCATAGATTTTTTGAAAAAAATGACTAACTTCTTTTTTGAGAGATCCGGGCCTGAAATTATCGGAGACTCCACAAACGGTCTTGGGATCGTATCTTGAGGCATTTTAGGTTGTTTCGAGCCAAAAAAAATTTTTCTCAAATTTGACACTTTTTTGGATTTTTTTGCATATCCGGGGTCACAGATTTTTTGAAAAATGACTAACTTCTTTTTTGAGAGATCCGGGCCTGAAATTTATCGGAGACTCCACAAACGGTCTTGGGAACGTATCTTAAGGCATTTTAGGTTGTTTCGAGCCAAAAAAAATTTTTCTCAAATTTGACACTTTTTTGGATTTTTTTGCATATCCGGGATCATAGATTTTTTGAAAAAATGACTAACTTCTTTTTTGAGAGATACCGGCCTGAAATTTATCAGAGACTCCACAAACGGTCTTGGGATCGTATCTTAAGGCATTTTAGGTTGTTTCGAGCCAAAAAAAATTTTTCTCAAATTTGACACTTTTTTGGATTTTTTTGCATATCCGGGGTCACAGATTTTTTGAGAAAATGACTAACTTCTTTTTTGAGAGATACGGGCCTGAAATTTATCGGAGACTCCACAAACGGTCTTGGGAACGTATCTTAGGCATTTTAGGTCCTTTCGGGAAAAAAAATCTTAAGGGATTGTAGGTCGTTTCGACCAAAAAATAATGTTTTCTGAAATTTGATATTTTTTTCAATTTTTTCTTTGTTTAGAGTGATAAAATTTTAATTCCTGACATGACTCTCTCTTTTCAGATATCACTTGGAAGGTCAATGAAAAGTCTTCAAATGATGAAAGAAAGGTATGTTATTGCAACTTTAGCTGTTTCCAGGAAATCATTTTTTTCTCAAGATTGAAACTTTTTGAATTTTTTTGCATATGCAGGGTCACAGATTTTTAGAAAAATAGCAACCTCCTTTTTGAGAGATACGGGCCTGAAAGTTATCGGAGACTCCACAAACGGTCTTTAGAACGTTTCTGAAGGCATTCTGAAGGTTTCTGAAGGTTTCTTAAAGCAATATAGGACCGGCTTGAATAGTGGATATTCCTATGACTTGTGACACTTGACAGATGATACCCAAGAAATAACTTGAAGGATGGTTACAGAGGTCTAGATAAACAGGTTCCACTTTTCGAAGCCCAATATCCTCTCTTTATTTAATTGTCTACTTCTTTTACAATCTTTTACTGTAAGTTTATGCCATATCTCTTCTCAAACCTTCAGCAGCCCGTATCGCATTTAGGACAGTTAGTCCTTCTTACTAATTTTATTGAATCATATAATCAACACAGATAAACGAGCATTTTCTTAGATGTGGATTGAAAAATTTTTGTAGCTGCCTACCCTGCAATATCTAAAACCATGCTTCGAATAAGTTATTGGATAAACAGAGGATGCAACGTTTAAAATATGTTAGCTTTCGAAATATGGGCACGTTTACGGTTTAAGTTTCCCTTTTTTGGAAACAGAGTGGTTTTGTACACCCATTCACTAGTATTGTGTGCACCATTTCTGAATTAAGTTACAATCATTTAACCTGGAAGTATGATTTGTTTTACGTATTCTCCGAAACATTTTTTCAACATTCTAATTCTGTGTGTATTTTCTCATGAATCATCATCGTTTATCCGCACCCCTCTCTCCCTTATTCTCTCCCTAAGAGATTTTCTGGTAATATACCTGGTAATATATAGACACATTCTGATTTTTAAATATTTTTTTGATGATTATTTGCTAACTATTAACGAACACTGATGAATATTTATGAATACTGTCACTATTTAATAGTGATTACAACCAATAAAGTTCTAATGTTATTCTATGTCTCTTTATTTCAAGTTTTGAAAAAGATCAAGAAAGAGTTTCCTTGAACTGAATTGATAAATATTTGATATAATTCATATTCTTCCTTTCCAGGTATGTCCATAGCAACCGGATTTGCCGCTTCAACCAGGTACTGTTCTTTCAGCTTCAGAGGAGTTTTGAGCAGACTTTGATTGGAATTATGACATTCTCTTAGGAAATTGTGACATTTTCTTAGGAAATTGTGACATTTTCTGAAAATATCTTTTATTTCAGGAAAATTGTCACTCGCCGTAAAACTTCGTGTTTTTCCTCTAGCTCAGGGTCGCATTGCCTGTAGGGTAGGGGCGTAAAACTATATTTATCCAAAAATTTCGGAAATTCCCGCTCAATGCCTTTGAGGCACTTACGTGTCTCTGTTTACGACTGTTTATCGCAGAAATTTTGGTATTTTTATTCAATGAGGAGATTGAATGTCGGTTTGTGCAGTTTACAGCATTATTTGTTCCCTCGACAATATCGCAATGGACTGGAAAACGAGACGAGAGAGATGGCTTGAAAACGAACGATTTACCATATCAAGGTGGAGCACAAATAGAGTTCTTTGGTTCTGAAAAATCTACGAATTGCTTTCTCTTGGTCAGGATATACTTCATCAACGTTTAGAACGAATTTAGAGAAGCTTAACCCTTCAGCGAACAATTCTTGGTTCCACGCGATGTTCTTTCTACCTGATTATGTTTCAGTCGCAGTCATGGAATCGAAAAAATGACTTCGCTTGGCACAGACACAGCCCTGCAACGCACAGCGAGAGCTTTGAAGAGACACAGAGGTTTGAAGACTAAACAAAGAGGTGTGGCTATCCTTCAAAAAGGTGGCTGGACAAGCTTTCAGGCATTACTTCGCAGACTCTACAATATATGCAAATCAGACAGAAGGGGTCCTGAACAGTTTTTTGAATGACGACAAATATGACGGAGATTTACTTATATTTTCACTTCGCCTGAGTCATTACTAGCTTCTGAAAAGTGGCTTACATTTTTTATGTCGACATGTTTCCAGAAACGATGCGTTGCATTTGCATTTGACGAGGCATATTGTATTGCGCAGTGGTATTTATTCACTGTTGTTTTGTCAACGTTATCAAATGAACATTTTTATGTACATTTTTTCATGACAATTGTAGAGTAGCCTAGTGCTATTTTAACTGTAATTGAGGTAGTAATTGTATTGAATATAACTACCATGCCTTATTTTATTTAAACCGTTTTTTTAATGTTCTTTGTGCTTTGTGATTATATGAATATTGATAATTTGCACAAGAGATACTTATGAAAATATACCGCCTATTGTACTCTGGCCTACAAAAGCAAAATCTATCAACAAAGTTTGTTTAGTAAGAAAAACTTATTAATGGATATATAATTCATATATAATATACATAAAGAATGCAGAGGCAGTCTCGATATTTCTGTACACATCCATATAAAAATAATTCGACTAAATGGATTGAAATGTCTCTATTTCTACCTGAAATACAAGAAGAACTTAATCACCAAGCACAAAACTTTATCGTGTCAAACTATAAAACCCAGAAGCACAGACGGCGTGCTGGGGATGAGATCGCAAGGGGGCAAGGGGTCAAAATGTTGGCCCTCGTTTAGCTATCTTCAAATTTTCCTTCAAAGTTTTGGAAATGTGCAGAAAAGTAAAAGAGCCCGGAAGCACGCAGGTCTACATCTGTCTATCTGTGGCGTACTGAAACCCCTTCAAATGAGCGACGATTGGGTTAGTGACAATTACTGACAGGATTTGATCGAGAATTTTCAAATAGAGTATGCTATTCTTTGTAATACATAACAGTATTTATGAGTATCGTTGTAGCGGCTGTATCATCAAACTGCACAAAACTGATAATCAGGGACACTATTGAGAGAGGTTGAGGGTAGGGAGGGAGCTGTAAGATCATTAAAGGCCTTTATCATGGTTGGGGGCAAACAATTGCAAAGGAAACGTTCAAGAGATGGCCGTAAATGCATCCGAATATTTACAACATCGCTCTAGACTCATGGAAGACCCTAGACAATACCTATAAGCTTCCTTGAAAATATGGCCCAAAGACCGGTGCGAGGCAGGCCTTGTTTGGGTTTACTACAGATTTGCCTGGTTGAAAAAAATTACCTGAAATTCTTTAGTTGCTGACATTATCCCGCCGCAATATATTGTATCGATTCACAACATCTTTTTACATAAGAATATCAGAACTTCCAACCCTTTAGACCTATATATCGGAACAAGCCCAGGATATAGCCATACTGTCCGAGGGCCGCACCAAGATTGCCGCCGAAGGAAAGGAAAACTTTCGAATTTTGATGCTTCTAGTTTGCTGGAAAATGCACTTTTTGTAGCAGCTTTCAATAACGCAAGCTTTCTCTGAAATATAAATTCACAGACTGAAAAGCTATTTGATGGTTTTAATGGTGTCGTTGTTTAATGTTTTAGCTTATGGAATATAATTTTTGGGACGTAATCCCTCAGCTTGTTTTTCCTATCATTTCTGATCATTTCAGTAAATCAAAATTCCTTGAACTCTCCGAATAATTTTATAAAATGGTGTCTAATCAAAGCTTTTACTGCCCAGCCCAAAATAATCGCAGGGTTCCTCAAATTACTTCTACCTCGGTACGCCCCTGGTATCAACGTTATGCACAAAATCGTGTTGAGCGCATCAAAGTTTGCAAGAAAGAAGAGGTGGTATGTTGCAAGGTGATTCTTGTTCTCTTTAAAGCGATTTATGTCCACCTTAAGTATTGTTTGATTCTTCTATGTAAATTGTCCTCGTGTGCTAGCTATTTGGCTAGATTTTCGGCGCCCCTTTAAGGTGAAAATTCATTCTGGCGCCCGAGATATTTGATATGGAGCAATTGGCTCCCGTGCCCCTCTTGCCAGCACGCCACTGGCACAGATGAGATAGTGAACATAGTTCTGAAAATATATTCTTTCAGAGTTTTAATAGAAAAATTGCTATAGAAAAAACAATTGCTTTATTTAAGTTTTTACATGCACATCATAAATTCAGTGAAAATTCAGTTTAAATTCAATTTTTTAATCAAATCTTTTTGCAACAACCTTTTGTAAACTGAGACACAGTAAACAATTAATCACAGTTCAGAGCAATTCAGCAAAACGTTTTTCAGTCCTATAAATATATATCTAATATTACCGCATATTTTGTTTAGATAGTTTGTAAATGATTCAATCTGGATGTGTAGTTTGTAGAATTAGTTAAACACTATATATGATTTTTCTCTATTTGGCAAAGGCCTAATTGCAACACAAGGAACTCCTTTCAGAAAATGGTTTGGATTAATTGGAGAGTTAAGAACACTTCTTGGCCCATTCGTTAAAATTGATGTCCTCACTTAAATTTTCCACTGCCATCATTTCGTGCCTAGAATTTTACCACCACCGCTCAAAGAAAAACAACTGACAAGAACAGAAGTCGCGCGCGGGCTTTGGCTTTACGCTGTGGCTCATCAAATGGAAGGGAGGCTAGACAAGCATTTTGACTTTGTTGCGCAGACTACTATTTCACGTTTACATAACTAACATGTGACTAATAAACAGTCATAGGGTGTCCATATCACAATATTACATCTCTCCCCTTCTTCGAAATGTCTCTTCTATAAGCAAATATAAGCAAAAACGAAACAAATAGTATGTGATTATACTGAACATTGTAAGTACTTAATGAGATAGAACTGTTCCGTTAAAGTTTGTCATCATCCTGTTTCGTACTGGATATCTAAACTGGGGTTGTTCTTTTTCCTGGTTCTGTTCATTTATATGTTCGTTGAATTCATCATCACTTTCACTGTCCTCTGAGCCGTTGTCTTTAACATTTGCTGCTCCTTTGAATACTTTAAAAACAATTTGTTTCTTGTAATTTTGTGATTATGATTTTGAGCAGTGACTCTTGAGCCTTTGATTTCTGTTACAATGGATTTGTACTGTACCGGCTTGTGAAACGATTCTTCTTTTGTTGTCTTACAAGGACTTGGTCTCCTATCTTTATTTCTGAATTCTTTGTATGATTTCTCTTGTCATGGTACTCTTTAGCTTTCTCTTTGATTTTCTTTTCCATTCCTGCCAAGTCTTTATGCTTGTTTATTGGAGCTGGACTTTCTGGCAAATGTTGTATCTTTGCTCTTATTGTTCTGTTTAACAGCAACTGTGCAGGAGATACTCCAGATACACAATGAGGCGAGCTTTTGTAATTCAGTAGTAATTGATACAGTTATTTCTTTACGTTCTTGCTCTCAATTTGAAACGTTTGAAGTAGTTTCTATAACGGTCTCATAAATGCCTCAGCTTCTGCGTCACCCTGGGGCCATAGTGGTGTATCAGGTACGTATTTGATACCCCATGATATGGCCCACTCATAACTTTGAAAAGGAGGTCCATTGTCGCTAATCAGCTTTTCTGGTATTCCATGAGTAGAAAATATCCTATCAAATTTGGGAATGACAGCGACTGCAGAAGTAGATTTTACAAAATCCACCTCTGGGAAACGTGAATAGCAGTCATAGACGACAAGCAGATATTCTCCTGATGATAAAGGTCCTTTAATGTCAGTTTTTAAGGTGTGCCATGGGCGTGGTTGTAGTGTACTTGATGCCATTGTTTCTTTGCTTTATGCTTTGCCTGTTGCTTGACATGGGAGACAATGTTCTATTTGCTTTTTGGTGAATTTGTCAATGAACTGGAACCATATTTTCTCCCTAATTAACATCTTTGCTTTGGTAATGCCCATGTGTACTTGATGTGCTAATTCTATGGCTTTCTTGCGCAATGTTCCCGGAATAATGATTTGGTTGTTTTCAATAAAAGTTTTCCTTTCGCTGTCAAAATTTGCTTTATGGAATAGAAGATTTTCAGTTCATCTTTGTTAATTTCTGGAACTGCAATTGTCTTTAATGTATGCCATTGATTACTTTTGTGCAATTCGATAACTTTTTGCAGTGTGGGGTCCTTTGATATTGCTAGCTCAATTTCCTCAATTATCATAGCGTTGGGTAATGCATGTGAGCTGGTGAAACGTACGTAGTCTTCTGCTATGTGATCTTTAGCTGTAATACTCTGATTTGGATGTCTGGATAGATAGTCGGATGGGTTGTCAGAGCCTTTTCACGATATTTAACTGTAAAATTGTAATTCTAGCAGGCGGTTTGTTGGAAGGATGGCTGTAGATTGTTTCTAGTGCCTTTTGATAAAAGATTATCTCAAAATGATTATCACCATATAGAAATTAGTGAATTCGTTCAACTCCCCATACTATCGCCAATGCTTCCCGCTCCGTCTGGGAATATCTCTGCTCTACTGGCGTTAATGCTCTTGAAGCATATGCTACAATGTTGCGCTGCTCGGGGTCTTTCGTCGACTTTTATGCTAAAAAAACATTAATACCAACAGGACTTGCGTCGTAGACAATTTCGGTGTGTTCAAATTTCTGTGACATCAAAGTACGACATTACTGGATGTGTACAGAAGACTTTCTTTAGTGTATCAGATGAAGTTTGTTGTGGAGTGTCCCATTTGAAGGTAATGTTTTTGTGTGTTAAAGTACGGAATGGTTCAGTGATTGTTGAATGATCCTGAATAAATTTCGCTGAGTACTGTGCCATTCCTAGCAGACTTCTTACTTCACCAACAGACCTTGGTGTTTCGAGATTATTAAAATCTTCAACCAGCATTGGATCCGGGCTAACTTTGGAAGATCAATCCAAAGAATGCTAATTATGTTTTATTAAATATGCACTTTGATTCATTCAGAGTTATGCTCTTGTCTTTCAATCTCTGTAACACATTTTCCAGGACACTGTTGTGTTCTTTTTGCGTTTTCCCCAAATGATGATGTCATCAGACATGTTTCTCTGATTTTGAAAAGCCTGTAGTGCCTGAGTGATAGTGTTCTGAAAATTTCAGCAGCACTGTTAACCCCAAAGCATTGACGTTTGTATTGTCTCAACCCTTTGTGTGTGGAGAATGTGGTCAGATGCCTGGAATTTGGGGCAAGAGTCAGGTGTTATTGATATTTACATAGCTAACATGTGACTAATAAGCAGTCATAGGGTGTCCACATCACAATATAACAAAAATTATGTCATGATAAAGCACTACAGACAAGATTTCATATTGTAAGAAATATATTTGATGTCAAGGTAAATTTTAAGAGACTTTGCCCCCCTTGCCCCTCCTTTCAAAGGTCAAGAGGGTTGGTTGCCCCCTGTACCCCCTCTCCGTGTAACGCTAGTCGATGTAACTCTATGATAATTTATGTTGCTAGTGTATAGTATGCATCGTTGTAATCATCTTATGATCATTAGTCAGTTTATATTCTCGCTACGAGTCGCACGATATTTTTGTCTTGTTATTCGCTCTAAAGACTACTCAAAGTAATAGTTAAAACTAGACCTATTATAGTTGGTAGAGAACCCTTTTTGCATTTGCAAGCATCGATTGATGGCCTCGTTTGCATGTTGCGGGCTCACAATTTGTGGCCCATTCTGTGAACGTGCTGATTGGGGCAAAATCCAGTTTGAAAATTTCATCAAACGATCATCGAAAATCTCATCAAGAAGTTGTGCAAATATTCTGGTAAAGATATTAGGAATTTCATGAAGAAATGAATATATGCTAGCTTATGAAGAATTTTTGCTGTAAAGAGAGATATATCCTAATCTTGATGATATATTCAACTCTTGATGATATTTTAAGGTCTTCACAAGATTCTGTCCCTTCTTGAAATTTTGGACCATTTGGCAACCCATATGATTCCTTTGTCTGTGATTCTTTGCGAATAAGCCCGAAAAGAATATTTTTGAAAACATAAACATTGCCTAGGCCAGTGCCTTTACGAACGCCGCAACAAGTAACATTTTTTTAAAAATCTTAAAACCCCGTTTACCAAAACAACCTTCTAAATGAATATGGCAAGCTGATACAGTATAGCTTATCTCTCAAATTGATGCCGATTTTCGAAAATATTGGTTTTTCTTCGTCTGCCTTGCAATTTCTCGTACTGAGCCCTTATGCGTGATTTTTTTTTTAGCCCTTATCTTATACGTACTGTATTCATAGAATTCTAACACATGATGTACATGTAGGGGAACGCATTTTTAGTAAAATTATAACAAAGCAACAGGGGAGCAAATTTTAGGCTTAGCCGTTTTTGCTATCAGAATAATTACCCTTCCCTCAACATTTTATTATTCGGATTTAGATGAAGTACAAAGTCAGTCCATACGACACAACAGGTCTGTGACGCAGGCTACCTCTTCCAAGTCCCCCCCCCCCTTTCCGCATCGCGGTCATTAAACCCTGCTTCAACAGACAGAAAGAATGAAGAACAAAGCGAAAACCACGTAGCAATCGGACAAGGTGGAAAAAATCTCAGATGTTCAACAAGGTGTCAAAATCACAGTAAAATATATGCATTAACTGCTTGAATCGTCAATTTATGTTAGAATGATGAAAAAAGAAGGAAGGTAGGATTAATTACTTAATGACTTTAAGCCAAAAGGAATTTCTGAAGCCAAACAAGTTCGAATAAGCCAAATTTCTGGAATTTTGCTTAAAAAATCCAATATACCAACCCTGCTTCGCGTGAAAACTGTACTTGCTCGATCCAGTCTTTTTTTTAAAGATCAGGGTTGCCCGAAGGAGCGTTTTTGAAATTCTCAAATTTCTTTGGCGCTCTTCTACAACGCATGCGTACAGAGGTGGTAACCAACGAAAAGTTTGTTTGACAACTGATCTTTGAAACCCGTTTTTGGCATGTGAGTATTGAATACAACTTATTTATCATTCATATAAACACGTGGTGATATTTATTTTGAATTTGATTCAGGCTATGAACTGATTTCCAACATCTGGCTTTTGAAGGTACAAGAAGACTGCCACGGATGTCCTTGATGAGTATATTGATAAATACGAAGGTAGATCACGATCAAGGCACTACACTCCCCGAGTATCCGATCTATTGTCCCCAAAACCAAAGTTTGATTTGGCTGATGCCGTCAACGACAAAGAAATGAGTAAAACGAACAGCAAACTGTTAAACTGGATAAATGAATCCTACAAGAACAGTGTGAGGAGTACGTGCAGTCCTCTCTATACCAAGGAAGATGAAGGTTAGTTTCTCCTATTAGTTCCCTGACAACATTCATCTAACTTGATTTATAGTCAACGATGTTTGACAGTTTAATCTGATTAATCCCTTTTTGTTGCAAGACTCTAACATACGTTGTAGAGTTTTAAATCTGTTTATTAAAATATATTTTTACTACCACAATGTTCATAATAGAAGCCAGTCATGTCTCCTCGTCATATTTCCTTTTTTATTGCCATTTTCATGGAAAATGACTGGAATTACTTTCATGTCACATCTTACTCTGTTTCTGTTTTGATTTTGTTTCATTAAGGTTTGAATTTTATATATTTCATTCTTTTTATTAACCTTTTGCTTAGGTATTTGCCATTAATTTTGCAAATTTGTATTTTTTCTGTGGCGTAATGCACAACACAAACACATTTAAGTGGAATTATCATACCATATATCACATCATAACATATATCATATCACATCATATACCTATCCATGAATACACTTATATGCAGCTGTTGATTAGAAATATAAAGTTGTAAAGAAGTTGTCAATTAGAAATATGAGTCCTCCAGGTCCTACCCCTATCTCAAGTGAATGGCTTTTGAATTAATTTAAAAAACTCCAGTCAGCCATATAAGTGCCAGGGTGGTGCAAGGTGTACCACGCCCAACCTTTGAAAGGCTTTGAATTAGTCAGAAAATTTTATATCAATCGGAAAATCTTAATTCCAATGCTTATTCACATCATTGAATATTATATCATAATGCTAATGCTAAGAAGTCTCTCAATTTAGAAAAGAAATTGACCTAACCTTAGTATTATCAGCCCAGAGTAGAAATATTCTGTTTTGTCAGGTGGAAATTTCCTACTCTCCCAAAATATCTGTCAATTTACATTCCTGAGTGCAATTGCACAATACATTTATGGAACTTTTTAGATTTCTTAATATTCAACCAAACAAAGACACCTAAGGCAAGAATGCACTTGCATTTCATTAGAGTCATTTTTCTAGCAATAAAATTTAAAAACTTCATCTTCCTGATAATTTTAAAAGCTGAAGATGGTTTTCAACAACATGGCAATGGGCTAATGAGCTGTAATGGATATGGTCAAATGAAAAATCTGTGATGGCAAATTCTCAGGCAAATTAAAAGGGATAAATTCTTGCAGCTTCTTGCAACTTTAAGCAACTTGTAAAGTTGTTTATACATTCACATTCTGTGATCACATAAAAAATGTGAAGTGAATATGATGAGAATTTTACTTTAATATGATCATGTAAACCAGCCTTTAGATGAAAGTCAACAAAACACATGATGCAGTATTTCCACAAATCTACAACAGATGTATAGTTATGGATTATTAAAATAGGATAATTATTACTTTGTTTTTATTATAATTTGTTTTATTGTATATTTGTATGTTTATATTCCATTATACATATGTTGTGAGGCAGGCTTAGTGATTAGAGTTGCAAATAAAACCTATTTGTTGTTTGAAATTCACTTAGATCAAAGACCTGCTCATCGTATCTGATTCAATTTACACAAAGAATTACCAGTTGTACCAAAATGCTTCAAGCTATAACTCTCTTTTGTTTTGGTTTTTATTTAAATTTATTAAGCTCCAAGCCAAGTGCCAACTGTGCCTTGCTTCTTGGAACCTATTGTTTACTTTTCCATGGCAAAATTTCATTTGAATTGAAAATTGAAGTTTAACTACCTAATTATCGTAATTTCGTGATACAAGAGATCAGCAGGAATTTAATCAAATTTTGTAAGTCATCTTTACTCTGTCAAATGAATGAACCTTTCAAAAATGATGTGTCATTATATTCTGTACAGCATTGGCAAGGTAGTTTGTCTTTCTTTGAACAGGACCAGACATTTAATTTTTGGCCTGGCCATTTGAGGAGAGCCATAGCTCTTGCTCCCTTTCAGGCTATCCTCAAATTCTGGAGGGGAGCTACAGATTGCTCTCCTAAATTGCTCTAAAAAGCAAACTGCTTTACTTGAAATCAATTCTTCTTTTGTTTAAATTTTTATTTATCTAGAAATCGCTCAGCTAGAGATTTCTAGGAGAGCTGTTTACCACACCCCTGCTAAAAGTATCATGGTCATGCTTGAATATTCTTATCATTGTTTGACAAATTTGTGACACATGTGCTAATGAAAATAGTTAAAAGCCACCTCAAATTGATAAATCTAAGACAAATGAATCTATAGGACTGATATTTTGTGGTAGAGTTATTCAGCTTTTACCAGAATGGTGGCTCAAGCATTATCCATTGATCTGTGTTAAAATATAAAAACAAAAAGGATTTTTTAACCTTTGGTTATTCTCCATCAGATTTGGTAAGTTGTTTGTGCTCCTTCTTTCTACTGGTCTCAATTTTCAGAACAAAATTATTGGTGGTCAAAGATTTTTTACTTTCTTTTGCAGGAGGGTTCAGGTCTTCTTCACCCACTAATCCAGGGCGGTTGAGATCAGTAAGTTATGATCAATTTGGAAGTTTTCGAGAAGTCTCCGTTGTTCGATCATCTCAGCAGATGGCAGATGAGCTATCTTCTCTTCCATCACCAAGGATATCAGAAGTTGACTTGGACAGTGATAAAGGAACAGTTGAAACAGATGTTCTTTTAAGTAGCTATCATGAAGATCAAAAAGGTATCTAATTGTTTGTCTTTGAAATGTCAAAATCTTTAAGTGATGTATATTTAGGAATCCCCAAATTTAAAAGTTTTTAGCAATGTCCTTGTAAGGAGATTTACACTTGAAATAACTGTTAGCATTTAGCTTTTCCATCAAATAAAACAATGTATTTCATAACTGTGATAGGTTACAAATATTTATTTGCTTCACGTATTGTGTCATGTCAAGAATTTAACACTTCAGTTTCCTGAAAATATGTAGATGAGAGACTTTTTCCAATACCAGAGCCTTGAAGTTGTTCTAGTAAATAATGCAAAAATCTATATGAGGCAAGTGCTTTCTAGCTTTCAACCTGGCTGGTGTCTCTTCCTCCCCAGATCTTGTAAAATACAATAATCAACAAGCTTGATCTTACCTCCCTCACCTCCAAACCCTCCCTCCTTTCCTTTAGTCAGGCTTTGCAATAGGCTCCTGGTCCTCTCCATAGTATTACCAACCAAAAACAACCTGTTAATTTTCTTGGCTTATACCTTTGTTTGCAGCAAATCACAATCTTTATATCAAAGTTTGTTCTATATACGGATCAAAGATACTGATAGGAAAAGAAAATACAATTCAAATAAATGGCTTTCTCTCTTACAGTTGTACCATGACTTAGTCTGCCACTTGTAAAATAGATAATGGTTTCTAAAGCAAAAGTTATTAGCTATCAATAGGTAAACTTGTTTAGTTATAATCTGTTATAATGTTATAATAAACAAGCTCAGTGCTTGCTATACTGTTATTAATATTCAATAATGTTTTTATCTTTTGATCTTGTTTTTGTAGAGGTTATTAGCTGTAAGTATTCTGAATTGCGCCCAAAATTTTTTTAAGGACAAAATCATTCTTCTTGGAAAAAGAGTAATCGTTCGAGAACTACCTACCCAAAGTGGGTGGACAATGTAAATGAATTTGAAACAAACGATGCCAGTCAAAGAAGGTATGTCTATGTTTTGGGGTTTATTTGTGATAATAAGAAGGTCAATTTAGCTCTAAGAAAAAGAAGACACAGACTTTAATATTGTCAATCAAAAAGAAAGTGTACTTAGCCAGTCATTATAAATGATACAAGGACGAAATTTTGTCGATTATGTACAAGCCTTTTGTGATGCAATTTCTAAAGTTTGCAGCACTGCACAGCACATCAAAAGGAGACTTTATAGCAGGTTTTATCACAATTCCACTTAATGTGTTTGCAAATTTTATGCTATCAGAATTGGCCCTTGAAACCCCTATGATGTGAATTTAAGTAATTTGGTGGAAGATGAGATTTTTCAACATATTGCTATCACAATGTTTCTTCTGCAGGTTGTCATCAGTATCTGTCCTTCTCAAAACCAACCCACCCAATAGTCTATTGTCTCACTCAAAGAGCATGGATACGACTGGGCTGACAATGGATGATGCTGAAAGTATTGCAACTGATGTCATCCTTGACACATCTATTTATGGAAATCGTCCCGTCAACATGGGTGGTAATTTGCATACCCCACTTTTTCAAGATAAGAGAGTAGAGGCAATATTGAACAAAAGTAGGAAGAAAGTGAGGAAACAAAAAGATGGATACCTTGCTCGTTCTCTCCATAGCTCCTCTAGGCTAAGCGATGCCATTATGTCTCCCGAAAACAGAGATGTTACCTATACAAATCAAATCTTGAACAGAAACCGTGGTAATTATGAAAACACACCAAGCGCTTCTTATTCAAGAATTTCTCCAAGGCGGGAGGCTATCAGTAGTTCTCAAGTTTTTCCCAAGAAAAATTCGGCTGACGATTCTGTTGCGAAAAAATCCCAATCTAGATCGTTTGCAGAACCGGGTGGGCAAATGTCTCTAGTAAACAGCTCTTCACTGAGCCATTTGAAAAGCTATGGTCAGCAACAATTTATGAAGAATAAATCAAAAATAGAATCAAACAGTTTTAAGGCAAGGGATTTAGCTGTCCGATTGGAAAGTAGTTCTTTTAGGCCAGACCATGGTAACTTAACACTTGGAACAAAGCAAAGAGAAAATGATAAAGTGGAAGCAAATTCACAGAGAACATCAGGCTACCATTCGGATGTTATAAGTCCATTAAACAGCCAAACAACCTATGACTTTTATGCTTCAAGCAAAGGCTCGCCACAGCGTGCAATTTCGCCTGTGAAAGATGGTGTGCCATTCGATTTTACAAATAGATTGGCAAGGAAAGACAGCAATTCTACTGACGTATTGCTACGACGACCACCAACTGGAACTAAGGTGCACCAGCGTAGTAAAACATGGAGCAGTCAGTCTTTTAGTAGCAAAGTTCCTAATGCTGTATCCACACCGAAACCTTCAACTAATTATCGAACACGTGATGCATCCACTCTGTACGTATCCGAACGCCCCAGCTCCCTGGTAACTAAAACGATTTCCAGTATTGCGTCACCAAAGGCACCTCCGTCTAGCAGTCCACATTCAACTTCCATATCAAGAGCGTATCAAATTCCGGCTGCGGGTTACTTAGGCTCACCAGGACAGGTCGAACTCCCAAGAAGAAACCGGCTCTCTGATTCAGCAATTACGACACGATCAAGGAGTGGCTTTGATTCGTACACTAACTGGAGATCATCAGCCCTAAGACCGGAGCGGTCGCCAAAATTTGTCGTGAGAAAAGAAATCATTAACGATATTCATTCTGTAGAACCTGATGACGAAAAAGTGTTAGAGGAGAAGGAAGATTCTAAAGTTGTTAACACTGACTTTGTAAATTCATATACAGTAAATGGCACAGAAGTCAGTGAAATAAATGGAGAGCTTGGGAGCCCCCATAACAGAACATGGCCAAGTCTTGAAAAGTTTAAAAAAAGAATCTCACAATATTCTAGCCGAAATAGTAGAAATGATTCTTCACCAACAAGTTGGACAGCTTCCAAACGTAGCATTCCGCTTCGTGTCAATAATGCTTCACATTCTCGTCCTGCTCCACAGATAGACGTGCCAATGGGACGCCAGTTTTCTAAATTAGCAGTTAGCAAGAGTCGTCCAAGAGAGAATGGCCCACGCAGTGAATCATTGAGTTATGCCAAATTTTCTCGTACCATGCCAGTAGCAAGTAGAAACTCTGGAACATACCTTGGAAATGACGCGAATTATTATTCTGATGATGATAATGAAACAATTGACACTGATTTGCTGCTTGCACAGCCCCCAATGCCTATAGTCGATGCCAGTCCTTCGTTGTCTACTGTTTCAGATGAAACATCGACAATAAAGGGTTCTGATTCTGGAGAATCTGGCCAAAGCTTTGTTGCGTTGCCTGTCAGGTCATCCAGTAGAGTCAGCTTTGCTCCAGATGCCAGCCTTAATCGAATAAAGAAAGTTTCGCCTCATCGCAAATTTGAATCGACAACCGGTAGATCAACTAGTGCCGATTTGATTAGCGACTATATTAACAAATCAGTCAAAAATGAAAATGAAAGAGAACATTTCAGGTAGGGTGAATCGGACGTTGAAACATAAAGATACATCTTTTCATTGCTATGACTTGTGAAAACTTTCAGCTGTTAGATTTTTAAGCATTTTTGCAAAAATGATATCTCACGTAAATGAAAAGTTGTGTATAGTACGCATAAAGTAACCAATTCGAAATGACATAGTTTTACTGCATTTATACGCTTTCTAAAATCGTGCGACTTATTTAAATTTTGATCATAGAAAGTGTTATATGTGCTAGCTGTTTAATTCTGCGATAAATGGCAAGACCCCTAACGTTCTGCATATCAAGGTCTAGAGACCCTGTAAGCAAGAAGCGTGATGTAAACAGAATTTACAACAATTTCGTCGGCTGATTCTTATGGCTTTCTTTTTTTTCAGCAGAAGTGTTAACACTGATTCGAGAGCGATGCGATCGGAACTGTTGGATTCGTTTATTGAAGATTGTATGCGGAATTCTAATAATGGATCGTACATAGTGAGTCCTCTTTTTCACTTTTCTTCTTATTGCCACTATTCTTATTGTGAAACGTTTCCGTTGCCCTTTTTAACCATTTTGTTTGCAGAGTCAGTATCCTCCAGGCACAACTGCTGCTTTCCTATCTCTCATTTGTTCTTTAGTGACGCACTGTTCGATACAATACAAAATAAGGCGTTGTCTTTCTTTACCAAATAACTTTCAAATCTCTCTTTTCCTTTTTTAAACAGCCATTTAAAGAGACTTTCGTCATTTTTGGAAGCTTTACCACCAAAGCTGACTCTAAGCTCACTTTCAAGGCGCTTTCAAAATCTACCTACCAGAATTTTCATATTGTGAGACAAATAGACAGGGAAATAACCTTAACTACCTAACCACGTGTGTTATCAAGGTTCTCTAAACTGTTTCATGATGCCAGTATGCCAGAGAATTCAAATCTACCAACTGCCATTTCAAATTTTGCTTCCTGTCACGTGACAAGGCAAAATTTCATTTTACCGTCAAAAAAAGATTAAAATTTTTTTAAATCTGAGGCAACAATTGAAAAAGCATCAGAAGAGATAAAAAATCTATAAAACACCAACCCTGTGACGTTTATATTTTAAGAGATATGGACCGTTAAACTTTCGATGATGACGTCACAAAATATTTAACTTTGCCCAATTCCTAATGCGTAAAACAAATTATTTGTTAAAAATTTATATACATACTTCAAAGCTCAAATTCACTAAAAGAATCATCTGTTGTATCATCAAAAGAATCAAGCCAGGCCCAGGCACTATCTTGGTCAGACACGGTTGTACTTGACCAGACGGAAATGGTGGGGTGTTTTTTGTTAAACGTCATTCCAGCCACGTTTCTCCTTTGCAGAGGATAAGCAGGAACCTCTCCTGATTTAACCCCCATTTTACCCCAAAACAGCGACAAATCCCCATTTACCATCACAATTCAATATCCCCAGTGGATAAAGAACTCGGAACTGGTAATCAAAATTTCCCCGCCCAAAGCGGTACTCCCCTCCCTGGCATACTGGCATCATGAAACAGTTTATAGAACCTTGACAAGACCTGCGGTTAGTTAGTTACGGTTATTTCCCTGTCTAAAAAACCTTACTGTCTTGGCTTAGTAAATGATCAAAAATTTTCACTAGTCTTTCAGATAATCGTAACTGTCCTATAAGCGTGCTACGGAATAACAATATCTCAGAACCTAGTCTTTTTCAAACTATTTTATTCCAAGAACAACTGTCATTTTGAACATCTTTGTCAGTTTGGTTTTCCTCCACAACCTATGGCGTTAAATCTTTCTAAAAGGCAAAACTGAAATTACCTTTCAATTGTTATTCTTTTATTGCTTCCAGTACCCAGGTTATTTACTATAGGCGCTCTACCTTTCCTGTGTATACTCCAATAAATCAATCGATCAACCAAATCTGGTCTTTTGTTTACAGCAAGAGCGCAACACAGTCAAAAGAACTGAAACTTACTCAGCACGTGAAGAGCCTAGAACTGTAGAAACTTTAAAGCATTTGTTGTTGAACCTCAATGATATCAGCGCAAGCGAAGAAAAGGCTCCCGTAACAGAGGTTGGTGTTAGATCAATTAATGGTATTTCGTTTTTTGAAATAAATGTCTTGGGGCACGGTGGCTTTTGCAAGAATTTCAGCCTTCTTAAACGAGTTGCAAGAGTGAATATCTAATTGAAGACTATTCATCGTTTCTGTGTTATCTAAATTGATTCCTATTGCAAACTTATTTTCGTTAAAGGAATTTTCATGTGGTTGTTTGCGCTATTTTCTTAGCTTGGCTTCATCTTGTTAGGTCGATTCAGATTACGATGCTGCATCCGGGAACACAACTGATGATGCAGCTGATGTTGTTGGTGAGCAATCTCTTGCCAGGTAAGACAAATTTATTTTTAGTTGCCTTTCGGAACTTTTGCAAGGGGTTCTAGATTTAATATTATTGTTTGGGAATTTTTTCATTCGGTATGCTCATTTGTTAGGTCATTTTAATTTTACTTATTTGGTCATTCTATCAATTTACTAGCCATCAAAATTGATCAGGCAAACTAAAAATTCATACCTTGGTCTGGTATATATTAGCTTACAATTGAAAATTTTTAGATCTTTGGTCGTCTTACCAAGACAAGGCATTAAGACCCAGATGATGTCTGTGTTTGGCCTGCATCACGCAATGTAAACCGTGTTCTATCAGTTTTCTCTGAGAAAAAACCGGCTAATCCAAACTCATTTCACGACTTTTTTGGTTACCTTATTAAATTTTAACGTCTTATGATTCGGCAATAATTTTTAAAAGGTCTTGAAATAATTCTTTAGGGGATCTCTAGAAATACGATTCAAAATCAGTAACTGTGAAGGAAAGCTTCAAAATGAGCTCAGCAGTGACGCAAGTCCTATCACCTGTCTCTTTCCCAAATTCTTTATTCCTGCAACTGTTCACCTGTGTAATTTTACACTACCTAAAAATGATACACAGCAAGCATGGAAACGACGACGTTAAGGGTCTTTCTCTAGAAAATGCTTACATCTTTCACTGTACCGTGGAAATCGCAACTATTTGAAATTTTTCTTGTTTAGTCATTAAGTTTGATATGGTAGTTACTATGCTAAATATTCACAATCAATATGTTCAGATCATATTCTTTTATTAACATTTGGTAGAGAAAATAGTTTTGAGTTTGAGCTTGGTGTGTCCTTGTATGAAGAGCTGGAAGCTAACTAGATTTTTATTTAACTGCTTAAGGTAGTTTCTCTTTAAATTGTTGTTTCTTTGATTTTCTCTATACTTTTTTAAAATTCTGTTAAATGTAGCACGACTTTTAGAGGTAACCAATACAGGCTAGTTTATTGTTATTTTTTGTTGTGTAGAGATCCCCAAATACACTCACGTTGTTTCTCAGAGCTCGTTTATTGACTAATTCATAAACTTTGATTTATTAGTGATTGTGCAGGTTGGTAAGTAGCATCTTGTGTCTTCGTTTCAGAGCTTATCACCATCTGGAAAGGCTCAAAAGTTTGATTAACAGTAGAGTTGAGAACCGAAGCGATGTTTATGACTAACGTTCGCACTTGTCTCAGGAAAGAAAGGGACAGGGATTCCCAAAGGGCATTTTCAGTGTCTCTCCCATCAACGCGTTTAAAAGGTGCGTATTTACTCCTTAAAAGCGATTCATGAAACTGACTGCACGTTATAATGTGCAGATCCTTTGATAACGTGAAACAAAATTGTCTGATGTTCCATTTATAATGATTTATGAATTCGTGTTTCCAAAAAAACCATTCTTGAAAAGAGATTTTGTTCACCGAATCACGAAGGTGAATCATCAAACTGCTAAAGTGAATCACCAAGCACGTCTTGTTTTTTCGAATCATGTCTTAACCAACCCGAATCCAGCTAAGCGGAGTTAAGAGTGACGGAGGGTGTGTGACTATAACGACATTTCTTTATAACAGTCAAAGAAAGAAAATGCCGAGAAACTGCATGTTAATTTTAGCATAGTGATTTGAATTATTTTAACTCTTTTTTGGATTTTTTGATTTGTGAATGGTAGTTCTAGAATGCCTTTTATGTGAAATGCACGATAATTGATGTAGCTATGAAAAGCACATTTGTGCACAATGATTGTTATTTAGCGTTGTTATATCTTTTTCTTCTTTCACGGCCTCTTTAAATACTGTTATCCCTGGTCTAGTTCAATTTTGATAAAGATGTACCTGACATATATATGTACTTAAAAAATATATAGATACGCATACATGTAACTCGTATAATGACTCGGTGACATATAGCTTTACATGAAACGAGCGAATCCAAACCAGCAGTATCGGTTCGTCTTGGGCAATATGTGACATCCGTGTAAGTCCGGTAAGCCCATTATATTCATAAACAAATTAGGAATATTTACTTCGAGTTGAGCGGTTTTCGTGTTAAGCAGTTTTCAAGTTAAGCGGTTTTCTAGCTAACCGGTTTTCTAAATGAGTGGTTTTCTTGTTAACCTATCTCATGTTAACTAGTGTTATGTTATATATCTACACAATGAGTTATCCTAAACTGTAAACATTGGTATTTTGATACGTAGCCCTTCATATAAGAACGCCACAGGATACATGTTAATTTTGTCGTAACCGTTGTCAATTTATCCGTAAAAACACCTCCCCTTTTTGCTAATCTTTCAGACACATATAGAATCGTGGTCATAGTACTTGGAATTTTATAGATATTTTACCATAATTGAGTAAATTCAGAAGTATTAGCAATTCTGTCAGAGTCAAACTACTCCCAGAAAGCAAATTTTTGCTTTTACCTCCATATGGGTGGATCCAAAGCAAACGCCTAGTGGTAGATCCAAAATGATGTTCTACAACCTTACATGAACATTCCGAAGTTTTTTCAAATTTATTTGATAAATCCCTTCGAAAAGTTTTCTTAGAACGACATATATTTAGTACTCGTAGATTGAACTGAGAAAGAGAATCCAGTAGGCCAGCATCTGCATAATACTCACAGCTCAGTGAAAGAATATCATTTGATGCCATTGGTGCATATAGTGTTTTTAGGTATTCAGTGTTGCCCGAAAGAATGGTGCCAAAAGTATGTATATAACTGTGTAACTTAAATGTATATCATATATTTTTATGCTGCATCTTAGATTATTTTTACAAGTTATCATTGATTGGCTTACTAATTTAAATAATTGTACAATTAGAAACATGTTTCGCAATGATTTTTAATCAAAATGAAAAAATCCTAGATTAATTTTCCAATATTTGTTGACCTTCTTTATGACCGAATATAAGTTGAAAACCTAAAAATCACTCGGCTTCGTGAAAATCATTTGCTTCCTGACATTTTAAGGTTTTTGTTTGTTATGAATAAAGAAATTTTTGTGACAGGAATATCAATGATTTCATACTTCGTTTTTCGCCGTCCAACGTGAACTCGATGTGACACACAAATCAGACCATCCTTTTTTCATTTCATTTTTTTGCTTTGATGAGCGAAACAAGTTGATAAACTACTCCAATCAAAGCATGTCATAACATGTCAGGCGAAGTTACATTTTATGCTGAAAGTGTTTGAAAAGACATTGAGTTTTTTCGTGTTTTTGAATTTATATTTTCATTTTCTCTGTCTTTCTCTCTTTCTTATATCCGTAAAACAATAGCATTCGCACCTCGATCTGCATCATTGTAGGTACTAGTAGCATAGTTTCCAAATCTTTGATTGGCTGAGCGCCCAAAATTCTGCATACCTCATTAGCCAATCAGAAATAAAGAATATGACAACAAACGTGCCTCGCAGCTAAATTTAGGCCAATTTTGGACGTTTTTACCACTACCAGCAAAAAAATAATGGTGTAAAATGTGCTAAAAGATAACCTAGATTTTCTTTTAAACATTGAATCTTTGATGAATTTAAGAAAAAACTGCCGTTGTACTTAGCAAAGCAAGTTGATAAACTATGATGAGCGAAACACTAACGCGACCAAAGTTGGTTTGAATCACGAAATAAGGAGCATGGCCTTTTTATCACCGAAAAGTTTTCTTTTCACAAGAGAACTTCTCACGTTGAAATTGCATTTTGAAACAATAAAAGCATTCTTTTCTTCTGTCTCGCTGGTGCTTTTTGAGTCAGCAGGGAGGTTACCTCTACCAGGTTTCATCTCCGGAGAGAGGCCTTAAAAAACTAGTGTTCCTTCATTTCTTTAAAAGGGGATGAACTTCACCAAAGGAGCTAAAATTAGTTCGGTCGTTTACACGCTATTCGTCCATGTACAATCAATTCCTGCAGAGAGATGAGTTGGCTTTCGAATCTGCAAATGCTGTTTGTTTTAAATGTCTCTTGTGAATAGACGCACGTGAATTCCCGGTAAATTACAAGCAAAGGTATGCTAGAACACATATGGCCTCGCCGTTGCCCATATTCTAACTGATTTAGTCCAGGTAGCTGTGAACCAAGCAAAAGCAAAGACGTTTTTCTGGCGCGAGGAATTGAACCGCTGGTAAGTCGTCTTGTACCAAATCTCTATTAGATTTAGATAAATTTAGAATAAGCAACATGGGCAATCACAGGCGTTGCGGAGGCTTAATGTTTAAGGGTGCTGATTAATGGCCTTACCCGAATATTATTGCTTGATTGGGATAAAGTTGCCCGAATGGCCCCGAAATTTGATTAATTCTGCCTGATTGGGGGGGGGGGGCTCTAGCCCCCGGCCCCAGTGTCTCTTACGTCTATGGGAACAACACCACGTATGCTTTGTATTTGCACATGTTCGTTGAGACTGTGCCATACAACATACGTTTTCTTTGAGTTCGACGTCTTTTAAAAACATCTCTCTACAGCATTGTGCTTGATATTGCGGGATTTTGATCGATACTTACAGTAATAAATTTCTAGTACGATCGTTTAGCGCATTGAAAAGATTTGCTTCCCCTCGAATTAACCAGCATTTTAAAAGAACTGCATTCTGTCTAAAGGTCTTTTGAATTCTACTTTCCTATCGGTTTGAAAAAATGTTTTAAAGTTGCCTACAGACCCTAAAAACAGCAGCATTCAAACTAGACAGGTGCTGATTCTAATAGCGCTATAATGGATATACCGGCATCTTAAAGACTGGAATACGTCAGCAAAAAGAACAGGTCGAAAGTGGATTCGATAAATTCATATAATCTTCGACCTTGATGGATACGTATAGATAGATTACGAATAAATAGTAGCGATATCATCATTTTCATTTGCTGAAATAACCTAAATAGAAAGCCATAATATTTAATAACTATAATTCATTCATTTATTTAACTAACTACAGTATATATTCTTACTTTAATTATTATAAGCCCATTTTTTACGAAAACAAACCACGATGAACTTTGAACGTCAAGCAAATTTTTACTATAGCAAGTGTTAAGCATATACAATTCAAATTTTAATCATTTATCATACAGTACAGTTGTTGAATTTCATTAAACCTTCTTGTTCACACCATCTAACTGTTGAAGATGGTGTTGGAATGTTCAAAGCCATGAATCTTAAACCGAAGTTTCCTTACCAAGCATTTTAGTTTTTTTCACGGTTGTAGGTGGTCTGACCGGTTGTGACTGCTGGATGAAATCCAAAGGTGGAATGTAGTTCGTCTCCCAGTTTATTTTTCTAATGGTCCTTTGCTTCTTTCTGTCAAACACAGACTTCGCACTATTTCCACCAACATCAAGGCATGACGATTGGTTGAACTCTGCCATCTCTGGGCTGAGCCTATTTGCATTCATCCTGCTAGTGTTCATGTTGTACGTGTTGTTGTTTACCTGTAAGGAACCCTCATCACTGACAGTTGTGTTGCACCAAACGTCTGTTTTGTCTTCGGTGCGGAGTCTTACATCGGGTATCAGCTGCTTTTGAACCGTAGGGACTTTGAAGCCACTTAAGCTAAGATAATGCTCTGAAAAATGTTTACCGTTTTCCAGCGGGCTAAGATCCCCTTCAGGATCCCACGGCAAATTTTCGCTTAGAGCCGTAACCGTCTGCTCAGGCAGTAGCGTCTTTTTTGATCCAATATTGCTGGTAATAACAGCCTGGACACCGGTCTCGGCCTCAGGATAAGGAATAAGAACAGCTGTAGAATTGGCATGTTGAGCAGCCGTGTATTCTGCACTTACAAATGTCTGACTAAATTTGGCATCCTCATTTTGTGTAATAATAGTCCCATTTGATTCACATACATTCCCGATGTCTTTGGTTTCAGAGTGTACCTTTTCATCTTCCCAATTATTATTTGATAAGCCATGTTCTAGGGTTTTCTCTTCTTCAGGTGAAAATGATCTTTCCGAATCGACCGAGTTGAAATCGTTGGGCGAAGTTGGACTTGAAACACGGGACCCCTTGAAGATAGAAAAGCAGCTGTTCAGTGATAAAAATGTATGGTATTTTCCTATTCTAATAACAAAAATGAGTATTACCACGAATAATGGATAGGCTTGGAACAGAAAATCATCTAGCAAAATCATATCTAATGTTTCCCTACTCTAAGAATGATAATCACCACGAACAATTGATTCTCTGAATGGCAGTAAGAAGCTGCAAAGACGCTAGCTATCCTGGGAACCAGAGTCACAATTTCGACCGCGGAAATGGAAAACCAAGCGGAGAAGCGGAGGAGCGCCTAGCCAGATAGATATTCCACCGCTGCACCGCATCTTTCTTTTATTTTCGCGCTCAAACTCATTGTGGCTCTGGTACCAAGCATACAAGGACGCAGAAAGAGGTGCGCATTGTTTATGTATGGGTGCGAGTAAGATTTAAAGATGGGCGCTGACTAGAAAGAAAGAGCACCTTTGTGTATTCTAAACCCGAGGAGAAAGATTACTTGGAAATATTTCTTCAACGAAAAAGTGGAATTGGAAATCAGTAAGCTTATTTTTGAGAGGAGAAGTTTCATCATTTACCTTAAAAGGCTAAAATAAATTGTTTTATGATTGAAAAACACAAATGGGATGCAAGCACACTTGTTTGCTTTGGGCAAGATCTCTAACTTCAGACCAAAAAATACATTTGACTATAAGCCAATATTTTGGGATTGCCTGTGGAAAATAGATTTCGAAAAACAGGCCCTTTAGAAGTTCATGCTGTCGACGAAGAGTATTATATAAGTTAAGTCTGAGAAATAACGCATGCCGTTGCTAAATAATGCACAAATCCCTTTGCAGAGATGATCAAGAGTTGCTGAGAATTTGGCCAGCTACTTTGAGTCAGGGCTGAAATGCGTTAAAAGCGCTAGGTGTTCTAAACCAAAATCATAGAAGACAATAGAAAAATATGCAAATTTGTAACTTTTTGACATATAAAGCAGGAGAGAGTAGAGATAGAGAATCGATAATTTTGGGCGTACGTTTGGGTGAAGGATGCCTCCAGGCTAGATCATTATCCAGTTTTATACAACAGCGGCATTAGAGTTGAGTTGGGCACGACATACCCCCCTCCCCAAATATCTCAAGAGAATGGATTAAAATTTCGTCTAAATTCAGTGAGAAAATTCTTGTTTATGGGAAAACTTTCGTAACGTGTTATTTGTGATGTAATTTTTTGATTTCGAAACTACATTTACGTTACGAAAAGTTAGTCTTTGGCGTTTCCTATTGGTAAAATGGTGTTTCCTCTTAGTAAAGGGTGTTTTCTGAGGGCAAAAGAGGCGTGACCTAAAAATATTTTTGTTCACAAACTGGACATTTACTAAATGGAGAAGGTCATTGAAATAGACCAAAAGCAGTAATAATTAATTGTAAACGAAAACTGTATCTTAGCAGCAAACATGTGCATAATAAGGATGGTGATTCCGTAGATTAATATCTAGACATAAAAGGACTTCAGGCCACAGAGTTCTTTTATTTTTTTGGTTTTGTCTACATTATTTCTGCTGCCTAGGAAAGTACCAATTGTACTCCAAAAAAATTGGTACTTTTCTATGCAACAAGAAATAATGTAGAGCTAGTGCAGAAAAATCGTTAATAGAATATGGAAAGAATATAAAATGGTTTTCTACAAAAATCAAGGTGTTGATATGTAACATAGACTCTGGCAATAAGGCTCCAATCTGTGATACAACAGCTAATAAAAAATAGCGGTCTGAATCAGCTGGAAAGTATCTGGATACGACGACTATTTTAAAAGAGTTCCTATAAAGTTTCATCACATTCAGTTGTAATTTATACAGCATTTTCAGAAAAGATATTCTTCAGTAAGGACTCCTAAAACCTGATTCTTTTACCTTATGATTTTAACTAACATAATTTTTAATTGTCTTCTTTCGAGACTGCTTCAGTTTACAGAGGAAATGTTTTATAATTCGGAGGAATTCTATCAGCCTCCGAATTTGTTATTTGCATCATCAGCTACTGTGAGAGAGAAAATTGATGAATTGGGCAAATTGGTCTCTTTGTTTCTTCTCTTTGTAAGAGCGCCATTTCGTTTTGTTTTTTTAAATATGCAAGAAAGCGTTGAATAACATGCAGCACTGTCTTAAAATACTAATACTAAGCCGCTGCATCGGAACATACCAAAAGATTCGGTCGAAAAAAAAACAACCAATTTGCGGAGTGTATTCTAAAAAAACCAAAAATAGATTCATTCAAAAAGAACAAATGATTACGGAAGCCAATATACATATGAAGGGAGATCAAGGAGATTTGTCAAATATTATACATATATATATAAACTATATCTCGCATCTCCAGATTTTAACCGCATGAATATATAGAAATAGGTACACAATTAATATTAGTCGAATCAAATCAAAGCAAGCAGGTACAAGCAGACTTCTTCAGCGTTGGGTGCCAAGCGATTGGACAAAAGATTGTCTATCAGAGCCAGTTGTAGAATATGTGGCGTTTCTGGCTCTTAACTTCAACTTCGATAAAGTGGAAGAGGACATGCCAAAAATAAATCTCCACTAAAATCACAATGGCACAACGGGCATCAGATTTGTTGGTGATCAACAAAATATCAGTACATCATAGACTTGTAAATTTTGATGAGTTGCGGAATATTTGCAAAATGCGGATAAACCTGCAATATTTCATCCTTTTCTCGTGGCAAACTGAATTCTTTCAATATGGCGCAACATGAGCATGTGCAAAAAGGGGTTAATTATGCAGTTCAGTATACAACCAAGTTCTTGGTCAAACAAACAAATTTTAAGCAAATTGTTCATAGATTTGGAATTGGTATCTGAATTGGTATTGGTAATGGTGTCAATGGAGTTGGAAACAACAATAGATTGAATAAATAAAAATATTCTAAGTAGCTCTCAATATTTTGCATTAGTCTTGAAAAGTTCGGTTGAATTCTGCAAAATAATAGAGACTAAAGCACGCTCTTCTTAAATTCTATCATTAGACAAGGAGGTTATGAATTCGATTCAATCATTTTGTGTCTTGTAATGCTTGTTTCAAGTGAAATGGTTTCCAATTCCTAATTTAAGTGTGACGGTGTCGAAAATTCATTTCAAGATTTCGACCTTTGCCCACATTACTTGAAAAACATCATGATATACCCCCAAATTAAAGTGGAAACAGATTACTGGTTCACGGATTTTGAGACCACAAACAAATTACATTTATATCAATAACATTTGACAAAAATTCCCTTGGATTTTGCCAAAATAAAGAGACATGATCTATAAAAGTTGTAAAGCTATGAAGTTAGAAATATCAGAATTAGCCAGAAATAAAAAAGCCTCCATAGCTGAGATGGCAAATTAATTTGCTGCAGTTCAGCTCTGGCGCGACTGACGAGCAAGGATGTGACTGTCCTATGGCATTGTGTGTGCATGTGGGCGATGCATTTGGTGCAATTGAAAACCACGGTAGACCTTGGTATGTGTCCCTAATCCTTATAAATTTCAATTATTATAGAATAACTGAGTACCATAAACTCTGAAATCAAATCGTTTTCAAACCAATAAAATAGTAGGTATTGAAACATGTTGAATCTGTTTAATCATCAGATTAAGAAACTCATGAACCGTTGAAGAATTTCTTCAGATGTTGTTATTTTCCGGCTTAATGAACTCGATTACAACCAAGTCACCTTCATTCGTTGCAGTGACGCCCTTCATCTTAACCCCATCTTCATTATCGTTAGCAACGCCAACCTTTAGTTGCACAGGATCCATACGGATTAATGATTCTCTTTGTCTGTCATCTCTGTTATTATTCGTTGTTGCGTCATCGTTGGTTTTCAAAGTAAAAGTCACTTCTTCACTTTTATTACAAACAGCAACTGGCTTTGGAATAGTGACTGTAAATTTGCTTGCACTCTGTATATCATCGACCTTTATCTCTTTAACTGCCACATTATTTTTTGCCACATTATTTTTTGACTCTTGCAAAGTCAGTGAAGGACCTTTCAAATTAGTCTGAGGCGGGAGTTCTTGCTCACTAAGACCATAACTGTCTAAACTGATTGTTGTGGGGAAACCAATCTTAACTATTGTTTCAGTTCCTGGAGCTCGTTTCTGTGATGGTATGTTATCAGTACAAGGTGTTTCCAAGATGTAGCTTTCCTCAAACCTTTTAGAAGAGTCAGTCCTACTCTCCGAATTATGGTGATCGCCGATAGATTCTTCTTTCTGATTTCCGTCTTCGTTGCTTTTCAAATTATCATCGTCAACAAAAGGAATCGAAAAGGTTACAAGCCCAGCTGAATCAACATTTCCAGAACCCTGCCCAAAATTACCACGTATTGTGACTGCCTCGCCGACATATCTTTTAACATTGGGGCTTCCAAAACTAACCGGTTCTGTGTTACTTTGTCCAGCAACAGTAACTCTTTCCACGCTGTCAACAGCATCTGTTTCTATTGCATCAATTGATAGTTGATCTAGACCATCAATAAGCAAGACATCATCTTCACTTTGACTACCAAGACTTGGACTATCGTCTAGTGGTTGTGATTTGACAACTACCTCAGGTTCACTGCTTTTTAACAAGCCATTATCAACGTCAGCTTCATCGCTACCTAGTCCATCTTCCTGCTTTGAAGAGTCAACACATTTTGAGACTGGCTCCTTTGCCTCGGCCTGATCGTCAGCAACATGTTTATTCACGTCTACGTGATTAATGAACATAGGCAGATTTTCGTTAGCTGCATTGATTAAGTTACGAAGGGATGGTTTTGTTCCACCATTTTCATTTGATGATTCTCCCTAGAAATTGAAAAAACCATCCACATATTAAAATGTGAGAACTTTTTGATAAAGTTGATAGGATACATTAGAATGAATTCATGAATGCCGAGCAAAAAGTAAATGATACAGTTAACAAGATATGAAGACTAAGTTCAAAAAATCTTTCCCTTCAAATTTCTTTATTACATTTAACTATTCGCTATCGTGTAATAGCTGAGTGTAATAACTATTTTTGGCCTATCGGTCAACATCGTTGCCACAGTACAATAGACCATCTTGGGGTTCGCGACGCAGTCTTTTGCTCGATAGCTATTTCAAATCGCTCAAGTGGTGTAAAACAGCGGGAAATTCATGGTGGATAGTGGCTGTTTTTCAGTTATTTGGCCGTAAAACCTTTTTAGAAAAGATAAAGAAGCTTCAAGAAAAAAATCTTTTTCTTCGTCTGTGAATTTCGTTTATTAATAAGGGACTTTGTTTGAGCTGCAGAAAAATTTATAAATCTCGTTGATATAGGCCACTATTGTATTTAATGCGGCTTTTTCTCCACTTTTTTCATGGCTCCGCGAACTTTGAGATGGTCTATCAAAAGGCAAAAAAGATAAATAACTTTTAAGTTGAAAAGAAAATAATTTCACCTCAAAAAAGATGCGAAGATAATAAGAAAATAACATGTGAATCAAGTGCATTTATATCTCCGTTTTAAATAGGTAAACAAAAAAATTAACATAAAATTTAAACGGCTTATACATATCTGGAGGTTATCAAAGATATTTCTATGGCTTAGAAAAGATTATTAGTCAGTTAGTGAAAGCTTCAATGACGCCATGAAAATTAGTTTAGTTTTGTATCATGTCGTGCCATTAAGTGTAAGTCGTTTGTAGTTCGGTATGGCGTAGTTTATTTTATTACAGCGTTGTGTGCTGTCTTGGAGGGTTATGTTGAGTTTTTCTTGGTGTTTTTAGTAAAATGCAGACTACAGCCTACGGTTTTTGATGTTGTGTTGTGATTAATGTGCTCTGCTTTGTTCTATTTTGTTGTGCTGTATTGTTTTGTGTTGTTTTGTGTTGTTTTGTGTCGTGTTGAGTTGTGTTGTATTTTGTTGTGTTCTCACAGGCTGTTTTGTGTTGCGTTGTGTTTGTTGTGTTGTGTTGTTTTATGTTGTGTTGAGCTGTATTGTATTTTGTTGTGTTCTCGCAGGCTTTGTTTTGTTGCGTTGTGTTGCGTTTGTTGTGTTGTGATCTTTTGTGCTGTGTTGTGCTGTGTTGTGCTGTGTTGTGTTGTGTTGTGTTGCCTTGTGTCGTATTTTTTTGCTTTCTGGCAGGCTGTGTTGTGTTGTGTTGTGTTGTGTTGTGTTGTGTTGTGTTGTGTTGTGTTGTGTTGTGTTGTGTTGTGTGTGCTGTGCTTTGTTTAATTGTGCTGTGTTGTGTGATGTTTTTTGTGTCGTGTCGAGTTGTGTTGTTGTATTTTGTTGTGTTCTGGCATGCTGTGTTGTGTTCCGGCATATTGTGTTGTGTTATGTCCTGGCATGTTGTGTTACGGATTTTAAGAGGAGGTTATTTTAGCTAGCGTAGAAGGTGCATATATAGGTGTTATTTTGTTAAAATGTATAGTTGTAAATTTATATTTATTAAAATTACAATGATTTATACATTACCATTTTATTTTTGATCAACCATTTGTCAAGCTGAGTGCAGATTCCAATAGGATCAGTTTTATCCGATCAGTATAATAACGAATGACTGCACTCTTCCAAATTTCGAAGATTCACAAGATCTTCAACCACTTGTTAACGTTTTCATCACACAACTATCAGAATGGTGATTTTTTCAAGCTTTATTTTAAAGTGCAAAAACAATACAAAATTTCAGGTTGCAAAGATTATTTTTCTCGATAACTAAACTCCAAGAACAACACTTTCAACCAAAACAGTAACAGCAACAGCAACAAAAACAGCTACACCAACAACAACTAACACCACAACAACAGCAACAACAACAACAACAACAGCACAGGCAATGACATCAGCTCTAAAGATTTTATGCTGCTCACTGAATTTCATGCGACATCCTTTAAAAAATGCGCGTAAAATCATAATAGATTGGGATAATTAATGGCTGGACATTTATCTTCACGCCTATTGAATAATTTTCGAATACATATCTCTATGGCTAAGATTAAAAGTAGCTTTTTTTGACGCATTGATTTTAATTTTATAACTAATTAAAGTTAAGTGCAAGTGCAGCTAAAAGAAAAATAGTAACAAAATAAATTTAAATGAAGCAATATATAAAGAAATAAATTTATAAGTAGAAATAAATTGCCACCTCGTCTCCGCTAACATCTGATGTGGGGCTTGGAGTGTTGTTCCGACAGAGAATCTTCAGTCTACTGATTGTGGACACCAGTTTGAGGGATTGCTAGTATAAAAAGAAAACAAAAGCTGAAAACTTAGTTATGAAAGCTGTTTCACGTGGACAGTTAGACTTTGCAAGATTATACTAGACAAAGTTGTGATTGGTTAGCATAGGGAATGTTAGATAATGCAAGGTTAGGTTGGAACACTTTGCGTCATGTTAAACTAAAAAATACTAGACATTGTTACGTGATAATATGCTAGATTATGTTAGATAATTTGAAATTTGGAAAGGGTATATTTTGTACAAATGCTCGAATTTTTTAAAAATGCGGAGATGGGAGAGCAGAAAAACATTCTACATATGACATAGTGGGTGATTTTTCAAAAGGGGAAAACTGTTCATGTCACAGTAATAAGGTAAGAAGTTACCAAATCAGTTGGGGCTTGGAGCAGTTTTGAATTACGATGCAGGTCCAGGGGTTTGCTCAACCCTTGGAGAATTATTCAAAACTTTTGTTTTCAGCAATGATTGCATATCTGTAAGGCATTTTACGTGTACTACAAGATTTTTAATCTATAATATCAAGAAGAGTATTCCTTAGATTTGCCAAGGCTTGTTTTAGGCGGAAGAGAAAATATCATAGAAGAAGCAGGCCCTTCCATCACATATCTTATTCACAATTCCAATTCACCAGCTTAACTGTGTTTGGCAGTCTTTCCTTGCAAACAATTTCAAAAAAAAGATTGATTGAAATATCAGGCAGGCACGTATGCACACAGACTCCTTTGCTAGATTCGATATTGACAGGCTCAATAAAGGCTTCAACAGGATGTTAATACATGTTCACGTTGAACTTGGAATAATTCGCTTCATTGTGTTATGTTGTAGAAGACTTTGCCGCTTGCCGTATATATGTGAGCCGGCAATGATATGATTGGTTATAGTAAGCTACGTTTGGCTTTGCTTCGCAAGACTTTGACTGGTGATGCTTGGTTCAGCAGCGTTGGGATACACAGCGTTGGGAAACCTGGTTTGGCTACAGACCTTCTTGGAAAATTTAGTTACAAGAATTATATCCAGTGAATCTATGTTGGCAGCCAATTTCTGCTGTTAAGGAATATAAAGATATCCATTTTATCATAACAATGCCTCTTTTCACGACTTCATTTTTATCTATCTTTGAATAACCTGAACCATCATCTGAATGCTCTGATATATTGTATAATAACAAAACATACAGTAATAAAACGTGAAACGCTCCTTCAATCAAAATTCTGGAAACTGCTTACCTTCCACCTCCTCCTTGCTACAAAAGCACGCATCTTCTGTGTATCAATAACTGAATTTTCATCTTTCTAAAATGAAAGCAAGATAAAACGTTTCTGTTAAAAATTGATAAGCTAGCTAACGACATAAAGTTCTAAAGAATACACGAAAGAAGGCACTAACATGCTGTATGTTTGCATTTTGACACAAACAACAATGGAAACAGAGAAAGACAAAAAAACAGAAGCCATAACTATGATGCTTGGAACCCAAATTTTATGAAAGTCGAGAATGCACGAGTAACTACCGTTGGCAAAATTTGACAAAATTTAAAATTCACAAATTCACACGCTATGGAATGTCTGATGCACACCTGCTGAGAGTCACAAAAAGTGTCCTTGAGAATTTAATATTCACAAAAATTAATTTCTTCCCAGCATGGTCTTAAAAAGAATGCGTTGAAAATTTTCTCCTCTTGACAGCAGCTGCAATCTGAAAGACTGCATCATGCCAGAGCTACTCATGCCTATAATGGTTACATTAATAAGAAGTCGTTCATTCCTGTCGACAACTAATAAATGAATTATGTGTACAAATATGTATTGCAACTTGAAACTATAAGTAATAAATCCTGACTGGGCTGGGTACAAAACATAAAAGTAATAAATATAGTCAGTTACATAGACTAGTTATATATTTGAAATTTACTTCAGCACTGTCAACAAACCTCTAAAGCTATCCATGGGTGGTTTAAGGAATCTTGAACTGTGTTTCGGTCTCTGAAAATCGGTATTACATGCATCAGTGGCCGAAAATTAATGCTTTTTGACGAACATAATTATAATGTATGTCACAACAATTAATGTCACATTGACTTGACTTAATAACTGAGTTTTTACCCCGAAAGAGTAAAAGGCGGAATAGAGAAAGGCTCCATAGAAAAGGGTTTTCACACCAGCCAGAAACCGCCTGAAACTTGATGACACAATAAGCAAACTTACTGATTGCTCGAAGTCTTTACACGCTTTTCACTTTGGGGCATAGTATTTTTATGGTATATTCAAAAAACAAACTAATTTTTTTGTAAAGACGAATGTCTCTAAAGAAAAGGATAGTCAAATTAACTGGAAGTACTCGAGGAGGGGAGATGGGACGGATTACCCCAACTAAACATCTTCCTAGAACAAACCACCGTAGAGCAACCAATGAGCAAGCAAACAGAATCAAAATATAAAATAACGCATAAAAATATGAATAATCAAGATAAAGAAAAGCAAGAAAGCTTCAATTTTGAGCACTCACTTTGGATTCTTGACCAACAGCTTCTCTATAAAATCTTTAGCATTTTTGGTGATTTCATCGAAGTATTCGTCGTCAAACTGATACTCGCACGAAGAGATATTCTTATATGTTTCCTGATCATCATCACCAAGAAACGGAGATGCTCCACTAAGGCTAGACAAAAACATTTGACGTTCAATTATTGGTCGAAGATGGAGCGAGTTTGAATCATACCTACTCTATGGGTAAAGACGTCAAACGAAAGAGCCTAAAGGTAATATTCACAATTTATAAAACTGACAAAAAAATTATGAAAGGGTCTAATAACTCTTTTAGCAAAAAGTAACCAAAAGTCGAAATGCAATTACCAATCATTTACTGAGACGATATTTTCAGTTTATTATAATGAAGGGTCTGAGATCTTTTGGAAGAAAAGAAATTTTTACTCAGTCTAAAAATGTTATGTAGGTCAGTCTAAAAATGTTATGTAAGAGAGAAACAAAATTAATTCTTGGTTATTAATATGCAGTATTAAGCGCTATGAATTAAGACCATTACTTACAGAATATACGTCACAACACCAAGAGCCCTAAAATTAGAATAAAAATTCTACATGATAAAAGGAAAACGATTCATAATACACATTTATATTTAAATGGGTCATCAGCAGGAAAATACATTCGCCATTTCAATGGCTTTCAAATAGAAGGAAATCTGAAAGATTCTTTTGCTGTTTAGAGAAGGAAATAAAAAGAAATGCTTAACAAAGACTCTGAAAAAATAATCATATGGTTTATCGAATATTTTTGCTAAATCTCTTCCTAACAAAGGCAATCATCATTCAATATTTTTCAACAGCAACTCCGTAATAGGGGGAATGCATTTTCCTCACCCCTTCATCTCATAATTGTAATATTTAGAATTTGCTAACTTGGGCCCTTGGCAACTATAGGCTGCCTAACATTTCCAAACTTTTGTAACTGAGCTGAAATAGAGGAAGTCAAAAAGCAAGAGTCATTTGGGCCCATAGATCTCCCCAATTTCTATATAGTTTAGCACACTGTTTCAACGATGCAATTGAAGCTTAATTACCAAACTCAATGCAAAGAAATGAGGATGTTTATCAAGCCAGCATCCCGAAACAAATTGGTCAATAATGAAAGGAGGTGCGAACTTCCTTATAGGATGAATGGTGTGAAAAACATTATATCCTGAAAGTTGACCATCCTGGTTTAAGCCATTTGAAAATATTATGTTATCTCTACTCCCCTCTTAATGTAAAACTTGGAAAAGACATGGCTCCAAGCTGGCGATTGTAAACAATATATCGAGTACTTTTAGTAATTAAAAGAGGGCTATCGACATAAAGGAAAATATTAGACTATATCTTTTAAACAATCTTAATGCTCATACCAGATCCTTGTTAGCGGTAACAAAGACCTAATTACCTAACACTAAGAAGTCTAAGATAAAGATATATCACATAAAGTCCTTTGATGGTTTTCTCGTTTAAAGGGTTTTTAATTTCTATAAAAATTTGATCACATATGCAGTATCGTTATTAGCAAACATGCAAGCACGATGATTTCTTGTTTGAACTGTTTTTAAAACGTTAAAATATAAACAATTTTCGATACAATGCGTCAAAAGTACAGGTACTTTAAAATATTTTTAACGAACTTACCACATGTCAGTGTAGAATCCAACAATATCGTAGTGAATGACCTCAGGTGCTGCCGAAAAAGCATGGATGTTCACATTATATTAACATTTCTCATCAGTGTTTCAGTTGGCACTGGTGTTTATAGAATAAATACATAAATGTTTCTTGATGTTCAAAATAAGCATATCATTCAAGGATAAAAGACCAGATTATTCTCAATATTTCATGGATATAATTCCTTGACTCATTGATACAAGTGCGGGTTGTATCTTTTGAAAGTGTATCATGGCCTCAGTCTTAATCCTACGTTACTTTCTTGTACTCACCATGTTGATTCTTGAGAACATTTTAGCAAATAATTTGATATTGTAATTCAGAAGACTTGGTTGGCAAAACAGTTTTACATGTTTGTTCAGCAGTATCTTTAGTAAAATCCTTTTAGTCGAAAATGACAAGTTTAGTACTGCGCTTTTGCGTGTACATTTTTCAGTGTAAAATTATTGTAAAAAATATTTATGCAGCCAATACTTTTACTACTATAAGCCTTTAAAGGCAGTGTGTCGTGCTGCTCATTGGCAATTGTTTGTTGAATTTCGAGGGTCCTCGAAATTAGAGAAATGTGACAAATTAGTAAAACTGATCAATAGCAAGAAAGAGGCGTCCTTTGTTACGAAATGAAAATTCACTGAAATAGAAATTTTGTTCTTTGTTTCGATAAACCAATAAACGGCGCTACGTGCTGCCTTTAAATTGGGAATTCATCAAGAAAAGGAAGCTAGTCGTTGCTGATTATAAGAATGCTAAGAATTATCTATTGTTTAAATTATCTATAGTAGACACCTAAGAGATGAGGTCAAAAAACTCTGCAAAAGCTCCGAATTACATTAAGACTCATACATCAGCAAGCAATTATATACCATCATTATCATCTAGAAATTCATTGAAAACGCCAAGGACAATGATATTCAATCGTTAGCAGAAAAATTGCTTGAGAACATCTCGCTGTTTGCATCGAAAGCACGTTGCTGTGTTCTCGCATAACATTTAACCCTAAACGATTCATTACATCGAAGCCATGAGGTAGATTCATCTGCAGACCCGCGAAACAATTTTCGTCAAAACAATTTAAATACAACAGAAACTTATGTTTCACATTCAAAAATGAAAAGCTGAGAGCGGCGTCCTTAAAAGTTGATACATTGTTGAGAACAATCTCTATAAAAATTCCATTTCTTTGTACGATCAAAGATATGAAAGAATCTTATCGCTCTGATGCAACTCTTTAAAAGCATGTCGTAATAGCCATGGGAATAATAACTATTCATTTACCTGCAAATTCAGGCGTTCCCATCATTTCTCTGATTTTCTTGCCAGGCTCGATCATCTTTGCCAGCCCAAAATCAATCAGTTTAATCGTTTTACTTCCCGGATACTGAAGCACAATATTCTCGGGCTAAAATGTAATGAGTCATCTTCTTTAATAATAGAGAGCTAATATAAACAAATATTGTTAAAAGAAGTAATGGATGTGAAGTACTATGAAAGCGTCTCTCTGATCGATGTTTGGGGAAGGATGAATAAACGATGATTGGTGATTGGTGATTGATGAATAAACGACGATTTGTGATTGGTGACTGATGAATAAACGACGATTTGTGATTGGTGACTGATGAATAAACGACGAGTTGTGATTGGTGACTGATGAATAAACGACGATTTGTGATTGATGATTGATGAATAAACGACCATTTGTGATTGGTGACTGATGAATAAACGACGATTTGTGATTGGTGACTGATGAATAAACGACGGTGGCTGATGATTAAAGGACGACTTGTAATTGGTGATTGATGAATGAACGACAATTTGTGATTAGTGCTTGACTTCCTTTTTAGTCGGTTATGTCAGAGAAAGGGCCGGAAGCATATAACAAGGGAAAAGAGGGAGGGATTCGGAAGAGAAGGAGGGGTTTCGGGAGAGAGGGAGGAAAGATCAAGAAGGTAGTTCCGAATAGAGGAGGATGTAAGATCTAGTCAAAATTTTAGTTTTAAAAAAAGAGACAGGCTAAGAGAGGCAAAGGGTTGGGCGTTCCAAAGTTTACAAGATCTGAGAGAATGATGAGTTACGGGATAGATGCGTGAGTTTGGCAATTAATGGTGTTGATTCACGGAGGTGATGGTGATGATGATGATAATAATAATAATAAGAAATGAAAAGACAAAAAGAACTAAAATCACGATTGCAGCTTTTGGAATAGTTTTGAAAAAGTGATGGGCGTAATTACCTTTAAATCCAAATGCACAATATTACGTTCATGCATGTGTTGAATGGCATTGAGCACTTGCTTTGTATAGTGACAAGCATCTTTCTCTAAAATAAACTCCTCTTTTGCAATTTCTTCAAACAATTCTCCACCAGTTAATCTATGGAAAATAAAAAAGAAATATATTCAAAAAATCTTGGACCTGAATCAAGATCTGAATGAAAAGCATACATGAAAAGAATAAAAAAGTTACTATCGGGTGCTTTATGGTCATCTGAGTAAGTAGTCAGATACCATTGCTCGCCTTTCAAAATACTCGTCTTTCGGAATAGATTGCATCGTTTCAATATCGTTTTTATCATAAACTTTTTAGAACAAAAAACCAAAACGATATATGCAGCTCAATAAAACGGCATTTAGCATTACGCAACACAAAAAACCATAAATTTTATTTACTACCACATTATAGTCAAAGGTACTATCACAAACAAAGAATCAATCTAAATGATCACTCACAATTCCATGATCAAAGTTATATTTGTCTTTGTTTCAAAAACATCATAAAGTTTAATGATAGCTTCGTGATCTAGGGCTAACAAAAGTCCAGCTTCGATTTCGACGGCCTCCTTGCTCATGCCTCGTTTGCTTGCCTTGCTCCTCTTTTTGGTGATGCATTTTGCTGCATATTCTTCGGATGTCTCCTTCTTTTCGCACCGCTTTACGACAGCAAAATTGCCCCTGGAAGACACAAAAGGTGTTTCTAAGCAAATCAAATGTATTATTAGTATCAATAACGGTCGATACAATAGCAAGTTAAAATATTCTGAATTATCGATCGTTCTTTTGGCTTGAAAAACGATTGGTACATCTCAAATTTTAATCAGTTTTCTTCATTTTCAGTTGTCAATACATATAAACAAAATATATACATTAGGAATCATTCGGGGCAAGTCATGAATAGTACAAACAACTCTTTAACAGCCAGAATGCTCACCAATTCAGGATCGAAAAGAATAAACAGTTATACAAACACAGGTTCGATCCCAAGTTCATGCTGTAAAGCCCTTCAATTTAAGAGCAAAATATCTATAAACCAGATGTGAAACATCATAGGATGCCACAATATTCGTAGAAATACTTTCAAAAGAACAATGTTTCGAAGGATAATGAAGAGAAGTTTAGAGATCTGCCACAAATCGCCCAGCATTATCTCAAGTAAACGCTGGGAAAGCATCCTATTTTAACAGCAGTGAGTCGGGCCTATAAACTTTTGAAATCAAAATACTCTGACCGGTTTAGACTTATAATATTGAAAAAATTGAATTCATTTTAAGAATCTAACGGCGATAATCACTTCCAATCGCTCACAAGAGGTATTATTAACCTAGAGAGAGCGTACGATTTCAGCAGGGTCTTTGCTAAATTGAAATTGCTCTGCATGGAACTCAAGCGCTCTCCTTTCTTTTAAAACAGCATACAAAAATAGCCAATAGCTCTTTAAGTTTCGGGCGTTTTATCATCTTGATTTGGATTTGGAGACCTCCTTTACGAAGCAAAAAGCAAATATGTGGGTGTACCAAATTGAGTGAAGGAAACGTTCGATTATTTTTCCATATTACGATTGACAGTCGGCAACATTGAAAGGTAGAAACTAAGACCTAGCAAAAATTTTTGCTGATCCTTTCAAGTTATCTTTAATTCAAATAAGATTAAAGAAAGCAAAGGACCATTGCCATAGAAGCTTTTGAAAACATAGTATGACAAATTAAAAGAAATGGCAACGTCTTTTTTTCTTCAAGACTTTAGGGAACAAAGACAACAAGGCAGGTCACCCTTGGTTGGATCCCACATCAAAAGAAGAAATGTTTTTATAGATTCAATAGATATAGGTTCTATATAAGTTTAGGATTGACAATTAACTTTAAACATAAAACAAGTCTAGTTTCACTAGCCCCTGTTTGAATAGCCTACGAAATTTGAAAGCGCTGCCAAAAACTTCGAAAACAAATTCAACCCTCTTTCATGATAAACTGGATAATCGTCAATATCTGGGTCGGTTTATTCCATGTCAAAACACTGTGCTGTCAACAATCAGGAACTTTCTTCTAGACAACACTGTAATTCCAACCCAAAACAAGTCAAAACACGCCAAAACGAGCTTTCTGTTGAGATAAGCTTTGCACCATTGCTGTAGTCTAGTTTACTCAGATCAAAGTTTACTTAGTTTTGAAATGATTATTGTTATAGTGTAAATGTCCTGCCTCTTGACTTTAAAAGCCTGAGATCTGTCTTGTTTACTGTCGAAAAAACAAAAGTTTACACTCGACCCTGCTGTCAATGACGTCTGTATCTGCTGCTTATAACAAAAAAGGGCAAGCACGACCACTGGCTTATTCCCTTCAAGATAAGATACGTCTCGTGGTTTGAAATGCAGTTTTTGAGGGCGAAAAGGACCATACCAAAGGCTCTGAATCTACTGGAACGCTATTAGGGAAAGTAGCATGTTGAAGCCACTTTTTTCTAAAACATTCTTACTCTTGGAAATTTCAACTTTATCCAGTAACTGGATGAACATTGCTTTATACTTTGTCTACATCTGCTCTACTTATAATAAAAATTTACATTGTGCTACTTGTGTTACACTTTAAAATCCTCAAAAAGGCTCTGTAAAGAAAGTATTTTGTAACCACCTTTAATTATTGAATTATGTCACGTTTAAATTGCTACATTGAACAATTGCTACATTAACATTGCTACATCTCCAGACAAATTAGAACTATGAAGCCCTTAAAGGTGAAATTTACACTTGACAAACAAGAGCCCCCCGAATTACGCCAAAAAGGGTTTTAGGCTTTGGTTCAAAAACTCTATTTCCAAACACAATCTCAGGTGAAGAGCTCTACAGTATGTGGCTAGAAGCTAATTTGAATACCAATCAGTTCTGCTCAGGCCAAAGCAGGGACACAATAAAGACTATGAAGTTATCTATAAAACATTTTTATTGATTAGTGTCTTTTATATCTTGTTGCTAGCTGTTACTCACTGGTGAGAAAATTAAAGTGAAAACCATGAGGTACATTCTTTGAGGCCATCTGCTCGACGGACAAGAAATCTTTGAGATCTAACTGACGTAATTCCAATCAAAGAAGTGTAAGTCTTTGATATGTTTTTCTCTGATAATTTGTACACGCTATTGTACCAATTCATTGGTTACAATGCTTGGAACATTGAGAGCAGGGGAAGGGAGCCTAAAAAATTCACAAAAACCGAAAATCTTTCTATCGATATGCAACAGTGAGTTGTAGCTAACACGACCTGTTGCATAATATACACGGTCAAGTTTAGTAGTTAAAGTCACTGAACGTTGTAATATTTGTAATTTTTACCGTCAAGAATTCAATTCAATAAATCACTTTCATATCACATAGTGGGTCGCCCGCTCATTAGTCAACCTACTTTGAAACTTTTCCTAAAGAATTCTGCTTCAATGTATCGTTTTAATCGCTGTATCAATAATTTATTCAGCTAATTTTTGGATTGTAGCAGAATTCGAATGAATTAAAATGAATGGAAATGAAATGAAATGAAATGAAATGAAATGTAATGAAATGAAATGAAATGAAAAGGAAATGAAATGAAATGAAATGAAATGAAATGAAATGAAAAGGAAATGAAATGAAATGAAATGAAAAGGAAATGAAAAAGAAATGAAATGTAATGAAATGAAATGAAATGAAAAGAAATGAAATGAAATGAAATAAAATGAAATTAAGTGTGATGAAATGAAATGAATTGCAATGAAATGAAATCAATGAAATTAGAAATTTGCGTGCATACAAATTGCATTCAAGAAAATTAGCTCTGTCTTAAACACTCAAATGCACAAAGGTATGCAAAATGAATATAACGTTTAATAAGACGACAAAGCAACCAAAGAACAATCGAATCCATTTTATCTCTTAATGTTGACCAGACGTAGGACATATGCAAATTTCACAGTTACATTCACAGCAAAGTTACAATTGAGCATATAACTAGTAGGCCTACAACAATTTCTTTTGAAGTTTTCCAATAAAAATGGCAAAAAGGAATGTCTGTTGGGAAAATAACTTTTTAAAGCCATTGTACGCTTACATTTGTTCTTGTGACCCTTCATTTTCCAATCAATTATTAACTAAAGTTACAGGTCTGCTGCCTCACATTCTTTCTTTCAAATGAATTGGTACTGTAGCCTGCATACTTACCACCGTTTTCTGCAAGGGTCGTAGGAAGTGTTCAAACATGACCATGCATTGTTTGAAAATGGGTGAAAATAAACACAACAATCGATTCCCTAAAACGGTTATGCTGTGAAATGAAATTTCCATTCACCAATCACAAACATAAGATGCTCAGAAAGTAGTCCAAATGATACATTACTTACACAACCTTTTACTACTGGGCATATCAAAGCAACAATGCCCAGAAATACTTAACCATGGTATAGGAAAAAAACTATTTTTAAATCCGAAAGAGATGAATAACGGAGAAGGGGGAAATCCTAGGGGATAGCATTACCATTTTTCACGTGAAATTTGGGGAATTGTCCGTTCCTAAGTCTTCTATATCATCAAATTTCGTTTCGTATAAGAAGAAAGCTGATTTCAATTTCGTCAAAAAATTGCCGATATTCGTGTTCAGTTTATACGAAGCAACCTCCCTCCCCCCATCCCCTCCGGATAAGGTTCAACTTAACAACACAGTGGGAACTTTCCTTTTTTACTTATTTAGAGATTTGGAGCTAACTTAGGAAACAATAAACAAATGCTTAACCTAGTTGAACTTAGACAAAGAAAACGACCAAAGATAATTGGCTGAAAGAGGATAAAATGTTTTCTATTATCCCAAAAAAATTACACACCTTTAACTTTAACTGAATCATAAACTTAAACTTTAATTGAACTTCAAATATTTACTTTTGACTTTAAGAATGATGGCTACTTGGCAGAACATTCACTATTTGGGCGTTTCAATGAACACTAAATCAAACATTGAAAACACATCTAAGACCAAGTTGTCTTTTTCTGACAAGTTTCAATTATTAATACAGCTATAAAAACGAAAATTATCATACCTTCCAAGCTCCTCTTTGAGTTCATAGAAGTCCTCTAATGGCTCCGTCTGGAATATTATAGTATCCATACCGAAAAGGCCACTTCTGTCTATAAGCTCTGTCTTTCTTTTGATTAAGTCAAGCAGTAAAATGAAATTGTCTTTCTGTTAGCTTGAAATTCGACGCAGCTGAACTCATCGATTACAATCCGTTGGTAGAAATTAAGCGAAAACTGAGCCAATTAAATATTGATGACTGATGCATGGCAAATCTGAGATATACCCAAACGTCCACTCGAGTTCTCCGATCTCGTCTTCAGCAGAACCTGCTATAATAAGAATAAGGTCGCTTGAATTAGGCAAAATGTCAAATATACCGTAAACTGCATATAAACAATGGAACCTGAGATCCGATTTTGTACCCACTAAGATAAACTGATTTATAGAACGTGTATCAGAGATTTTTGTGGGATTTGCTTGTTTCCTGACGTTGGATTAGCAGATCCCGGCTACGTCAGGTTAATCTCGCATCCAAGAGATATCACCCCCACCCCACCCCCGCTTATAAGCTGTTGTGAAGTTTAGGCATTAGGCATTGTACAACATAAGCTTTTAGGTTTTACCGATATCGAGGATGTTTTGATCGAATGCAAAATATCAGCTTTGAAATAACAACCTGGATAACTGGTTTCAAAGAAAAGATAAAAGTTGAACAAAAACAAGTAATAACTAACTTCAGTTACATCCACACACAGAAGAAAGCAATTCATCTTAGATTTTCACAATGTGGGACGAGTTGAATTCTCGAAAGTATACAGCATTTTCAAAACATTGTTACATCCTAATTGTGTCTCAATGACGCTTTGAAAATATGAAGATATACTATAACTTATATCCAATAAATTTGAAGTTTAAAATACATTACGATTAACCAAGAGGCAAGGCTATTTAAAATTGGAACTTCACCAAAGCCGGTTTGATGGAGAGCCTGAACGCAAGAACTACAAGTTATCATTATTTCATTAGATTTCATTACATACGAATAAACATTTTTGGGCTGTTGAGAAACACTATACCGCAATATCCCCAGTAATGACATAACCACGACTTCTGTGTACTGTATGCAAACTGTCAAATCCGTTTTTGATCTTATGACCAAACAGGCTTTACGATTAATAAGGATGCCGATAGAGACCAGCTGGTAAACGAGTATAGTGCCCAAACCGCTCATCTCCACATCAAATATATAAATCAGCAAATCTACGAACCTAGATCAGTTGATAGAACTAAATATCAAACACCCAACTAAACAGCATACTTAACGGACCACTGTCATCCAGAAATGGAAGCGTCAGGATATCGAGTCACTGATAAGGCAGAAAGCCCATGTTTGGTTTATTTCAAAAATCCATTCTCGACCACATATTTACCAAATGTTCGATTAAAACGAAAGCTGTCTAACCTTGAATAGATAGACAACAACCTGAGTGGAGCTGCTTGGTTTTAAGCGTTTCACGAGCTTAAGGTTATATTGTATTGGGAGTACCTTTGTATCCAGGCATACCATCTCGGGGGGGGGGCTGGGGACCATAGTCCCTTCGCGTTTTTGCAGTAGTGTGATATTAATGTTGCGGCATAAAGGATAAAAATGAAAAACTACGTAAAATTCTAAAACACCCTTCAAGCCCCCCTCCCCTTACCAAAATCTGTTCCAGCGTCGCTGGCATCTAAACTGCAGCACTATAAAGTTACAGTCAATTTTGTTAGACTTACTGTCTTTAGATTGTTGTAGTATTTACCTTCGCTCAATCGTCTGGATTTGGAAAAACACTTGACTAACGGCTATTCATCCACGGTGATAGGACTATCAAGAAGACCAGCCTAAAACTAAATCCAGTGTCCAGAAACCACATAACTTTTCTTCCAAGCATGTTTCTCATGACAGTTTCCGTGTTGAACAAGAAAAATATGAGCATCTCTTGGGATGGGGGTCACTTTCTTTATTGTAATAATCAGATGAGCATAAGACCACAAAGTATTCCCTGGTTATGAATCACTCTAGAACGAACTTTGGGAGGAGTCCGTCTTGATAAGATAATAGAGTTAATCTAGTTCGAGATAGAACAACCATGGCGTCACCTAACGTTTTGGAACGATACAACAATAACCACTCGAAGAATGTTTGATCTATTCAACAACGAAACAAAAGTGATTCCATACGAAACTTTTTAAATTTAAACAGAAAAGCGTCCTTTCATTTCATTTTTTACAAATGACGCACTGGCATGTACCGGTTGGGCCCGGCGTGGCCTGGTTGGAAGTTACATACATAACTTCAGTTGTATGAAGCTGAAAGACAGCAAAAGCATTATCTTCGGAAAAAGTAAAGCAAAGATGATATGATGTTCAATAAAATAAAGTTTCTGAGCAACTAATTTTTGCGAAGGCTCGGAGGTCTGAAGGCAGCAAGGTGCATCTTTCTAGACAGAACAGTTTGCTCGTTATTTAAACCAGAAAAAGAATCATTTCAGCATATGTACTTTCACAAACTTTAATATCGAGTTCTAGATCTTCTTGAAATAGGCTAGGTTATAATGTGAGCAGCAGCAGATATTAACCTAGACCTCGAAATCATGACACATCATGAAACACAAAACAACCAAAAACCATGTTACTGACTTGAAGAAAGTGATGCATGCCCCCATTGATAAAGCGTTATTAGTTTCTTAAATACAACTTAAGCAGCAGCTGCAACTTAGCCTAGCCAACTCACAATGTTTACGGAACCTGTACCAAAGAACATCGTTAAATGAAAGACATTATCTAACAAAATATTATCATGAATTGCTCACGTTTGATGACTTTAAAGGTGTTAAGTATATGCACATATATTTATACCTATATATCGCCTCATTTAATACTTACCCTTAACGCTTATCAGCCACACCTAACTTCATCCGCATTTTGCACGGTTAGGTTAAAAGGCAATGGCGGAAAAATGCGCACTTATTATTTACGTTATTAATTATGCAAACAGTACAAACAATAATCAGCTATTAGAAAATTTGTTCAATTATTAAAGCAACCAATTCAGTTTTCATATACAAAATTTGATAAAAAGAATACGCATGCGTGTCATCTGCCTATTACACGCTAGCACCAACCTCTATTGGCACACCAGAAACACCAGAAACATGGACAGTCATTAAGATGTGAAGCCTTATGAGCAAGAGGAGAAGATAGATCTATTCTATCAGGGCAACATTAATAGACGCAGGTTTCTTGTCTGGATACAATTCATCAGGAGAAAGAGGAATATTTCTCTAAACGTGATGATTATCTAGTGTACAGCGATAAGCTTTGCATACCGACAAGCTAGCGATAAACTAGCGTACAGCGATAAGCTTTGCATACCGACAAGCTAGCGATAAACTAGCGTACAGCGATAAGCTTTGCATACCGAGAAAGATGAGACGAGCAGCGGTAACGAATCTTTAGGGTCTTCTGATAGCATACAAAGCTGTGACTTACTTCTGTCCGCTTTACAAAAAGGAGCCTGCGCTCCAGACCCCTAACTTGAAAGGTTTGGGGTTAGGGATCTGGAAGACAGGTTATACAAAAAGGAGTTAACTAGTTCGAAAGGAAAGTCAAAAGAGCAAGCAACCAAAATGGAAGAAATGATCGGGCAAAAAACAGAGGACAGACTCAAAGCCACTTCAACTCATGTCAATATGCCATCCCAGAACGTAGTGCGAAATGACTAGAAACAAAGATCCTTCTCTAATAAACGCCACATATAAAAAAATAGAAAATGCATGAAGGAGTGTGCAGAATATCTCGGGTCCATTTTTCAATGTTCTGTGACAATTATGCAAAAATAAAGTGTTTTTTATTTCCTCGATCTTTTGTTCACATGTCAGTTCAACGTGACACAATTTTTCTCTTCTTTTCTGAATTTCCTTATTAAGGGTCGTAGCATTTGACTACTTTTGTGTGTAAGCAGCAAATAATACAAGTAGGACATCCCCCCTTCTTGTTTGATTTTCCCGGTAACTTTATTAAACGCCTCCCTCTAATAAATGCCGCATCAAATTTCTAAAAATTTAAATGAACATCCCCAGCTACCCTGGGTACCAAGGCTCTAGAAATCGGGAGAGGAATGGAGCTTCCAAATTTTGTAGGCTTTGGTACCCAGGGTAATCACCGGCGTGTATTAGAGGAAATACAGAATTTCAAATCAGGTTTCCTCATTTTAGCAATGGGGGCAGGGGGCAGCATTGGGCAGCAAAGTGCCCTTTTCAAACAATTGATTTCAGAATTAAATAAAGGATTCAAATGTCTCTGATACCTATATGCAAGAGAAAAGTCAATATTTTCCATGTTGATGAAAACTGAAAATCAATTTGCAAAGCAATTTGACTGAACATGTTCTTGTTGATCATTTCTCTTTATCCTTCATGATCCTGCTGAAAAGATTTCAGTTTGCCACCAATGTTGGCTCGCACCAACGTTTTCATACGTTTATTAGCAAAATAATGTTCATATTCTCACAAAATTGTGGCTCACCTGCACAAGGGGCAAACACCCCCTCCCCCACACTTCTTGCTACAATTTTGCAGCTGAATAATTCGCCCCTTTCTCTCGATGGGTAAGTCGTAAACCTCTGCATTTGAAAATCGTATCATGCCCCTACATTTCATGAAGCCCCCTATGATCTTCTCTTGGTATACCACTGCCTTGGGGTCTGTTTAATACAATATTTTTCGTTTTTTCCTTGCAATGAATAGACTTGTATGCAGAGATTCGCACAAAGACTTTTGTGTAGCATCATATAGATACACAAGTGACTGAGGTAGAAAGACTTTGTCGTGGGTTAAGAGCAAATATTTTGATTTCGTATTTACCAACGAAATGTATATCGAAAACGAGCGAAAAGCGGTTGAAAAACTCAAGGGTTGTAGATCTGTCAACACTTTCCAAGCGTGAGAAAAACAACATCAACTGCAATATGAAATACTGATCCTCTGTTGAATATACAATGCAATGCGTTTGGACACTATTGAAATTCATGAAGAAAGCTTCTCGAGGGCTGAAAAGTTTAAAAATTCAACCTCCAAAACTCTGTAACGAAAGCTGCGTATATTTTGGAAGGGAGGTGGATAAAAAATGTGCCCTGAAAACCAAGCAAATCCTTATTCGTGAAAACCAAGCAAATCCTTATTTATGGAAGTGAGACGAGATTATAACATCAGTTTGCTTGGTAGGATGGCAAGAAATAAGCAATTTTCGATAACCTTTAACAAATCGTTTAGGCAAGGGTAATACTATGTATTGGGAAAATGCCAAAAATTGATAATTAGTGTCTTTGCGGCCTTTGATAAACAAACTTCAAAATAAAGATAACTGTTTCCGTCATAAAACCCAGTACCTCTTACCCTTCGGAACATCTAAAGCTAATGCTTTGGACCTTTCAAAAGCTAAACAATTCTATGCTCACCAGTTTGGTTGGTACGGGACCTGTTTGGAGACGAATTTTGTCATCAACCGGCAAGAATGTCGAAGTGGCGAGTCGCAGATTTTCCTTCTGAATATGCAGATCTAAGTATGCAGATCGAGAGCTTAATCGGAACCTAAACAAATAGCAGAAAACCACAACGTCATGCTGTGTAGGCCTAAACAAACAAAATTTAAAAACAAACTCACCTCAGATACTATGATTGCGAATTTTTCAAAGTTTTCAATATTGTTTTCGTTGACTCGTAAGGAGGAAGACGTTAACGTCACCAGCTTCGCACGTGTGGTGTTGCTGTCGGCGCAATTAGTTAAAGTTTCCAGCGATATTTACTCGCCTTGTCAATCTGAAAGGTTCTTTACAACAAGGACAATTGTTGTCTCCCTTGGAGGCCTTTGTTCTTGGTTCAATGTTGCTCTGTCCTGAAAGAGCAAATGACAAAAATCAAACTAGGCAGGCATTTTAAAATCCATCGCCAGGGCAATTCTCGTAATATGCAGAAACAAAGCTGATTACTCAAAATTTTACTTGAAATAAATCAAATACATTCCAAATAGGCAAAAATGCGTACAGACAAAAAGAAAATTTACGATATGCGTTTTTCAAATCTTGTTAGCAATTAACATATCTTGATAAGATTTTTGCAGATTTGCTAATTTGCATTAGACCTTTGAGATGATCAGTGATGCGACGCGGTGCAGTGGTAAGGAACTGCTGATGATGAGGGTGTGTTGCGGCAAAACCCGAAAACTTCCAGGACGGGGACTGGCAATTCACGTGTTCCTAAGGTCAGTGCTTTGGGCGGGCCCGAGGCCAGAAGAGGGCTTGGGACTAAGCCCCTCCCCCCTCCAAGTTCATGGAGAATACTATTTTTTGGGAAATATACTACATTAACTACAAAAACTTTCGTCGTGACAAAATTTCGGGCGAATATTTTGACGAAAATCTCTTCGACGAAATTCAAAATGAGACGAAATTTTGGCGAAATAAGACAAAAGGGCACAGCCCCCCGTGCCCCCCCTGCAGCTACGTGGCTGGTTAACGTCTTACCCATCGAGAGAAAGGGGCCAATTATTCAGCTGCAAAATTGTAGCAAGAAGTGTGGGGGAGGGGGTGTTTGCCCCTTGTGCAGGTGAGCCACAATTTTGTGAGAATATGAACATTATTTTGCTAATAAACGTATGAAAACGTTGGTGCGAGCCAACATTGGTGGCAAACTGAAATCTTTTCAGCAGGATCATGAAGGATAAAGAGAAATGATCAACAAGAACTTGTTCAGTCAAATTGCTTTGCAAATTGATTTTCAGTTTTCATCAACATGGAAAATATTGACTGTTCTCTTTTTCCCTGTATGGGTTTGTCACCTAAGATTTTGGTTATATGTTGCTAACTTTATATTAAAAATTCCACGACGAAATTTTGTCACGACGAAATTCTGAAAAATTGTCCGAACTTTTCTCGACAAAGTTTATCCGCCGAAAATTTATCTGACGAAATTTGTTGTTGTTAATGTATGTTACAGATTTGCAGCTTTAGCAGAAGAAGAACCGGGGTATAAGGGGTGCTGATGCTGAAAGGAAGTCAAAATGACTGAAGGAACTTTAAGAAAATAGATCAAATTCTTTTATTTTGGTTATTAGGTATGTTTTTGCTTTATATTTAAGTTCAGGCAGACTGTTCTTAATTATTTCGAAAATCTGAGGCTGGATGGTTCTTAATTTTTTCTTAAATTAATAGGGTGTAAGCAGTGGCATTGCTTGCTTTTTAGCTCTAGGTAGGTGTTCAGGCCTCATTTGCCAAAAGTGAGTCAGACAACCTTCATTTGCCGCCAAGTTTGAATATTCACCGAAAAAACACCCACATACGACTAAAAATTCTTGATTTCGAGATAAAACGTTGTTCAAAATTGCATTTTAGAGTAGCTCAGCTTCAGCTTGTTGTTAATTTGCTCTTAACTTTTGACAAATTCTGAGGCCCGTATTCTTATAAAGTTGTTCTTATAAATAGAAAAGAATGTATAAAATTAAGTTCAAACAGTATTTTTAAAATGTGAAACGCACAGTGGTACGTGAATAGATAGCTCACATTGAGCTTTTTCCTGTGTCTTTCAGTACTTAATAAATCATCAAATTACCTTATTGCAGTTAAAGACTTTTGCTGAAAAGAAAAGCTAGTTTTCTTTTAGTTTGAATAGAAAATGCAAGATTATGCAGAAATTTCATTTAAAAACTCACAGATGATGCTCAACATAGTTCCACTTGAAAAGCATAAAGTTTCCCGTAAATTTTTTGTCCCTGATCCTTGATCGAATCCTCGGTCTTGCATGAACAGCAATGATGTCCTGATAGCCTTCTATTCACACGTATCTGAAAATTTCTTTTATGCTGTTCCTGTAAATTGCTCCCCGGGGTAGTCGATCTTTGTTCTGTGCTGGCGTCACATCACAGCTTTCTGTTCAAAACACAGAAAAGATGCTCAACTGAGTAGTGACGTTAATATTTTTCAGTGCTTAGACCCCGTTTACACTGTGCCGGATCAATTTTATCCGCATCAAAATTAGCCTTCACTTCACGGAAGTTTTTGGTCTGTGACGCAGGCTACATCAAAATTAGTTCAGATAGGCGTCGCGTCTACACTAGACCCATGCTATCTGCACAGATTTGAGAACGGCTTATGAACAAAATTAGTTCACCTAGGAAAGTGGATTAAGTTCGGATAGCTATGTGGTACAGTGTAAACGCTTTTATCCGGATAAATTTTGCCCACATCGCATCTTGCTCGAAAGCGATTGGCTATTTCATCCAATAAAGTTTTCACTGTCTCCCAATCAAATTTTTAACCATCTTGGCTGCCTTATTGTCGATAAATATGCGGATAAATTTTATCCGGCACAGTGTAAACGGGATCTTAGCCTTGCTTTGAACCATAAACCTCGAGGACTGAACCTGGTTCACGGATTTTTGAGACAAGATTGATGATTGGTCAAAAATAAAAAAACAAATCACTTGCAACAGTTTTCCTCTCTTATTCCACTTAGAGAATTCCACTCAGAAAAAATTCGCTAGCAAAAACAGCTAAGCTAACTTCATAATCAGAGCAAGGTGTCCTCTAGATGAATATTTAAAGAAAATGACGCAAAAAGTACCCATAGAAAAATACTTGGATTAATGCTTCTATAATGAAATCAAACAAGGATAGCCTATAGAACGAGTCTTGGGTTGGGAAGTTTAAAAAAGGAGTTCTCTCCTAAAAGTCTCTATCTGTGCAAGTCATTGAAAGCGTTATTTTCTAGATTTTCAATAAAAACGAATTATGTGTTTGCTAACATGCTCTAACCTGTAACTTGGCCAAACTGGTATGATTTTTTGGTTTAGATTTAGTCTAAAAGGCAGCTTGGGGCCAGGCATTATGAGGCCAGGCCCAAAAAACCCTCATTTTGAAATCTTCATTGGCTAACTTCAGTGTGTTATTGCAGATATGGACCTTCCCAGAATTTCTTATTATTGGGGGGGGGGAGAAGGTTGTTGCAACGCCAGTGTCCCCAACATCTATTCAAGGGAGTGTCACTCGCATTTCTACCGGTCTAAGGACATCGAGAAGTATACGTTACGTCAATATGATATGAATCACTGAGATATTTTAAGAGTTAGGCATTGAGAAGACCGGATGTGAGCCTCAGAAAAGTGAGTAGAGACTATCTCAGTTCTCTTTCGCTAGAGCAATGGCAAGAAATTTGGACATCACAGCAAAAAGCAATATTACTTAATGGCATTTTCTCCGCCATCATGAATATAGCCATAGGCGTAGTGAATAATTAGTGGGCTTCGTTTGGATCTTGCCCCTGACAGATTTAACTCTGAGCTTTTAATACCGACGATTGATAGAATCACTGATTTTATGTGGTTTGCCTATGTTGAACAGGAAATTTGACTTAGGTCCGCTTATTAAAGAGGCTTAGTCCCGCTAATTTGAGATTTATCTAGCTCCTTACATTAATTAATCGTTGGAATATATTTTATCTGCCAAATTAGTTATTCCAGCCTTATCTTATGCATAATTCAAAATGGCTTTGAAAAAAGCAAACATTTTGAAACATACTTAAGCTTTTCTTCCGCGAGTGTATGAATGTCAGAATAAGTAAAACATGCGAAACCAATTCAATTATCTCCTTTCTGAATAAGCCTTTCTATCATACTGATTTCTAGATTTCTAGACAAAAGGTGCATAGATTGAAACGTTTTTACCATGTAATTTTGCATTGGAGCACCTTTGTGCAGATTCGCATTTTTTAATTTAAGAGCGTATTTCTGCCTTCGTCACGTTTTTTGCTTACAAACATGCCCTCCTCCTAAATAAACTCCAGTTTTCAATGAATCCTTTTTATTCGATTCAATTTCCATTTCAATATTAATCTCAGAGGAGGGGCTTTCCTAAAGGCCCTGTTACAAGGTCATAATTTTAATTTTTCATAAATATTCATCAGGTATTAACATCTTCAAATGGAGGAGTAAATATCAATTTTATAGCTACAAATATATTACATAAAATGTCAAGATGAATTACGCATTCCGAAAATTCGAAGTTATTTAAAGCTAGCTACCTAACAACTTAAAGTCAACCCTATGAAAAATTCGTAAGAGACTTGAGTGGAGTTTTCTGCTTTGACTCAGTGAACAGGTAATTCAATAACTTGATCCTCTGAAGGAGGAACGTGTTTGATCATTTAATGGTCTTTGCATAGGTAGATATAGGTCTATTTCAGTGCTGCGGAGGCTATGTCAGGCATAACAGGGTACCAAAGTGTGACGTCATCGAACATTTTTTTTAATTTCTGAAATCTAACTAAATGCACTCAAAGAATGGCATAAAATACCATTCAATATGCAAAATCAGTTAGCTATGTTAAAAATTGGGCAAGATATGGCCCATGAAAGATCTCAAGTTTGCTAACGGACGAGTGTTATATTGGCCTGGTTCATAAAGTTATGAACCAAGACCAAGTTACACAGGTTAGATGGGACATTATGCGGCCATATCCCAGCGGGCTCAGTCAGTTGGTCAAACGTATAACATGCGAGTTCCGAAAAGCTCTGAAAAGGGTAATCTGAAAGCTCGAATTTTGTGACATAGAATTTTGAAAATGGGGATGCTTTTGTACACAGTGGGAGAAGCCACATAGGAATTTTTACTGATATGATGCTACAGATATTTTTTTTGGTAAAATAATGGCTATTAAAGTACAACGAATTTTGCAGTAGCATCTAGCTATGTCTTTTGTCTTCCTAATCCTCGATAAGAAATTTAAATCTTTGCTAGTTTGTACTCATTGCAGGGTACTATTTGGAATTTGACGCAACTTTTTTACTTCTTCATCACAAAGCATTGAACACAGTGTTGTGAAGTAAGCAAAATGTTGTATTTATAGTTATAAAGCTCGCTTATTTTGTTACTTTATATCAAGATCCAAAAGAAATCGTTCTTAAAATCAAATTTAGTGAATTTTGCTCTTCAATATGCCTTTCGATACAAGTTTAAGAAATAGAATGGTTTTTACATGAATTGGTTTCAAAAAAACTACTTGCTCAAGCTTGAATATTCTCAGTGAAAGGTACTGAAAAGTTTTGGAAAGTCAGAGAAAAGGGTACATTTTACGCAACCCAGAATCAGAGATTAGTGTCCAGTTTCTATTTTTAGGAACACACACGATAAACATTGGATCAAGTGACTGAGCCCACCGGGGGCCATTTCTCAGCCAATTCATATTACCTTTAAGGGCCCACACCACGAGTTTGAGAGTGGAGAGTCAAGGCTTCTCTCACTTTTCATTGTTATTTGAAATTATTTGCCTCGAAAAAAAGTGGGGGGGGGGGGCCATCATGCCCCCAGCTGGCGGGGCTCCTGCCTTCAACTGATTTTGCGTGTTTAGGAGATACTTCATGTTGCTCGTTAAGGTTATGGGATCAGATCATCAGAATTAAAAAATTATTAACATAGATTTTTGTGACTTTAGCTACCACTTCGGTGGAGCAGGTAAAATGGAGCAGAGCATAATAAAAACGATACTCACCCTTCTCGATAAGCCTCTCTCATTAGCGTCGAGAGTTGTTTTCTGAAGCATATTCATATTATTAATGTATCTTCATTTTGTCAGACTATGGGACTGGATTTAAAGACTGAGTGCCATACCGCATATATTCCAACAATAGGCATACACGAGATGTCATGACTCATGAGATATAACGTATCAAAGGCTATAACTATATTTCAGGATGATAAGATGTTGTTCAGTGACTGGAGGGTTCCTTATAGAATCCTTGTTCTTTGACAAGTAGGACCTGATTCATTTATTGAAAGCACCAACTACTAAACTCAGCTCTCTCTGGATTTTTTTTGGCCTTTTTTGGCCTTTCTTGCGAATTAGCTTTTCAGCTTCAATTTGTCAAAAGCTTTTACTAAAAAAGCTTTAAAAAGCTATTCTATCTTACTGACAAAGCTACAAAGGAAAAACCAAACAATTCAGAGGAAGGGAGGTGAAGCCCAACGAAATTTCCAGTCCTCTTCTCCAGCTTGTGCTTATTAGAGCTTCAAGCACTCTTCCTAAGGACCGCAGCTTCCAAGGCTTAACGCCTCCCAAAATTTCCAGAAATGTTCTTTAAACCATAAAGAATCATCTTGTTATTTACTTTTAGCACGTTTAGCCACCTACTCTCCTCCCCAGGACATAATGCGCTTAACAGTCTCCGTTGTTCTAATCCATTTTTGTCTAGCTTCGACGTCATGCTAGATATGGTGTGGGTTCCAGACATTTCTAAGCCGTTTCAGCCCATTATATCAATTGACCCGTAGTTTTTCCATATAATTCTTCACTTCACTGGACGTTAGCTATCCGATTATTTTCATTCTCTGAGCAGTTTTCGTGCTTTTGAATTCAGGTTGTTTCTTCACCCGTGAAAAATTTTTTCATGACTATTCAAAGCCAAATGTTTGTAAGCTGTTTAATTTTATTTCTAATCTTTCTAAATTACTTTTTCGATGTCTTTTAATTTTGGTGTCCATCTTTGATGAATTTATCTTACTTTTCTACATTTTTGGCATCGTGTCTTATATCTAGTGGTGTGTTTAGCGGTTATCATGCTAGTCAAGTTGGTAGGACTTTTTATCACCCTACACTATCTGAACCTACTGTAATGCCCTGATCAAGCCTAGTGTGTGATAGTGTCGCGTCTGTAGTGGCCTAGTGTGTGATAGTGTCGCATCAAGTTTGATGGTATTTAACTCGAATTTTGGAGATCCAGATCACTACACCTAAATCTGATTTCATCGAACCTAATGCTATCACCTTTGCATTGAGTTTCTGTTTTCCGATCTCGTTTATATTTCTCTTTTATATTTCCATAAAAATGCTGTAAAAAGAATGCTTTGCTGGGGCTGGGCTTTGTATGAAGTAGTAGAAATAATAGGCACTGACTTGATAAGATACTTATTAATTGTACCTAATTTATTCGCTGGTATGCATTAGCGTTTAGAACTTGACGGTCTAATTTACAATGCTTGAGTTTCACGCTTAATTCAAGCATCGAGGGACTGTTTTTAAGTATGTTCTTTAAGTATGCTATAAGGGCATAGGTTTTATTGATGATGGTACCAAGAAAAGCATCATATTACACACGGTGACTGAGGCTAGATTCAGAATGTAACTTTTGACAGTTGCAAAAAAATGCTAGCACTGATGATTTGTACAATTTCATTATTTTAACCGAAATATAACTGTTCTAACCACCAAGTTTTTAAAAATGAGTAGATACACGATTCCCTTTTTATCACTTCCAAAACCTTCGAAGTGCCAACAGCTTTCTACAAGTTGCCGATTGGTGCAATATAATTTTATTGTGGAAATCACCAATATGATGCATAGAACAAAGCTTGTTTCACTCGGTCCTTGAGAAGAATGCAGAAAAAAACTCGTTTGCCGTTTTTCGTTTGTCGTTTCCAAACAATCTGAAGCAATATAAAATAAGAAAGCTATTATCAATGTATATGGAAGTTAAGTCTGTGCCTGAGTGTTCATATTGGGTTATCATTATGATCCATAATAATTATAAACGTTCTTTAAAACACTCTCTATGGAGTGAATGCAAGAAAGTCATTGACATCATCCCGAGATCCAATGTAAATAGGCGACCTATCATGAATTGATGACGGTACCACATCTAATAGAGGCTTCTTGCCATCGGTAGCTAGCCCACCAGCTTGTTCAATTATCATGGCCATCGGATTGCATTCATAAAGAAGGCGAAGCTGAGAAGAAAAAAATTATCAGTTAGCTCCAATCGTACACAGTCAAAGCTCGTCGCAGCATAACACAAAATGCAGGCTGCAAAAGATTATCTATTGGCAACCAAAGATGTGATATGTAGATATGTAATACTTGATGTGATACATGATTAAACATAATATACACAATAAAGAGAGGCTGGCCAAAACCAGAAATATATAATTAAGGACCTATGTATATACCATAAATATAACATGAAAATATTTGCCCTAGAAATAAGCTTAAGCATATCAGATTTGAATCCCTGCGGCTTAAAAGATCTATAGAGAGACAGTTGCTAAAAATACAAAACCACTTTGTGCGTTTATCATCAAAGGCGATTTGGTAGTCTTTAGATGGTTTAAAAGTGGTGTCGGGCTACAAATATCAATTTGCGCCACATAGTAACAATGCTACTTAGAATACCTTTCCTTTTGGTGACGACTTATTTGCAGGGTACATAAATATTCCACCATATTTCAGTGTTCTGTGCATGTCAGCAACCATAGAGCCAATGTACCTTGAGCCATATGCCTTTTTACCAGGCTAAAATGAAAAAAAATTTAACAGTGATTAGACGAGGTATTTATGGTATGGTTACTGTTTATATCATTTACAAAGATGATTTCAATCATCAATGCGGAGGATGTAAAATTTTCTACCTATTTCAGTTCATACATCTTGCTTTAATTTTCAAGATCTTTGTCAACTTTCTAATTTACGATCTAACCTTAATAAATGCGTGACTAATATATATATATATATGTATAACATTTACTTTCTTTATTGTAAACAACAATTGTTCACCAATGTCTTACCAGCTAAGTGCTGTAGCAAGAAGTGCTGATTGCCTTCCCTACATTTTAGAAAAAATTTGAAGCCAAGGAAATGATGTTTTAGGCGAGGCTTGGAATAGAATTCTACAGACTTTGTCAGAAAGGAAACATTCAAATATAGAAATACTGAGACATCCTAATCAAAGCATGACTAATAACAAGAAAGTTGAACAACATTTTGAGCACACACCTCTGGATGTTTAAGAGATTGAAGGTATTTTCTCAGTTTTTCATCAAACAATGCTTCATAACCCTCATTAAGACTGTAAATTGATCCTCTTGGCTTACATTTCATATCAGGGTCGGTCAGCACAAATTCACCAATTGACTGCAAAAGATAAGATTTGCTGATAAAGAAAGCAGGAATATCTGGCACAATTAGCAAAAGTATGTATCCTCACAATAATACTGAGTCTACAATTTATAAGCTCAAAAAATGGAATATTAATGCACAGGATGCTTGACAATAACAACAATATATATATAAATATATATATTTGTGAAAAAAGTCTAAATTGTATAGGTGTTTGTTGGTATTGGTATGTTAAGATTTGGTTCAAGTGGGGATCAGACTTGGTTCAGAAGTGGTTAAGGCTTGGTTTGGGAGAAATTCTTTCTGTGTTTAGGGGAGGGGTAGGTTCAGGCTTACAGTGATCTAGTTGCTGTTTTAGTGTTGTGGTCGTGGTAATATAGATGCATCTATCAACATAAAGAATCTATAGGGCAAAGTCAATTGCTTAGCTAACATGAAAAAGCTTTATGTGTTAAGGTTGGCTTTTTGGGTAAAAATATGAATGTTGCTGTGACATCATCTGCTGACCACACTTACTATTGGTTTTTCATGACTGAATAGAAATTTGGATGTAGTCCAGCAACAGTGTGGACTATAGCAACTGTATGGTATCCTATATAGCAGGGTTGTCCAGCCAGTATGATGTGGCCTGTGCATTGATGAAAGTTAATGGAGGACTGTATTCTATTTATGTAGGCTACCCTCGATCTATGACATTTATCTTCAAGTTCCCCTCATTGAAACAAGGTTAGACAACCCTGGTCTATAGGTTACTAATACAAGTTTTTCAATACCAAGGCAGAAATTTCAACAGTTACATAAACACTAAATGGTACTATGGTGATTTTAAGCTGAATGAAAACATACAGGATCCAAAGTGAACCCATTTACGCCATCCCCAGTTGTTAGTACAAGCATGCATGCACTGCCATAAAGAGCATATCCAGCAGCAACCAACTCTCTCCCAGGCTGAAGGGCATCTGCAGCAGTTGGAGGACCAGGTGTCTTCTATAAATTGAATAGAATCAACAGATTAATTAGAAGAAAAAATGGTAGCATTACCTGTATGAACTATTATTATGGCACATTTCTTTAAGTTCAGGGTCAGTGAAAACAAACAGTTTCTATGCAAGTCATAATATTAAAACAGGCAAGCATGATATTTTGCAGCAAAATTTTTTATGCATTCAATAATCATATAAACAAGAAGTAACACCTAAGTTATTTTTATGGAATAATTTTTTCTGCATCCATGGCTAATGAATAGTGTTGCACTGTTACTTAGTTGAAAACACAATTACATCAAAAAGCAAGGAAAGATTATAGATATCCAAACAAACATCCGGTGGGGTTAAGCTTGAAATTAGTCAATTTATAATAATCAAACAACTAGGATTACATTCATTTTTTATAAGAAACAAAGGTTGACGTTGAATAATTTAGCTTCTAGATACTTCAGGAAATTTCAATACTCTTTGTTTCTTAAGAGTTTTTAATTATGATGTCATTAATCTTAACATCAAAGGCCTTATATTGAAATTTTCATGATAGGACATAGGGTACTCTAGGTCTAAAACTTCATGCCAAGTAGCCAATTATATTAATAATGAAATTCAAAGTTCAGGGTTATTTTAAATCTGATTCTTTCTTCATTTTCTTGCATCAACTAAAAAGTTTCTTAACTTTTTCTGACTGCCCAGTATTTGTTTCTTATAGCCAGTCTTTATAATAATGAGTATATAGATATATAATAACATGTTACCAGTCTTTCAAAACATACCTTTTTGGCAATTGCAAAAATAGAGCCAATAGAAACCAAGCAGTCAATGTTTGAAGAGCCATCAAGTGGATCAAAATAGACAATATATTTGCCTTGCTTGTCAGCATCTACTTCTATTACTTTCTCATCCTCTTCTGAGACCATAAGAGATACAGTGTATGAAGAGCTCAGCATGTTAATAAACAATTCATTAGCAAGCACATCTAACTTTTGAACAGTATCCCCTGTAGTATTAGCATGACCTGCAATGCCATACAACCTTGCAACACCAGCTTTTCGTACAGCTGAAGAAACTGCTTTGACAGCCGTCAAAATTGAATTCAAAAGCTGTGTTAAATCACCAGTTGCATTCTTTGCTTTCCTTTGCTCGTGCAACATGAAACGAGTCAATGTCATACAGTTGGTGTCTATGCCAGCTTGATTCCCTGCCATGGTGAGTGGGTCTGTTGGAGAACATAATATTTTTTATATCTATATGAATGAGTAGAACAAATATACAGCAACTGTCATACAAACATTACTATTTTATCAAAATAATATCAACAGACCTTAGGAATCACATTAAATTCATCAGCAACATGCACTCAAATTAGGGATTAAAATCAAGTGACAGTTAGGGCTCAGATAAACAATTATCCATTGTCTTTAATTGGCCTTAAAAGACGTGAAGTTAAAAATGGAGTGCTTTAACACCATAAAAAAGTGAGCAATAATGAAAAACTTGAATACATCTACAAATATATTGCCTGCATACCACTGATGAACAAGGGTACTCAAAAATGTTTTTGGGGAAGAGGGGGTTGTCATTTTTTGGAGTTAGGATTAGGAATTGGCAAAATTTTGTGAGGGGGATTCAGAAATCAATAACACCAGGATTCAGGAATTGATGGTGGAAAAAAGGGCTATGAACATAATGAGAATTCAGGAATCATGGGGCCTAAAGGGTACCAGCACAAACTTTGTGAGATATAATTGTCTTTCCTACGAACCAAAATTCTCTACCCTTGATTTTCCAGGTCAACATTTTCATTTTCATTTAATTTTAAAATTCCAATACATACAAAAATCGTTCAATATGCAACGAGTGACTAAGATAATTTAACAAGAATACAAAGGATGAAAAACAGAAAATTGCTATAAATGAAAACAGAAAATTGTCTGGAGGGGAAATTCTTAAGGAGGGATATCAAAACAACATTTGTGCAAATATATACTGAGTGAAAATGTGAGCCAATGACATGACGGGGGGGGGGGGGGGGGGGGAAGCAGCCAAATCCATGACAAGCTTTTACTGATAGAAGGGTGGGTAGGCATGGGTCAAGGGTTCAATGTGAAAACTGGCTGGGTAGGGCAATGCTGTGCAGCATATAGTTGCAGGAATATGTCCTGCCCATGTTGTGCCAGTCACTCAAAATTTCTCGTAGCATAAACTGACTAAACTGACTACTCCTAAGAGAAAAAATCACTGATTTGGCACTTGAGTTGCAAAATCTGAAAGACATATTTTGTTTCATTGCATAGGCCTGTGCAGCTTGCTCGTTTTAAATTGATTCTTACAAAATGAGCGATTGATAAAGTAATACAATGGTATAAGCTTAAGGTGCAGAAATTTTTATAAAAGGCATTTTATTTCGAAAGAATTATTAGGTCTTAACAAGCAAAATCAGAGCAGAATAAATTTTAAAAATCAAATTTTTCACGATCAAATAGGTTTGCTTGGCCACATCATCTACATCATGAGTATGTCAGCATGATCGAAACCGTCCACTAAGGGCTGTTTTGCCCAGAGAAACTGCAAACCTTAGTATTGGATATAGTCAACGCATCGCAGTGATGACTTTCTTTTTTATAAAACATAAATACACTATTTACCGTTATAATTTAAGCGAAACACGGAAATATAACCACATGATAGTATTTTTACTTTCAATACCCTAACAATGGAAGCTACGTTCATCGCAGCCTTGGCCTACGATGGTTCGGGGAGGCGGATATGAAACGTGCTAGGCTGAAAAATAGCTTGAATCAAAGTAGTCCTTTTCAAAATGTCGATATCATTTTTGCACCTCAATCCATCCAAATGCAATGCCAAAAAAATGTGATTGGTATACGTACGTTCTTCGGTTCAGTGCTTGTTCCTGGACCCTCCTACTTCTTGTCCCGTGGCACGTCCGCTTCGCTGTTTTGTTGCTGACTTGACTTCTTGAGCAACGAGGTCTGTGTCCATGGTGCGCAGCCACGTACACACCTTCGCAGTCAACCAATCAACAGTTTGCTGTAAAAGCATCAGAACAATCACAATTGCAACAACCTCGCCGGTGTATCAAAGTTGATTATATATTAACAGATATTATTCGATATTTAAGGACTTAAACAGCCACATAATCTGTTATTCTGTTCCTTTATTTCTTCAAATAGAGTAATCTCTACAGCTTTGTTATCTTTGTCTGCTAGAAAAATGACAATAGTTGACGAAATGGGCGTAACCTTTCACAAGCATTGCCCCCAGATACAACTGAGCAGATATATCTCTTACATTTCTAAGAGAATCTCTCTTTAGTAAGACGCAATTATGACAGAGGCGAAAACATTTGTCTCCAAGAAAACATTTAGAGAAGTGGAAGAGAGTACAAAAAATTGTTACTACTTGACAATGGCAAGAAATCAATAAAAAGGACAAACACAGGGAAAAGAGATGAAACTTTTTCAATAGCTTAAAACTGTTTGAAACGCCCTTGTAGCTAGAAAATAAAACTTTCAGCTCGAAGTATCAAAATCCACAGAAATTGTCTCAAACTGTTCAAGATCAAGTTAAGTAAACCCAAGCCGTTTTGCACGATAACTATTAGATTCTCAAGGTATGATGCTTTTTTGTCTCTGATCTGAGATTTAAAATTGTAGAAATGATTAGCACAAAGCATTATAGATACCAATCAATGCATCAGATGGAAGAGTTTTTATTAAAAAGATGATTCTGCAGGTTTGAAAAAATAACCTTATATTAAATATAGGTAAAGCCGATTATTATCTCCAATTCGTCTTCCTCGAAAGTACATCTAGCAAGTCAAACCAAGGTCACCAGAGATAAATGATTTTAAACCCAGTTTCTCGCTGAAGATCTAAACTAGCATCTAGAAACCTTTTTCATATTCAAACTCGATGAGTCCCGAGAATGAGGCTTTTAAAAAAGCTGTTCAAGAATCCCAAGAATGACAAATCTATGACGTAAAGTTCTAATTTAGAAAGCAAGATATAATTAATAAGCACTCAAAAAGCTTTTTGTGAGTCGAGAAATGTACAACACCTATATCGTTTATTGTCAAGAGTAGACTTTGCTTCTTCAATCATGTTAAAGACTCATTTCTAACAATGGGCCTTTGCGAGCGTGGCGACGATCCAAACTGTCTTCAATGGCAGTAAATTGATTCAATGCATTATGGGATGCTTGCGTAGCACAATGGCTCATTGTTAGCAATGAGTCTTTAATAAATGTGTGATGAAATCAGTGACTTTCCTGGATTCCAAATAAAAAGGGGTATGTCAGCTTATGTTGTAACATTTGCACATTAATCGCGTGTACAATTCACTAATAAAAGGCTATTTAGGGGTCGCCTCACCTGTTTTGCAAATTTGGATTATTTTAGCTAGCTTGAGTTTAAAGTGCCACTGAATTGAAAAAATCAAAAAAAATTTTATTGATGTTCTAAGTCAAGTCAGTGCTGAATTGTGAAGTGTTTTGAAGCTACAACGCTTCAAAGTTGCGATTTTCAAGACTTTTTGTGCGAAAATTTGTGCGCGGTCTGTGAGGAATTTCAGGAATGTGTGACGCATTAACGTTTATAAGTCGCGGAAGTGATGCGGGCTTCAGTACTGAAAGCTGTATTTCGAGTGCGATAAAAAACCAAAAAACGTGAAGTGGATGAAAATAGTGCGATACTTGTGCTCTAAATATCACTAGCTATCTAACTACAAGACATGTGCAAGGTATTTTCTTGCGAAAATTTCGAGCCGATACGAAATAAGCAAACTTTTTGCGTGCAGTTTTTACCAAGACTTCATCCCGATCATTTACCTTTTGTGAATAATTGAGCGTGTCGAATAAAAATGCTCTTACAAACAGCTTTACAAATTATGAATAAAAGTGAGCAAATTGATCAAGGGAAAAAGTTGCTCTATTAAAGAACCAAACAAATTGCACATTTTTCGGCACTTTTCCCACTTTCCAACTTGCGTTGCCACTGTCAAAGCATCAGTTATCGCCAGGGCCGTCAAGATGGGATAAATTGCCCCGTGGTCAGGGGGCCTCAAAAAGTAGAAGTTCATTTTAAATGGAATTGATTAAAAGTAACAAAATTATGCCTTTAAAAGTAAAACTTTTTTAAACGTTTGCATGAAAAAGAATCAATTTAGGCTAATCTAGAATTCGTGGTTGCAAATATCGCCTATCCGTTTTGGCTTCCAGAATGTCTTGGCGTCCCTGGTTATAGCAGTAGCATCATTGTTAGCATGATTGTCATGGTATCGTGATCCAAAATGAAAATTATGAAAAAAACTTGCTTTATCTGGAACCTTGTTCTCCAGCCTATAAGTAGCACGGTGGGATTTTTCAGGGTCAATTCATATCCTATCTTTTTCAGCGTATCAAACTGCTTATCTCTACAAAGTTCCATGCCGATATCGCGATCTAAAAGTTAAATTATGACAATGACTGCTTAGAGGTCTAGGACCTGGTATCCCAGTCTATAAATAGCACAAGGGGGATTTTTCAGGGTCAATTCATATCCTATCTTTTTCAGCGTATCAAACTGCCTATTACTACCAAGTTCCATGCTGGTATCGCGATCTAATGGCTAAATTTTGTCAATTACTGCTTAGAGGTTTGGAACCTAGTACCCCACTCTATAAATAGCACAAGGGGGATTTTTCAGGGTCAATTCATATCCTATCTTTTTCAGCGTATCAAACTGCCTATTACTACCACGTTCCATGTTGGTTTCGCGATCTAATGGCTAAATTATGTCAATTACTGCTTAGAGGTTTGGAACCTAGTACCCCAGTCTATAAATAGCACAAGGGTATATTTGTCAGCGTCTATTCACACCCTATCTTTTTCGGCGTATTAAACTGCCTATCTCTATTAAGTTTCATGCTTGTGTCATGTTTTACACAATTTGTATCTTTTTATCTTCTTACAGCCCTCACTATGGCTGAAATGACTATATAAATCTGAATGCGTCACTCGCCCCAGCCTCTTTTCGCACGACCTACTCGCAAAAGAACCCCAGAAACCCCTATTTGTGGGCCCCAAATTAAAAAACTAAACTTTTTTTCGAAATCAGCGATGATAGGTCTACCAGAATCAACAATAAAAAAAAATTCATTTTTTTCAGTTCAGTGGCACTTTAAAAAGATAAATACTTTCTCTGAAAATATTGGTTGACAAGTTTAGCAAGGGCTCGAGACATATCAGTGGCGGAAATTCAGGCTTTCATTTGGGGGGGGGGCCAGGCCTACGATTTTCCGACAAGATAACTTCGTGGACCATGTATAATTTTAAAGAAACTGCACATTTTGATAAAAATAGTTGATTTTTTGACGGGACTTTTTAGAAATATTGCTAACCACGCCATAAATAAGTAGCAAGAAGAACAATCCATTTATGATTTTTGATACCAAGATTGATATCTCATCTAAGACAATTGATGATACAAGAGGTAGACCGATAACACTTTTGACAAGTCGTATGTTCATTTTATGCATTTTATCTTGTTTTCGTCAATGAGAAATACGTTTGAAAATAACTTATGTTCAGAAGAATCCGATGGAAAATTTGGCTAATCTTTACGGAATTGAAATTAAATACACAATTCACAAGCAGTTTTGATTTTGGTCATATGTATGTTTGATTGATTATTTGGTACTGGCTGATATTTTATCAGCTATGCTATGTTCAAATTTTGCAAAAAGGGCACAGAGAGGTTATAGAGAGAGAGGGCCGTTGCGAGGCAAGCCTTGTTGGGGGGGGGGAGGGGTGTGGACTACAAATTTACCTGATTAAAAAATTTTGGCCTGAAATTCTTTAGTTGCTGTCACAAACCTCTGCAATGCATTTTGTCAGTCTAACTATGTATATAATTCGCAACTTTCATTTTAATTTGATAATAACGGAATTTTCCTAATAGTTTTGTCAAATCTCTATATCGAAACGGGCAAAGGATATAGTTACTACTCGAGGCGGCACCATGGTTGCCGCCTAAGGAGCAGGAAATTTTCGAATTTTGATGCTTCTAGTTCTCTGGAAAATGCACTCTTTCAAGCACATTTCACTAAAGAAATCCTCCTAATCCTATTGTAAATGATTTTTTTTGGAAAAAAATTGAACAGCAGATAAAAACAACTGGTACAATTTTGCCGTGGTCTTGAGAAATACCATGTTGTCAGTTACTTCTGAAGATAGATAACAAGCAGTACTGGTTGTCAATTTAGATCCCTCTTTCCATCTTAGCATGCCTTTTGAATGCTAAAAAAAATCTGGAGCTCGTAGTGAATTGCAGTTGACGCTTCTACCGAGAAACTTTAAGGGAAATGAACACAAGACACAATTTTACCTGAAGAGGGCCTGGATTTTTCGATTTAGTGCCAACAAGAAATCTTCAAATCTTCGAATCATTAGTTTGTTTACCTTAATTCATATCAAGGAACATCATATTTAACCAACGGAGCAACTACCTTTGCTTGATCCTTTATTGATTTTATGACATGAAGGTCTCTAAAATACCTAAAGCGTTTCTTCCACCGAGCGGATTTTACCTGAAATTTCCTATTGAGATACTATTTGGGGGGTGTGGCACCCCCCACACCCCCCCGGTCGCGACGCCCGTGTAGAGAGAGGTTATGGGGTAAAAAAGGAAATCGCAGATTACCTGCGAGCGAAGCGAGCAGAAAATTTAGCAATTACGCCCCTAAGATTAGCTTAAAATTCCTTTTTAGAACGATTTCTTGAAGTAATTTCGACACGTTAAAAACGATTGTCAATTTTCCGACAACATCGCTGATTGGGGGGGGGGGGGCCTGAGCCCCCCCAAACCCCCATAATTTCCGCCACTGAGACATATGAGGTCCTAAGATTTGCAATAATTTTATGGAAATACCTTAAGGTTCAACTGTTTTTGATTGGTCAAGGTTTGGAATTATATATTCAAGCTTTACATGTAAATGGAAGATAATATTAAATTTAAATTTATCTTGAAAAAATAAAGTATACAGACTTTTGTGTTCATTTTATGCTTTTGGATATTTTATCTGCAACTTGAACAAGAATCTATCTTATAGATAAGTTTCATTGCCATTTAACCTATGTACATAGAGTTCCAAAGTAAAGACATTACAAAAATATATTTTTCGAATTTTTGAATTTTGAGCCCATTACCTGAAAGAGAATCATGAAATGTGCAAAATGTGCAAAATCAGTCAAATATGTTACAAATTGGCTGAGATATGGCCATATGTGCACTGACTCTTTCACCATCACACCTCTGTAATTTCTTCTCTGTTCATAACTTCATGAACAGAGCCAAAATAACAGTTCGCTGGCAAACAGTGATTCGTAAGCAAACGTGATTCGTTAGCAAACCCGACTTTGGACATATTTGAGATTCAAAAATTCTAAAAATCATTTTTTATTTATTTCGCACATAAGAACTCTATTGGCGCCATGTGCAATCGCCAAAAGAAAAATAGAAAACTCCACTCAAATAATCACTAAGCTAATTTCATTATGGTTGAGCTTACTGATCTTAATTAACCTAAGAGCTAGCATTATATATTTCCAATTTAATCAGAATTAACTAAATACTGACTTTAAATAGAGGAGTGGTTAATAATTCTGAGAAAACGCACAATGCAACCTTGGATTGGGTGGCGATTATCAACAGATGTAAATATCGTGACGACATTATGGCTTTCATATTCACCTTCGTACTCAACATTTGTATCCTCGGAAATCAAAATCAATTTCATAAAAGTGAAAGAATTTTCGCAACAACCCAAAGTAATTTCAATCATGATCATCTAAAGCAAAATGTGCAAATATTATACACACTGCCTAGCATGGTGGAGGCACTCTCGCTTGTTGCCGAAAAAATTGCACGAAATGATTGATCTGGAGCCGAGGCAATATTTTTAGCCTGAACAGTAACATTGATAGACCCCATCTACAGACCCAAAACTGACATGTTTTTCACTTGACCCAATCTACACCAGCAAATAACCGTTTCACATTTTGTGAAAATGATGCAAATTCGAGACCGCATTTTAAGGAAGACTAAGAAAGATAGATAATATGCTAATCATGATCTCTACAAAACAAATTAGAAACTTTGTGGCTAATGAGTTGAAGAGATCTCGAGTCAATTATTTTCAAAATTACTTTTCTATAGACAGTCAAAACATGAAAAAGCTGTGGTCAGGAATTAAATCAATTATTTCCAATGAAGCCTTTACTGCTTCTAGCATAAATAAAATCAAAGACGAAAACGGAAATACAACGTCTGACCCAATTGAAGTGTCTTATATTCTAAATAACTATTTTGTAAAAGTTGCAGACAATATTACCAGAAGCATGCTAAGAACAGCAAAATCGCCTCTAGACTATATTACTAATACAAATCAAAATTCATATTTTTTGTTTTGTCACCTACATAGAAGTAGAGGAAATAATTATAAACCTTGATCCTTCAAAATCTGTAGGACCACACAGTATTCCAATTGGCTTATTGAAAATTCTAGGCTCTTACATCTCTCAAGCCCTAGCCAAACTTGTCAACCAAACTTTTCTTGAAGGCATCTTTCCTACTAAACTCAAGCTCGCTAAAGTGATCTCCCTTTACAAAAAAGATAATCCTGAAATAGCCTCTATTTACAGACCTGTCTCTCTATTACCTCTATTCTGTATATTGTATTAGCGATTAATGTACAGAAGACTTTACTCCATTCTCATCTACGACAAAATAATATATCCCTTGCAATTTGGATTCCAGGAAAATCATTCGGTTGAACATACACTTATTAGTATGACTGAAGTCGTGAGGTCAACTCTTGACAATTTAAAGTATGGCTGTGGTATATTTCTTGATTTACAAAAAGCCTTTGATACTGTTAATCACAATATTTTGCTCTCTAAACTTGAATGCTATTGTATCAGAGGAAATGCCCCTAGATGGTTTCATTCACATCTATCAGATATAACCCAATATGTTTCAAACAATGGAACCAACTCTGATTGTGTGAATGTTACTTGTGGTGTACATCAAGGATCTGTACTTGGGACTCTTCTCTTTCTAATTTTCATTAATGACTTGCCTAATGTCTTAAGAAAATTGAAATTTTGTCCCTTTGCCGATGACACCAACATTTACTATGATACGGAAACTCTTGATAAACTTGTTAAAACAGTTGAGCTTAAATTCGTAAAAAGATGGCTTGATGCCAATCTTCCATTCTACCTCATCGTCAATACCTCAAAACATTGTAATTAAAATAGGGAAAAAACACATCATCAGAGTCAAATATGTTAAGTTTCTAGGTCTTCTGCTTGATGAAAACCTGAATTGCAAGTATCATCTCAGCGAACTTTCCCAAAAATTGGCAAAAACGTGTGGCATTCTTTTCAGAATTCGAAAGCTTCTTATATCTGACTCACTGATATGTGTCTACAATGCTTTGTTCATGTCATTTCTACAATATGGCATCATTGTGTGGGGACAGCCATATGACTCATACCTGGAGCCAATATTTAAGCTGCAAAAATGGCTGTCAGAGCAATTTTTTATGAAACCTTTCGTTCTCCCTCTTTTCCCATTTTTAAAAAGTCTAAAACTCTCAGACTTCAAGACACTTTTCAGCTAAGACTATTTGTTTAATAATATGAGCAAAAATGTGAGCATGTCCCACTCTCCTTGCAAATGATGTTCCAGGTCACCTTAGCCTGCGTCACAGACCATCTGACGCAGGCTAGGTCACCTTCCCTAACCGCTGACACTACTGATAACAATGGGGAGACATCTTGCAGATATGTAATTGTCATCTTTAACTTTGTCCTTCACAAGAGCTGAAAATGTCCTCAAACAGCTGGTTCAAACTTCTTCAAAGGTTCAGAATATAATTGAAAGTGTCTGTGGTTGGGTCGCAATTCTTGCAGCTCACATATCAGCAAAGCATCCATCAAGGGCTTCCTTGAAAAAGGCCTTCCTCTGCCTGCGTTGACAGCAAGACTATTTTATAACTTGGTACTAAATGCAAACACAAGATAGCGTAATTTTCAAAAATAAAAAAATTCTATAACACAGGCGTAGGTATATAACACAGGCAGAAGACGTAGGTATATAACACAAGATAGCGTAATTTTCAAAAATAAAAAAATCTTATCTATATCATTTTTAGAAATTTATGTATATGACGTCATCATAGAAACGTCAATTAATGAGCTATGTAAAGCATATTTTTTCCTGTTTCGGATCCTTGCTAAAATTATCCCGAAGGTTTTTACTGCGAAGGAGGCTTGATTCTCGAGAGGTATGACATTAGAGGTGGTCGTTTGAACATTAGAGGCAAGGCTCCTTCGGTGTTCGTGACTTCGAAAGAAGCATAAACAACGTGAATCATCCGTTGGCAAGAGAGGAAGTAACATGGAAAGCCAAAGTGCAATTTAAGAGGAAATAAGGACAACCAAAATGTTCCAGTTTGTTGGTAGCATAATTTCTTGGTTATGGAGCCTATTTTTCGGAAGTAGTCGTGAAGGTGAGTTCTTTAAACAATATCTCCACACTTTCTTCAAAAAGTTATCATTCTTTTCGTCCATGACAAATGCCTGGAGTTGAATGATGTTTGTTCAGAAAAGATTTGTAAAAATATCTTACCGTTTATGTAAACACAGTGGGTAGACGCGCTTGGACCACATAACTGTGAATTTAAAAACAGTAGTGTCGTTTTTATGAATTATAAGCATCAAATTTCTCTTTATATTTACCTTGGTTTCGCATTCTGTTTTTGTGGACATGATATCTTTTTCTAATAGGCGAAATCATTTCGTTACCATAAAGGTCAACAAACAGTATCAATACAGTATTTATATTCCTGCACATGAACGCCTTGTTAGCAACTTAATCCTGCATTCTATGGTAGCACCCTCCACTTAGCAACGCATATCTATTTCAAGTGGTTTCTGTCAACTAGTTTATTTGTATTCTGTCAGAAGAGATTTCCGAATTCCAAATCACTTATCCTATTTACATTATGAGCAGATATGTGTTGGACAGTATCCAAAGCGAATGAGGGTGGGAAGTAGTAAGTCATTAATGAGAACTGTCACCGACAGTGTCAGCCCAGGAAGCATAGGAATACGTGTGACCGCAGTCAGGCCTTTTTTTGGCTAGCGCACGCCTTTGCTTAGCAAGATTTCTAAGATAAACTGTGATTTCTTAAGTTATCTGTCTGTTTCAGGAAACAATAAATAAAGTTACCAAATAATCTGTATAAATATCTGTGATGAAACAAGAAACCTTACTTATTTTAGGAAGCAGAATCTGAGTTCAAATGTTATTTGTACAACAGCATGACGTCGGTTTTAAGTATAACTGAATAGTTTAGCTAACATGTTCTGATGTACTGGAAATTGCAGATCAATCAAACCATATGTTACCAAAACGTAACATAAAATATAGAATTTATTGTCCTTAGCCCCCAGCAGGGTGTGTAAGAAGCTTTCGTGGAATTAAAACCTTGCTTTGTTAAATGTGAGACAATGCTTTCAGCACCAATTTCAAGCACCCTTTCCTAAATGTAATTGAAAATATGTTGCTTGATATTGTGCTTGATATTCATATTCAAACATGTACCTTTCTATTTGCCAAGGTTCATGCACATCTAACAGTACCTAAACATTTTCAGGAATATTGCAGTAGTTTTAAGTAAGATGTTTTTTACCAGTAAAAAGAGAAAAAAGCATTGCAAAAAGTGGGGACATTTTCACATTCTTTTTATATTATGCAATGTCTTTCAAGGTGATTTCTTTAGCATTACTTCATGCCTTTGCCTGGAAATTTTGATTTGGACTTTTAGGGACACTAGACAACCTGTTGATTCATTTTTATCTAATGTGAAGATCTTTTATTTTCGTTTTCTTGCTAGGGCAGGCATTATTTTGAATTCATAAAATATCACCAGTTTTCTAGGTCAGTTTGACCTTCATTTCTTTTTGAAATTACAAGTAGTTTTTTATTTTTCATCTGTAACTATTGTTGTGCTATTTTATGCTTTATAGTTTGTATTGACTACTCTTTTGTTATGATTAGACAGAAAGGGGCTATTTTGCAGAATTTTCAAGGATTGTATAGAAAGTTTCCATAATTGTCAAGTACCAATATCAGCTCAGTGATGACATCATAAAGCCTTTTTTTTAATTTTTAAAGTACACATAGCCTGAAAATACAAACATAATCTTCATCTGTACCAAACGAAAAAGCTCACAGATATAATCTAATAAACTATTTTTTTCTGGTTCATGTGCAGCAAGCAGAGATTGCACTGCAATTTTGTAAATTTATGATTATATGATTTGCAACAAGTGATCACAAATGACCTACTTCTCAAGAAATTTATGATTTATTAAAACAGCATGCATGGCCATTGCTATTAGGGGCATGCACAGGTATGTCACCTCTGGCTGAAAAACCTTCTATTCTAAAAACTAGGAGTTTTCCATCTATGCATGCTTAATCAGCAGGTTTTCAAACTTGGCAAACAAAGGATGTCTCACTCATTTTGTCAACAAATGGGACCTAGAAACCCATCTTGAGCAAAATGATGATATTTTACTTATCTTAAAATGATATGTAGTAGCCAGCGATTTCAGTGCAACCTCAAGATTTAAATCTTTTCTGCTCATTATTCTACTTCATCATGATTAATCGACTACTTCATGAAGAAGGTTATGTCGATGTAAAGGTAAAAAGAAATTAGGAAAAAAAGGAAAAGGGGAAAAATAGGACAACAGCATATGCCAAGATGAAATTTGGAGATTGAACAATGTGAAGCAAATGACATATCAGAGCTCAACATATCTTAGAGAGAGCTCTGTTTGTAAAATACCTTCCCCCCAAAAATATTGGGGGCAGTTCAGGGAGAAAAGGGTGACTGCAGCCCTTAAGACCTTGGCTTAAGGCCTATGATAACATAACTCCCAGTTTTATTCCAATATTTGGTATAAACTTGTTTGTATAATCTAACATGAAGTCATGAAACAAGATACATCATTACAATGCCTACCGATATATTATCTAATTACTTGCTTAACCTGGTATGCCTTGGTTTAGACTTTCAGAATAACACTTAACTTGGGTATCTTCATTTTATTAAAGAGCAGCTACCTATAAACAAAATGCTCTGACCGATATCTAATCTCCATTACCTTTCTCTACAAAAATGGTGAAAGGGGCAGGCACATAGATAATAGGGGGCGTGGCGTGGGGGGCATAACGCCCCCCAAAGTTTGAAAAATCCAGTTATAGTTGGAAAACTTAACGTTTAACTTGGATTTTTTTCTCAAGACCAAACTTCTGAATTTTATATTTCAAGAATTGTGGGATTTCAAATGTAAAAAGTTTAATCCTTGTTAAAATTCACTAATCGTTTTCTATTGTGAAGCCCCGTCTCCACTGGATCCAAATTGCACAATTGCACCGTTTGCTTTCTCTCTGAAGGGAGTTAAGTTTAATCAAATTAAGAACAGGCAAAATTGATTTCCTGATAAGAAACTTGAAACTTTACAGTTTGGAATAATAATACCTATATTGATCAGAAAACAGTAAAGTGGGAGTTTTTAAGAGAACTGGGAGTAGTTGATCCAATAAAAAAATAAAGAATTGTTCAATACTAAAAATTCTCAACGCTTCTTATGAAAGACGAGTGTATGCTAAGCTCCCCCTGTTGTTTGTAAATGTTCTTAATTCATTAACATAAATTGCTATGATAAAGCTGCTGAGAATCAAGAAAACATTGCAAAAGCTGCAGCAGAAGTATTTGCTCAAAGAAGGGTGTTTCATTTTATATGCACTTGCTCTCAAATCATCATGTTAATTGTCAAGAACGAAAAGGCATTTGGCCCTCTGAAAATTGCTAATAGTTTCCTTCGATCAAGAAGAAAAAGATAAAGGGCTCAATTCCTTGATGCTTCTATATCGTGAAAGATATATTCTAGATAAAATCGATCTGCATCAAATAGCTTTAAAATGGGCAAATCAGAAATAGACTTCTTACGTGTCATGTTAATTGAAATTAGAGATTCACGTTTTTATGCTTTATTTTGAGTAAAATTTGAGTGATTATAAAGAAACTATAAATACAGAGTAAGGGCTATTTCCAAATATTTATTTGGTAGGTACAGTAGATTTGGAGGTGGAATGAAAAACTTCTCAAATAAAGTTGGAATTTTCATCCTTCCACGCCCCTCAAAAATTAGCCACTTGTTTTCGTCCCTGGAAAGGGGAATTGAAAATAACAATCCTTTTTTAAAACATGTAGAAGTAATTCTCCACTCATTTGCTTGCACATTCTGTCTTAAAGTTTTTTAACATTTGCAGCCATCCCTGACTAAATTGTAAGCCTAACAACCACTCTTTTATTCAGAATGTGTTGATACGTTTTATTGGCTCTATATACTTTTTTGCAAATGGTATTGAGGCCGGCATGGCCCATTTCCTAATAAAAATACAACAATTACACAATTTAATAGATTGAGGCTTTGGAAACCGCAGCTTGTTAATAAACTTGATAATGAATATCACAACAAGTAAAATGCATATTGTTGAAATAGTCGATAACCTCTTGTTATAAATCAGATAATTTGACGGTATGACGAGGTTGAAAAATCCCTCATAAGACAATTGCATTAAGTAGACATCTGCACTTGTAATTTACGTTTAATCGCGCAATTGATAATAAGTATCACGACAAATAAAACATGCATATTGCTGAAACAGTCGACGACTGCTTGTGCAGATTTTGCAGGGTCTTTATATGCCTGTTCCAATGTGCAAATTATGCGTTTAGCGAAGTTGCTTCTTGTAAAGTAATCCGACAGAAAAGTGTGGGCTATACATAAGCAAAATTAGATGAAAGTGTTTGGCTCTGATGAAAGATTGCGATAAAAAGTGTCAGTGTAGTAGTGCCAAGGTTGTTTTGGGCCAGCTTGTGCCCAGGAGTGACTCGCAATCTGGGCCCTCCTAAGAAAGGTTTCTGTAACCACGCCCTTTAGTCTCTTAGAGAACTAGGGAAGCGCCGTCTATAGGGACAATTGTCAGGGCCTCCATCGAAGGGCCTTCGATTTCCCCTTGCCCCCACTTTCCAACCTGTGTTGAAACCATAGGGATAGGAATATGAAAACATTCCTATCTCTATGGTTGAAGCCCATATTTGTTGAAAAGGTTGTTAAGGATTCTTACCAAAGTTAATGCAAAGATATTATATACACGAATCTAGGACGTGGACATCTTTTTTTCTCCGCTATAAACTACCGGGCATTGATTCCATGCAAGAAGCTAAAAGAATAGGTTTTTTTGCGTTAGCGCTAGAAGAAAAAGATCTCGTTATAATCTGAAAGTAACAAAGTGTAAGATAATTACAAGCCCATCGTAGCACGGGCCCCAGGACTTTTGCCCCTTCTAAACAATACCCCTGTGTAGAGGGAAAGATTAGTACTGAAATAAATCGAAAGACTATTGAATCGCTTTTAATCATATGGCATATAGCAAAATGTTAGCCTATATTATCAAATATTGTGCCTTTGTACCTGTAATAGCTCTTTACAGGAAGTTGTGGCCATATCGGCAATAGGAATTATTTGATAAGTTATTACAAATATGTTGGGAACTGTTAACAGATACATTCACAGTATCTCCACCTGCTTGTATTTGCCCTTGATGATCATCTTCTTTCCGTTTCAAAACTCATTACTTCGCTTTGTCTTGTGACACAAGAGATGTAAAGGCTACCGTAATTTTAAATACAAGCTTATCATCTTTCCTTAAACGATTTTCCATCGAGTTTTTTCCCCTTTTGTAGCATGATTCCTTTTTTCCGCATTTTTATTATTCCACTTCTTGCGAAGACAATATCTTGAATTTTGTCCGTGCAACAAATTTCCCCATGTCTAACAACACGATTTTTTGCTTGAGTTAGCAATCCCCGGCTTAGACTCTCTGAAATAAGTGATAGAATTTGCAGCCTGCCAGATTTAAGACTTCATTGTTTGTACAAACACTTCTCTGGCAACTTTCGTTTTATTTTTTTCTGTTCCTTTGTTAATGTTCTGTACTTGATGAATAATGCATGCAGATATAAGCCAGCAGAAAACGAAAGGTTTTTCTTTTCATAGATTTACACATGCTGTGAAGCGGTGATTTCTTCTGTAGCTTAGTTTACCTGCATATATGTAGTACACATAGGCTAGGCCATTAAGAAATCTCTGTCATCCTGAAATAATGAAACAACACCGCAAACTCTTCGAGCTAATTCCGAAGTGTAAGTATTTTTATTGAATAACGATGATTTCGTTTGTTTACATTAGTCCCTGACTGGCCAGCTGAGGTAACTTCAGAGGCGTGGCATATTTTTTCCTATGTTTAAACTCTGACCTTATGTAGTTTCACCCTGAAATTTCTTTTAATTCTTGGCGTTTTAAGAAACCATTTACATTTTTTCTTTACATCATTGGTTTGTTGATTTGATGTCTATTAATCAGCATAGATCTTCGTCCTCTTTTTTGAGTTTTAATATTGAGTTTATTTTATCTTGCTATTTATATTGAGATCTAGAAGTTATTATGGACTAGATCATTTTTTAGACTATAAAGAGATATTTTGGAGACACATTAGAATTAGTTAATCTTTCAAGAATTTACTAAACAACAAAGTTTTTTACTGCATAATGACCAAATGGTAGGTAAGTTGGTATCCACGTAGAGATTGGAACTGGGATGGTAAAGAACTGGCTTCATTTCAGTATGCAGTAAAATGGTAATATTTTTTTTGTAAACTCGAAGGTTTGCAGTGTAAAACCAGTCAATTGTCACCAGAGCAGCTTGTATTTTACTTTGTACCTAAAGATATTGGTTTTGAGGCTGGCACCAACTATGTAGCCAAACGAAGCCATAAGTGCATTCTAAGAAACCATATTTTAACTAATCCTTTGTGTTAATAACACGAACATTTATGTATAAATGTTAAAGCAGCTGTTGAACGCAGACTATTCTGCGAGATTGTTATTTAAGAAAAAATTTTCTGTATGAAAACCAGCCAAGAATCAATGCTTGTTCCAAAGCCACAAGGATGTATTATTAAAATCGACATCCTATTTTTGACATTTTCTATTTAAACCTGTAAGAAACATGTAAAATTCAATAGAATTTATCACATGTCTGTTGTAACCACATTTTTTGAGTATTAAAAGGATTAATGCACCACGACCCGTGGTGTTACATGGTTTGCAATGTCAGGTGTTAGCTATTGGCATGCATCTATTTTATTTGTAGATATTTTGTCTCACGTTGATGGAAAGTTACTCAGTTAAATCGCATGGTCAAATCCACGGTGATGTTGACTTCAAGTGCAAAAATAGCCTATTATAGTTGTGGTCTTCAGGAAACCACAATTAATGCTTCAATTTCGTAATTTCAGAAATTGTAATGTTTATTAAAGTAAAGTGTAGAAATACCCTCTTTATCTGACAGTAATTGTTAATCGAGTTAAGGCATACTTAGAAAACGTTAGTATCAACGTGCGTATTTAGTCAAAACATATTTAGAACGTCAGTATCAAAGAGGAAACAAGGTTCCTCTGAACGAATGAATGTAACAATGGAAAATTTAGAAGAAGTCCTGATAATTTATGATAATTTATGCCTGGCAATTTTTCTGGTTTTATTCGAAGTTTGTATTTTTGGTTTCGAAAAGTGAGCCAGAGAACGCGGTTACATCCAGAAATCGCTTCAAAGTTGGAAAGATGTAAAGACAGGGCATGAATAATTTATTTGTTGGTGTTGAAAATAAATATGTTTATCCCTATTTCAATTGTTTCTGCTCACCAAAATAGTACTGTATTTAAAAAACCAAAATACACCTGGCAGGTGGTTAGGCGGTTGCTACATTGCATGTTACTGTTTTTGATTGCAACTGAAACTGGAGAATCAACACCTTTGCTAAATGTTTACTTCTTGTTGGTGAAAAACAATTATAAACTCAATTTTTAAATCAAGAATCATGAAACCGAAGCCTGTAAAGCATGATTCACATTCGAGAAAGGCAAATTAGAAAAAAGTAATTAAAGTAATAACAATAATAATAATAATAATACGAATATTTCAACAGGATAAAAGCTTCAACAAAAATATTGCTGATTTCAATGCCTGTCCTGCTTAAAAGAAAAGAAAAGAAATGTTAAAAACCTAACTTACAACAGTGCAACACCCAATTTCCTTTTTTCATTTGTTTTGAAAGAAAGGTTTTCAAATAGAAAAGGAATCATTAGAAAGAAGATGAAATAAGTTGACTTTATTAAGAAAAAGGAAGAAGAAGAAAGAGGACTTTACTATACTCAAGTAAAGATCTTGAGCTGACGAGATAACTGAAACACTTTACTTCATTACAAGGGTGATACCCCAAGGCGTAAGCGATAATAAATACCCCGTGACCATTACATAACACCAACTGATTTTTAAACTGAAAATGTATCATGGCCCCCATGTATGTAAGAGTCCCTGCTTGCTTGCTTTACTGTACTGGGCGAATATCGCTCACAGCTTTTCTTCGCAATTTGATAGGATATCAACTGCTGGAATATATAAACAGAGACATAACATCCAAGCAAAAGTCTGATGGGATTGTTTGATATAAAGATGGCATGTTGCACTTGCGTGGAGGCAACAAATCTTGCTCTACTCGGCCAAATATAACTTCTTTTCATAAACTGTACAACAATATCGACCGCTTTCAAACCCAGTGCGACATCGCGCTTCAAATGCTGTAGCGAAACGATGCAGCATTGCCTTTGCAACAATTGTTGCACCTGGATTTTTAACATTTCTTTCGAAAATATAATGTTTAACATATGTTTTGCTCTATGATCTTACTAATTGTTTTATGGATATTGTTTCAACAGGTGAAGCAGAAAGAAGACTGCGTGCCAATGATAGGGATTACAACAGCCAGTTCCAATATACTGTAAGTGAATATATATGTATATGCCGATTATAGAGTGATGTTACCTATCCACTCAGGTTCATTATTTAAGCAAGATAAATTTATTCTATTTTGATTTAGATTAAATTGATTTAGGTTACACTCGTAGATAGCAACTCTTTATTGTTTTGCTCTACCTAGGTGTTATTATTTTCTCTGGTTCCGAGAAAAATTCCAAACAAACTTTTAAAATATCTTATTTTGTCAATGGTTTCTGATATGAGATAGAAACTTTTTTCCAAGGATGAAATTAGCAAAACTCGTGTACTGATTCTCCGTCATGACTTCCATGAATACTGAAATTTTTGTAATTTTCTTTCAATATGATCGGCTGGCAGACGTAATACTTTAGTAACCTCCCATGATGGATCGATGTTTCTTTTCTTTAGTAAGATTGCAGCTTATTTATTCATCTTTTATTATTTTCTTGGGAAATTTTAATTCATTTTTTGGGAAAATTGAATTATCTGCTTAAAAAATAAATAAGCTTAAAATCTTAAAATTCATTCATTTGGAAGAAAAAAACTTTTTAGAAGCAGTGAGTGCTCAAATCTGCCAGCCTTTGTTTCTTATCAAAAAATGGGGTGTGTATCCCCAACTGGATATCTGTTCGGTTAAGCCATATTTTCGATGACTTATGATGCATACACATTTGAGCTGAAAACGTCTAGACCCATCTGAATTTCAGCCTGAAAGATAGAGTACTCGGGTTTAATTTAAAATAAAGATAAATATCTCCGTTTGCAAGAGCAATTTGATGCTTTTTTATTCGAACAGCCTCCATTTTGAACCTAAAGATGACCACATAGTTGCATATTAAAAAAGCGGTTTCAACCGATCAAAGAAATTTTAGTACGAAGTGTTTTTTATTTGTTCATGCAGTTCTACAATACGTGTATTAATGCTTCTGCTAAACAAGTCAAAAATTATAACAAGCTGTCTATGTCTAAGATGCTTAGAAATGTGTATGGTGATATCTCTGATACGTGGCGTCTCTCCTGCTGATTCCATTCCTAAACATTCCGTCAAGAGAACTATCCAGCATCAAGGACCCCAGAGCCAGGCCCGTTTTCAGTTTCCGTCTATATATGGTGCTGTTAGAAGAGGGGGCATAATGTCAAATATAGCTGTTTATTGAGGGTTTTTAAGCTAATTCTTATGAAATTGTCAGAAAACCCGCATTTTTTCATGTTAATGATATTTTATTCATTGACCCTAGCTGAATTATCTGTGCATTCGCAGGCCTGGCCATTTGAGGAGAGCCATAGCTCTTACTCCCCTCCAGGCTCTCCTCAAATGCTGGAGGGGAGCTAGAGGTAGCTCTCCTAATTTGTTCTAAAAAGCAAATTTGCTCTCCTTGAAATCGATTTTTCCTTTGTTTCTTTTCTTGTTTATCGACAAATAGCTCACCTGAATACTATTAGGAGAGCTGTTTACTGCTTCTCTGTTTATGGCCAGGCCTGCATTCGACCACTCCCCTCCCTCATTTTTTCAGATCCGGTCACCTCATATCCGATCATTTCAGAAAATATACTTATATCCATCACTGCACTTGCGTTTTAGATTAAAAATTTAAAATACTTTTCACAGTTTCCCCAAAACTCTTGATGCAAAATCTCAGGTCTTGTAATCCTTGTTCTATTTTGTCGTTCCTGTGGAAGAGAAATGAGAAGAAATTGCTTTGTTGGCACGTAAATAAATAGATTCTTCTCATTGATTTGACGGGTTGCTAAGAGAATTCCTAAATTGAAGATTAACAAACCGCTCACAATGTAATACACCTTTGCTTAATCAAGGGATTATGACCAGAACTATACAACACCATGGCTTTTTTCATTGTTGTTTATTTTACCCCTTAGTATGTATTCTGAAAGCGGTATTCAAAAACTGTGCTATTTGTCATATCCCCGGAGGTGCTCATTTACAACTTGAAAACAGATTGCAATAATGCTTCATGCTGCGGAGGACAATACTTTAAATTATGTTGTATATGATGATTGTATGGTAGTAAACACATTTAAAGAAATATTGATGGTAAAAATAGACAGAATTAGCGAGTCAATCACATGAATTATTCTAGTTTAGAAAGAATTGTGAGTTATTTTTTACCAAACTTTGCACAAAAATATACGAATATTCTTTCAGATGCTAGTTGTTCAAATCTGTTGTTTTAGTAAGATAATCATGGAGCGACCATGTAACGGTCTATCTTTAAAGAAAAACTGATAGCATTTAGTTACTCATAAAAGTTCAAAAATTCTAGATATGCGCGTACAAAGGATATGCATTTCATTACTTTAAAAATCTGGTTGATACTCTAAGAAGATGTTGTTATATCAAGAAAACAGCAAATTTCCAAAATGAGTTTTATTGTAATTCAGGAGCTTGGGCATAACATTCCCTTGTCTACGAACCGATGGATAAATAATCATCAAAGATAAGCTTTTTAGCCATAGTCTAATGTAACCTTCTCTTTGATTCCACCACAAGGTAATCACATACAGACTTATAGATAACCTTCTCTTTGATTTCTCCACAGGGTAATCACATACAGACTTATAGATAACCTTCTCTTTGATTTCTCCACAGGGTAATCACATACAGACTTATAGATACAATCTTCTCACTTTCATTCCACTGAATTTGTTCGAACAGTTTCAAAGGGTGGCAAATATCTATTTTCTTATTCAAATTATTATCATGGTAAGTTTCATTTGAATTTCTGGTTTTATTCTTTTCTTAATCAGTATGTTATGACAGAATTCCCCCCTTAACAGGATAGATCAAACTTTTACTTAAATATACTTTTTCCTTTTCATTTGAGTCTCTAATTAGAAGCGCTCAAACTTTCATATCTGTTATTAACTTGATTAATTAATAGATAAATAATATTTATCAAGAATCTTTTCAAGGCATTCAACGTATATGTGATAATTTCTACTTTTTCTCACCACCTGGCCTTGATATTTCTACTCTTGCGGTGATGTAGTTTGTATTTAACGGAGCTGGAGCCATAGCTTGACAAAGGATTTCTCGCTGTTTACTAACAAACGATCCTTTTTCCACATTTTCAATCATTTTCAGTTATTTAAGCTCTGTAAGAAACACGAAGAATTCAAGGGGTTTATAAAACTTTGATTTTTCTTTCTGCGATTTGTCATCACTTTGACTGCATCAATTCGTATGCATATTTATAACTATGACTGCATCAATTAACTTTCTTATATCTCATAGCTCAATACCCCAGTAGACCAGTAGAATACCTGACTCGTTGAGAATGTGACTCGTTCATAATGATGATAAATGAACCATAACAGCTTTCACGTGAAACTTGATTCTTCATCGCCTCCTCCCCGCATCGAGGCTCGCTGTGCATGCATAGCTCATTACGTTCTTACTAGAGATGTATTCCTATTGGCTATTCCAACTCGCTCTTGACAGCAATAAATCAAAAATGGAGTATATCAACCCCCACAGGCCCATTCCCATCAAATCGGAGTTCGCGTAGTCTCCTCCAATTGGGATTTATTCACAATCATTTCTGTATTGCGAAGCCAAATTTTTTTGATATTGATTTTATTCTCTTTGCAGTCAATACCGCAAATTACGGCACTGAACCCGCTTGCCACTGCAATTCCACTGCTTTTTGTGTTAACAGCCAGTGCTGTGAAAGATCTTTACGATGATGTTGTAAGTCCAGCTCCTTTATTCTTGCTGTACGCATTGCTAATAAAATATCTGTGGAGCCCTGCAGGAGAGTAATTAAGATGTTGTCAGTGATCTTAGGTTTCTTATAAGGTTTTCTAATTATTTATCTTGAAATTTTTGAATAATTTTGTTCATGGTTTTAACACCGTTTTGCATTTCACTTACTATATGCAAAAGTAAGCTGCAAAAATATCGAAGCAGAATTTAGATCTATATTTACTGCCTTTCAAGGTTTTTTCGTATAAATTTCTGACTTTCCTGAATTATAGGAAAATCATTTATCAAGTTTTTCTTATTGTCAATTTTCTTATCACCCTAAAAAGTTTTCTTAAGGTATGCTATCATTTAATCACATGCTATCATTTGCTCTAACAATATCATTTGCTCATATCATGCCATAATTTGCTCTTATTGTTAAGTGGCCTGCTGTGTAGTGCTCATTGCCTTATATGTAGCGCTATACACGCTTTTTACTACGGAGAATGATAAGCTCATGGTTTATAACTTGGTGAAATGATTATATAGAAGCAGGCCTAAGCTATTTGTTGAAAGCTCAGATTCCTTTAATGATATCGTAGCAGTTTTTTTATTAGCATATCGCTGATTGATCGATTTAATTGCCACTTGGTTTTGCTTTGTAGGGAAGACATAAAAGTGATAACAGAGTGAACAACAGAAAAGCCCATTTGCTAAGAGACGGAATGTATGTACTAGCAGAGATAACTATGTTTTTTAAATCTGTAAGCTGAGCTATGATACATGATATGATATGAATCTTATCTATGATACATATAAAATGACACAAAAGTCTTTTAAAGACCTGCAAAATGACTTTTGGTGTATTTTAACGATTGAAAATCGTGTAACTTAACAACTTGTCAGGCAAGAAGATAGCAGATACTTGGGCAACAGTTTTGGAAACACTATAGGCCAGCACTTCTAAGTTTTTGTCGCTTGTACGTATGTTTGTCATGATATTCAGCTTTTTTAAATTTGCCCTGATTAAAAGCAAGCAGTCGAGGAAACTTGTCACATCTAATTGTTAAGATCTTACACAGACTATCAAAAATTTAATTTTCTTTAAGACTTTAAGATTTTCTTAAGGGTTCCATGGTTAATTAGCAACAAAAACAAAACAGCTTTCAAATTGCGTTCGTATTATTACAGTTGATGACACACTGTATTTGTAATGTAAATCATTCTAGTCTATCAACCTTAAGCGTTTTTATTATCGAAGTTGCGACCTTCCATGGTAGATATTAAAACATTTTGTCAAAACTTTTAGCATTGTGAACGAAGCTTGGCAAAACGTTCAAGTTGGTGACATTATAAAACTAGAAAGCAACCATCACGTTACGGTATTCAACTTTATTATGTTTAATTTCGATTCATATATGTTTGTACAAATTTTAAGTTGCAAATGATGTATTATATATGTTATAGTACCTCCGTTTCATAGTCCCATGCAATCGATACTGCAATAAACGTAATTGACAATGCGATTAAAATGCAAGAAGATAATACGGCCTTGCAGCTTTACGGAAAAGATAATATAATATAATATTTTACAGTTAAAATATTGAACAAAATAAATGTTTTCTAGGGAAAATCAACTGAAATAAGATTTCAGTGTGATATTGATCAGAATTATGTCAGTAGTTATGTCACCATCAACAGAAAAATTAACAATAAGTGCCAATTCAATGCTAATGATAAAGTTATTTTATTCAATGCAAGGCAAAAATACTGCTTCAGAGTATTTTGTTGGTATATTCTTTGTAGATTTCCTAAGAATTTTTTCTGTGATTTGAAGCTAATCTCACTTTTTAGGCCGATTTGCTGCTATTATCAACCAGTGAACCAAGTGGCCTTTGTTACATAGAAACTGCCGAACTTGACGGGTAACTTATTCTCTAGAATATTTTTTGTGTCTTCATAATCTCAAATACCCAAACGAAAAGCTTTATCTCGAATATAAATTTTGAAATTCCACTTCATTGTAGTATTCAACCAACTTCCTTGTTTATCCCTCATTCATTCAGCCACCATCCTTTCCTTTCTACTGTTCTTATGATATTTAACCTATTTTACGGATTTCGATTTTATTCATTCTTTCATTCATTCATTCATTCATTCATTCATTCATTCATTCATTCATTCATTCATTCATTCATTCATTCATTCATTCATTCATTTATCCATCCGCACGTTATTGACTTTGTTATCGTATGCATGTGACAATGTTCCATCATAACGATCTGTTAGCTTTATAATAAAATTAATGTTTTGTAATAAATTCATGTAGTTATCTTGGCAAACTTGACAAATTTTTGGTGATGGATATTTGATACTAGTTAAATGGAAAGATGTTGAAATTTATTTTCATTGCAGAGAAACAAACCTTAAAGTGAGACAGCCGCTTATCGAAACTGCTGCTTTGGGTGACGATTTGATTGCACTTAGTAATTTCAGAGGTATGTTGCAATTCAGACTGTTTAGATCAAACAAGCCTAGCCATTTTTAATCTCAATTAATTAGTTTCATTATCGTATCCTTGTGTACTAAAGTTGGTTAGATTATAATGGTTTCTCGAAGCTAAAATAAAATGATCCCTAAAAGCTCTAGAATATTCCAAACACTAATTGTTTCTTTCAGCTTTTAGCAGTGGTTTTCAATATTTTCGAATGTGATTTTGCTTATCACGTATCGTACTAGCTTATCAAGTATTAGGGTTTTGCTGTTATGCTATCATACCGTTTTTTTGTGTTTGACGATTTAATCTATTTTGGGTGCACGGTTGAACTCTAATTTCTGGTAGGAATTTTGATTTCTCTAAATTTTTGTAATTCCAGGTGAAGTAACCTGTGAGCCTCCAAACAACAGACTTGACAAGTTTCAAGGAAAGTTAGAAATTGGAGATGAGAAATGCTCATTGGATAACTCTAACATCGTTCTTCGGGTAAGATGTCATAATTTGATCATTTAATAGAATTTCATTCACATCTTCATTTGTCAATTGGCTTTTAGATTAACTTCAAGGATATGTCTGAATGAACCGGGATGCATACTAATAGGTTTTGAAGAGGTAGGTCTAATCTCATTTGCAACTGTTGTATTCATGTCGCTAGAAAGTGATGCAAAAGAGAAGCAGGGCAAGAGATTCTCTTTCCAATAAAAGAAGCCGTTTTTATTGTTGTCACTTAATTGTAAAAGAACAGGTATCGTGAGGTATCGTTGATACAAGAGGTATCGTGTTTTCTTTCTTGATACCTGTACACAGGGTTTTACGCCCCCTGTTATATTATCATGAATGAACAATAAAAACAAAAATTATTGATGGCAGTATCTTTATTCTTCACATTGAAGGGTCAATCCTTCATTTTGGTCAGCTGAATACCAGAAAGTTTGCTGTGGTGATCTCAGAAACACAATACACAGGGCTTTGCTTATTTTGAAAGAAAAACAGCTAGCAATATTTATCTTCTTGATAACTTATTTTGTTGTTGATAACATTATGTTTATTGTCTGCATTGAAGATTATTAAGCGTACGGAATATTTGATCAGTAATTAAACCACAAGGCACAAAAGTAAACAATTAGAGATATCATGATAAGGAACACATAGACAAATTTTTAAATATACTGTTAAATTTTAAACAGAGCTCTCATTGCTGATCTCTTGATGCGGGCATGTGTCTTGTTTTTTTCGTAGCCTGTTTTATCGTTCTCAATATTAAGTGCTATTTTAACCAACAGATTTCCCTTACAGGGTTGCGTATTGAGAAATACAGAATGGGTTTTTGGCTTGGTTATATTTGCTGGCCACGATACAAAACTTATGATGAACAGTGGTAAGACTTTTTCATAAATACACTCGCCGCACATCAATCAACTACTCTTTTTTAGATTACTCATTAAGCATTTGCTGTTAACAATATGCTGTTTAATGCAGGGTGATGCGTGCCTGATGGTGGATGAAGTCTCATTTAAATTGACCAGTTGCTTCAATAAACGCATCTGTGTGCTAATTCAAACACACTGTATACTTCTCCATTCTATTTCCTTAGGTAAAGCTGCCTTCAAAAGAACGAAGCTTGATAAACTTGCCAACGACCTTGTTCTCAATGTACGTATGTGTTTACATATGCAGAGTCCAGAAAGGTTTTCACCCAGTGACGGATTTAGGAGGGGGGGTGTTGTAGGGGGGCGACAATCCCCAATATTTCTGTGTTCTTCGGTAAATTTTGCTCCCATTCGCTAAAAATCATTTTTTGATAGCCAGTAGTAATCGAATAAAGCAAAAAGTTACTTTATTTATCTTCTTACCTTTTTTATCTTGAAGTTAAAAACTGAATTTTGAAATAGGGGCGTTTCCATCGTTTTTCAGTGACCGGACGGGTGTGGCACCAAAATTCAGTTGCTATCCAACATCAAACCCTGTCGCTTAAATTCATCCCTGTTTGTACCTTCCTCATTTATCAACAAATCATGAAAACAAAGCGTGATTTGAGTTTGGTAACGAGGTTTTTTCTATTTTCAATGGCCTTTTTCACGGGCCTTGACCAAGCAAGCGCCAATTTTTATGGATTCTATATCTTATATTGGAAATTTTTATTAGTAGCAGTTATTCTGAAATGGTCCATGTTTTAGAGCTAATTTCCTGCTCTATCAATTCACGTAAATATTGCTTAGTGATTTTTTACAATTATCTTATTTTTGTTAAACTATCACATTTCTCATCAATTTCATTGCTACAGTTCCTAATTCAGTAAAATGGTTATCCAATGCATGATATTAATCATCAATGATAAATTAATCATTTTATATCCAAACAGTTGATATTTTCTTCGTTTAAATTAATTTTCCTTTGCTTTTCAGATAGCCTTGGCCCTCATAATCATATGCACATTCTTGTCATTCATGTCATACTTCTGGGAGAAGGGTACTGGAAAGGTTTGTTTTTCATTGCAATATCCTGGGATCTAACCGTTGGTTATTTAATTCAGGTTCTCTTAAGCTATAAGAAGCCTGTATAAAAGCTGGCTTTCGTTTAATCCTTAAATTAATTAAATTGGTATATGTGTAGCCTTTGTATGTGTTTGGGACCGTCGTAGTTGAGTTTCCTTTGCCCGATAGTCGACTTTGGTCCTTGAGGTATTACAAGGCCTAGGCTGGTTGAATGCTTGAAAAATTGTTTTTTGTACTTCCCTTGTTGCTACTCTTGAGAGCTGAGAACACCGGTTTGCTGATAGAGGCAATTATGTAAGCGAATAAAGGGCATTGTCCTAGGAGTTAAACAACCTTCCCCAAAGCTAAGGCATTTCATGGCTTATTGCAAGCATATGACTCTATTGGTCTAATTGATATTCAAAAAGGAAGAGAAGAATAGTTTAAAATCTACAGCTAAATTATGTTTGTGATTTAGACAACTTGTAAGACACGTTGAAGGATATAAAGATTTATCTGCAGTCAGAAATCCGCCGTAAAGCATCTTTCTATATTTATAATACATATTTAAAGAATTTAAATTCAAACTGTAAGGTATAAATGATCTCATGATCTCAGATAATAAATATCATTAAGCTTAACTTATATGAATGATAAATTTGACTTTAAACTTGCCATAATACCATCAAAAACCAATTCGTTGCTGATATTTCTACGTAACGTTGCTGATATTTCCAGCAATAAAAGTATTTGAAAAGGAAAAGACCATGACATAATCGATGGAAAACCCTAACCCTATTATCATTGGTATTTGAAGTTGAAACCTTCCTGCTTGGCTATCGTTACTTCTGCAATATTTAATTTCGTTGCTGATATTTCCACGTCGTTGCTGATATTTCCACGTAACGTTGCTGATATTTCCAGCAACGATCTAAATTTCTTACGGTTGCAATATTTTCGTTATATTTCATATTTTTAACATTAAAATGCAAAGTTATTTATCATATCAACTAATCAGTGAATTGTTCATTCTAGGGTTTCACTGTATACCTTCCATGGGATTCGTACTACAAAGAAAATCCAGCCTTGATTGGTGTTTTTCACTGGCCTGCTTTTATCATGGTTCTTAATACGCTCATTCCAATTAGTCTTTATATTAGGTGAGAAGAATATCATTTCATAACCTTTTCCCGTATTGGTTCCTGAAGTGTTCTCTTCAAGCTGCATATCTTCCACTGTGAACAACAAGACTAACCTCGTACTCCTATAATGTGTATAATTAGACGTACCTTGTTATAATGCTTTCTTCCCACAAATCTAAGAAAACTGCGCAGTAATATGGTTGACAGTTGCCCACACTAACAGCATAACCACAGGCTGCACCAAAGTTTCCAAAGTTCTATGGAATCTAAAAGACTGGAATTATAAGAACTAAATATTTCTCTATGAATTTGCATTTTTGTTGCCTCAAGCTGATAACTCCGAGGAAAGAAGTTATTTATTACTGAAAAATCGAATCATGTGACACAGAACGCAAATTGTTCGATGTCTCTTTCATTTTTACGTGTTTTTCCTAAAAAATTTTGTTTATAAATTGTAAAAATGTCTTCCTAATTATCTTTGGACTGAATGACGGTAAGAGGCTTCGAATTAGATTGTTTCATTTTTATTCAACCTTTATCTTGTTTCCTTAAATTTCCTTTTTCTTAAGTATGTAACACTTCTTATACTAACAATGGCTTTCGTGTATCTTGCGCTTTCAGTATAAGTATGACGTATCTCCTCGTCTTATCAAGCCTATATGTGGAGTCATTTGGACGATAAAGCACTTTTGTATGTTTTTTCTAGTGTTGAAATCATTCGTTTTGGGCAGAGCTTGCTAATCAACTGGGATTTGAAAATGTATCATGCGCCGTCAGACACTCCTGCAAGAGCTAGGTATTCATAATTTGAATTTCAGTGTTCAATTTAGCTATCACAATAACTGCTTTTCAGCTTCTAGAAGTATTTTAATGCTGCTTAGCTCTATCCAAACATTAATACTTTGCAATAATTAAAGCGAATTTGGTCACAAATAATTTTCCCAATGTTAACAGGGTTTATTAACGCATCTAGACTTAAAACTGCTGTGAGAGAAGTGTATTGCAGATAAGATATCTTGAATTTATCTTCAGGAACACGACGCTGAATGAAGAGTTGGGCCAGATACAATATATTTTTTCAGATAAGGTAAGGACATACTACAACTTCATACCACATTAGTCACATTGGAATTCTTCACATTGGCATCCAGCCTGAGATGGCATCCTTCCCTGGCCACAGTACGCCCTAACACACCTATTCTGTGACTTTTGCAAGGAACCAAAAGCTAAATTTCTTCTACAATGCTAATATCTCGAACTCGCATGATTTACAGACTTTCTTCGATGTGAACTTGCGAAGTTTTTTTGCTTAGAAAATTCTTCTGAATTGTTTTGAATACATTTTCCTTTTATTACAATCCCAAATAAACTGAATTCCTTTGTGCTGTTATTTACCTGCAAGAAGGTCATTCATGCTTCTTTTTTGTTCGTAAATCTAGAATCACTGAAAGAAAATTCTAACCAGGAATTCTAGCAAATAATTGGTAATTTGACTTTGTAGACTGGTACTCTCACTCAAAATGTCATGACGTTCAAAGAATGCTCGATCAATGGGAAATTATATGGTAAGTTATTCATCGTATTAATGTTTTTACTGAAACACATATTAAGTTTGCTTTCAGAGTAGAAACTGCTTCGCTTTTGTCTCAAGACATTTTTCATGGTTGGGCTTTATTTATTTGTTTGTAAGTATAAAGAGCGAATACAGTTGTATCTGCTTGAAGAAAAGTGGCTAGATAAAAAGTATTGTGGTGCTGCAAGATAAAAAAATTTAAACACACAAGGGAAACACATCTGTCAGCTGTTAGAAATGCATCATAATGGAAATTGAAACAAAACAGGTTCTTTTTCATAAAGAATTTACTGACTTCTTATTACATGCACTCATATTCTATTTTTATGGGTTTATGAAAAAAACTTTAAAATTTTCGTTGAAGCTGTAGCAGAGACCTGCACTTCAGTGCTCAAAATTTCTTTTGATCAATGCAAGTCATAAATAAGCGTTTTTTAATTTACGCAGGACATGAAGAGGAAGATCCTGAACCTGAAGTAGACAATTTGAAGATAGAATCTGTTTCTTCTGAAAACATGTTCTCAAACACGGTAATATAGATCAATCTATGCCTGCAGAAATTTTTACATCTGCATATCCGTCGTGCATCAACATTATTCATGACCCTTAACCAACTTACAAACCTGTGTGTAAAAACCATATATTTGGGTAATGTATATTGAATGTATAGATAGATAGATTAGATTCAACGCTTAATAATCTAGTGTGTAAGTAATGAATCATTTCATTATCAGCATTTCTTGAATGATAGAAAGCATCCTCAATTTGGTCTTTTTTGTCAGATCGTAAGCACAAAGTTTAAGAAATTGAGTAGTTGTGCTTTATGATTTGAGTAATTTGGCTTGCTCAATAAGTTACCTGTTCAGCTAGCAATTTTTATATATAAGTGCTAGATTTTTGAGTAATTTTCAAGCGTGCTTATTTCCTCTTGTATACAGCTGGGTACTCTACTCACGATATGATATCCCAATAATCCTTTTTTCGCGATAAAGCATTTTTATCTATTCTTTATTCAATTGTTACATTCCGAAGGAAAGATTTTAAAGCTGTATATTACATAAGAATATCTGAGTAGATCAGAATATATTTTTTCGGGTTCTGATTTCGTTATGTTTTGTTCAAATTTTTCATGAAAAAAATAAAAATGTTTATTATACTTTTATCGGAAAATCTAAACTTCTCGCCTTTCCAATGACTTTTCCTGTCTACGCCACTGAATGACATGATCATTCCTGCTAATGTTACCTCCTTCCTGTCGTGGTCTTAAAATTTTGCATCGGATACTTATGATTCAAATTAGCTTGTTATAATGCAAATTGTTAGGCCCCATTTACTATTGGGAATTATCTAGTTAGCTTTCCCCATGATTTTTTAGATTTAGCATAAGATGCCCTTCATATTTGATAACTAACATTGTTTTAAAAAAATTCCAACACTAGTGGCTTTGAAGTTACCATACTTTATGTGACAGTTCACTCTATTGCAGAAGCGGCCGATCGATCTATCCAGCAACCCATATGCCGATCCAGTCTTCAAGTTCTACGACCAGACTTTAATTCCTGACTTGGAGAATGACCAGGTTAGAATATTTGTAGCCAAAATGCTTGCGTTTAAAAGACTTTCCTTCATAATTCTTACACTAAATACTTACATTTTCTTATGTTTAACTTAAACTGATATATTAGTGTTTAACCTATATATCAGTAACTTCAACTGATACACTGTACAAAATTTTGCCTTTGCCAACTAACACCTTAACAATTTCCTTGATTGCTCGCACTCGTGAATTAATTTTCCTGAACTTCAGCTTTAGGGCATTAGATATTTTTTTCACATAGTTTAATTGATAGACTAATTTGATGTCTTTCAGAATGTAATTGAGTTCTTTCGCCTGCTTGCCTTATGTCACACTGTGATGGTCGAGGAAAGAGATGAAGTTGGTAAGCTATTAAACTTTGTATGATTTGCTTTACAAATATGCCAATTCACTATTCAATAAAGTTTTGCTAACTTTTTCCGAAAATTTCAAATTTTCAATTTTCATATTTGCTTTTTCTGGAGAGATTATCTTTCTCGAGGAAAGTCTTTTATTATGAGCCTTTCAATTCACTGATTCAAAATCCCAGTAATTTTACTGAAGAAAAGAAACATTTTTGTCAACACTGTTTTATACGCAGTTGCAATTACAACCCTTTTCCTATGTAACTTATTTATCCTTTACGTTAACAAATGTTAATAACCATTTCTTACAGAATTACGCATTTCTTCTAGATTATATGCCTGGTGCAGAAACTCAAGATACTCGTAAGTAGCTATCTTTCTTTTAAAGACGTTTTCTACCTTCAAATCACTCCCGGTCATATCGAGCAATCACAAGGCGTCTCCATTTATCGTAGCAGAAAAGCATTTATAGAAAACATTTATTCTCTGTATTTCGATTACATAACAGAATGCATGTAACGGGTACAGATAATGCAAATTCGGAAGTAACTGGTCTTGTGAAGCTTCTTCGCGAGATATGCTGGGTATATTTTTCTGTATTTTAAATAATTGATTAGGTATTGCATTCTGTAAGCTAGTTGGGTAAAATTATTACGATATTCTAGAGTTTCTCTCTTTTATTTGTCTTTCCCTCCGTTGACACTCGCAAGGAACAGTATATAATAGGCGCTTAAAACTCTGCAGATCTTTATGCTATAGTTTTTTGCTTCACAAATACAAGTTTGTTTCCAGCATTATAAATAACAGTGCTTTCTTTCTACTCTAGCTTTGCTCGAATATCAAGCACAGTCTCCGGATGAAGGTGCTCTCGTGAGCGCAGCCAGAAACTTTGGATTCGTTTTCTTGGTTAGTTTGCCTGCTACGCTCTTTAGGTTTTTAAGGAATTTACACAAAGATCAATGATTCTCTGTATCGGATAATTAATATCGTTATTTTTATATTGAAAGTTTGGTTGAATATTTTGAAATCAATAGGGTGGTGATAGACAAGTCCTAGTGCTTGCAACAGTTTTGCTTAAGAATACTCCCTTTGCAGAAGCCCCATCAAACCAAATTCAAGTTTTGTGACAGTGCTGCCACGAAATCATAGTGAGTGCCCGTCATATTACTGTGATAGATGTGGTTTCACATTTGCGAGTTGCGTCTAAATTTCCAGTGACTCTTCTCCAGGTGCATAAAATGAAAGTAAATATCTTTGAATTTTTAGAGTAATGTACCTTTTTTGCTTTAGCGCCGGACGCCGAATACAATAACAATCAAAGTTAATGGCAATGAGGTAAGTGTTTAGATTTTATTTTGATAAAATTATTTGCTTTTTTGCAAGAACGCCTCGATCTATGCTGCTAGACATAAAGGACAAAGTAATTTGCACACTGACTGTGGAGTGACAAGGAAACCTGCACAAGCATGCTGCTGTTGAAAATAGAGTTATTGTGATCTAGCTGCTTTTAGATTAGATTTTCCTCATGAATTTCTGTTTACATGTACGTAATAGCCATGGTAGGTTTTTGTGAAATATCATATAGATAGAGATAGATAGATTTGCCCTGGTTTATTTTTCTGTTTCTGATTCATATCTTTTTTTGCAGGAAAAATACGATCTTTTATGTATTTTGGATTTTGATAATGTGAGAAAACGAATGTCGGTAAGGCCTCAAAATTTCCTTTTTTAGTTGTTCTTTTTATGTTCTAAATCTAAATCGCTTTCATTTCTCGATTTAGGTTTTGTTTAAGCGATGATCTTTTGGTCCTTATCTTAGTGTAGCCAAGACATTTGACAAGTTACGACCGATTAATCAAGTTGGCTTAAGGGAACTATTGTTAGAATAATGTATGGAGCCTATATATGTAGTTACAAAATTATGCTTTCTTTTAGGTCATTGTACAGGACAAGGATGGAAAAATCAAATTATACTGCAAAGGAGCTGGTGAGTTTTTCTTCTACTGAATGACAAAATATTCTGTGTCTTTTTTTTTAAATGCCAAGAAATAAGCAACTTAATACGAAGATTGCCATCCAAAAAGAATATGAATTTAGACAGAACATCTAATAATTTTGGCAACGCCTTGTATAAAATTTTTTTATCGATTGCCGTTTTTATGATCAATTAAGGATTGTGTGCTTTTTAAAAGTCATATAAGACTGAATTTTTTTATGGTTACTCTAAGTCAGATTAGATTTTGCCTTAAGTATATTTAGATCTTTTATTTTTTAACTTTATAGCTGAATCATAGCTGATCAAAAATTCTCAATTTTTTATTGTAAAAATGTATTTAAAATTTTATTCGTCATCTTTAATTATCATTAGAAACTCTGTTTATTGCCATAAAAATGTTTTCCGACCTACAGCATTTATTGCCATAGAAAGCTTTTTTCCAGCAAACTAAAGTTCTTTGTCAAAGTCTTTTATTTGATTTTTCTTTAATTTACAAATATTGAAGTGAAATCTGCCATTTGAGCTTACACAGTCCGGTAGGTTTCCTCTAGTAGATGAACCAAATTATCAAACTTTTTCTGTTTTCTTTTCAATGATGTAAACAATATATTAATTTCACCAGTGCTAATGTAACTGGTTTTAGAATACTCCCACGAACTCCATTTCTATGGTCAAATTTTATGATGAATTCTTTTTTCGTTTTAGACACCGTGATATATGAAAGACTGTCCAATGATAATGCGAGCTTCAAGGAGACGACTCAAATACATCTCGACGTAATTTTTTCTTAACTTGATTAACTTGTTTTTACATTTACTTGAGAGGTTTTATTGGACTATGAGATGAGTATTACACTAATGCTTTAAGACTATTGTGGCTTTACCAGTATTGCATAACTTGGATTTCTATCATTCAAGGTAGAATTGTGGCGTTTCTTTTATGAAGAGCTGCAAATGTATTGAGAATGAAATGTAAACATCTTTGTTCAGCCATCTGTATTTTACTGTTTTGTAAAAAGATAAGCCTTAAATCAAAGCCCTACGTTTTTTCATATAAGTTAGATTTTTCTGCATTTGATCAGCAAAATTTCAAATAGACATATCTAAGGTGGCAGAAAGACTCACAAGTTTCGAAACTAGAAAATCGTATTACGATAGATATTTCAAACCGGGTAGGAATGTTTCAGAATTTATTTATCGAGAGATGTAGGCTAGAAATGACAGTGAAACCATCAAAGCCTTTAACTTGTAAGTCAAAATGATTTCAATAAGTATCAGGTCTAGTTACCGGTTTAAAAAGTTTTTCATGATAACCCTATGGTAAAGATTTTGCTGTGAGATGGGGTATATAAGACATTTTTATATGCAAATACGAAAAGTCCTCGTAGGTTTCTTGGTTGCCAGGAAAAGCAGTATTTGGCAACAGGGATGAGGTGCGTCTGTTGCAAAGGAATGTACAGCAAGGACGATCTGTCATCGATTTAATGGATCTGTATACACACGCTGCATCAGCAGTTCTAGGCAGTCTCTCTATACCTTATATATTCAATCACCATAGCGAGCACGGTTGCATATTTCGTATACACCATAGCAGCTAATTCTTTGCTATTGATTTCAGCTGTTTGCTTGCAATGGACTGCGAACACTTTGTCTGGCTTACAAAGAAATCCCAGAACACGTTTTCGATAAATGGGCAATATCGTACAAAGATGCAAGGTGATTAATCTGGCAATATCATTTGCTCAGTTCTGTCATTACACGCTGTTTCCTTAGGGTTGTGGATAATTGTTTGAAGTTTCAATTTCTTAGCTGCTAACACTCATTTCGGCTGGTTTGCTTCTGTTGAATAATTTGTGTAATATTTAATAGTGCGGACTTATTCTGGTTATCCCATTATTTACGCTTTCAATATTTGCAAAAGTAACGAGATTTTACTACAATTCAAGCGCCATATTGTGATTTATAGACAATAGAATTGAAAAAGAGTTTTGTGGCATCCAAAATCTTATCTTTTGCCCTTCCCTAATGTTTCAACGTGAAATATTAGCTTAAGAAAATGGATTTTTCAACACGCTTTCTTTTTACTGCGCTGTTTTGGTTCATATGATGTAAAAAGGGTTCTTAGATTGCACTTAAAGAGCAATTGATGTATTGATTATGTCAAATTGAAGATGTTTCTATAATTTTTTTCTGTATCCGAAACCTCTAATTGTAGCCATTTTTGTGATACAGCTCTTGCAACATAATGAGTATTCGTTGTGGCCTACTTGAGAACAGTTTCCTAATTGTGAGCTGCTGCGTATATTTGATAAATTTAAACGCTGTTGGTAGGATTAAATAGAATTGTAACCTAATTGGAAAGAAGAATATCATTGTCATTCTTTTATTCTAAATGATTCTTCTCCTTAGTTGCGCTCTGGAAAACAGGGATGAAATGATTGCAAAGGTTAGACCTAAACACCATACCTGCTTGTTTTGAGTATAAGATATAAGTATATTATATTGCCTTTCCTGCATGAACTTTCCCTACTATTCTAATAAAACTAGAATGCTTAGTGTTGGACAGAGTAGATTTATGTAAGCAGTTCTTCACCAGTTCAACGGAGAATCCTATGTTTGTTAATGCACAGAATATAGACACGTAAAGTATATCTAGAGTTGACAACCAAATAATTGTTCTAGCAAAGTTAGTATAAACTGCAATTTGGTGTTATGTCAAAAATTCTTAGACATTTTGTTCTCATTATATCATGTATTTTTTTCAAATTTCTTAGCTCTACGAAGAGATCGAACAAGATATGACCTTGATTGGTGCAACTGCCATCGAAGACAAATTGCAAGATGGAGTTCCAGAAACAATTGCAAATCTTGCAGAGGTAAAGAATTGTCATTTCCCGTTGGGTTACTGTTGATAGCTTGATACGTTTCCACTTTTTGATTGGTATGGATAGCAGTGATATTTAAAATTGGCAAGGGCTATGTAAATACAGATGATAAAATAACTTAAATTATCCAACTATGTGCCTCCTATTTGGACCGAGACAAAAAAGGAGGTAAGTGACTGATGATGGTATTAAGTGTAAAATGCACGGTAGCGACTTAAAAATGTCCTCCTCTGCAAAAAAACCACATTGTGGTAGTTTTTAGTATCATTATGGCGGTCAAATTTTTTTTATACCCAAATACAATTCTCAACAGCTTGATATTTTGTTTTATAAAACACCGAGATTCGATGCCGTCGATGCCGTAAGAGTGAACTGGACAATGAAATTAGCAAAGCGATCGTTCTTCATATTTTATATTTCGTTTCATTGAAATTCTCAGTACAGTATTATATCTTTTACTCATAGAAATTAAATGATATTTTTTGTTACGTTTAGGCCAACATAAACCTTTGGGTGTTAACAGGTGATAAACAAGGTGAGATTGAGTCTGCTAATTCTATGTTTGTTTATATGATTTCATTTTACAATTGTCAAACATTTCTATCAGGTAAGAAATTCTTAACTTGCAATGCCAAACGAGCTCAAGCATCGGTATTTTTTTATATTTGGCTATTGTTTTGCAGGTTGTAAGTTCGGTTGGTACATGGGGTACCTGGAGTATCTTTTGTCTTGATATTCCCCCGAGCTATTTTTATCTCTAATACTCCATGTTGACAATTATAGGTTGCTGTGAGGCTCATTTCTGATACGGTTTGTACCTTCCCTTTTTGCATTTAATTTGAATGTATTTTGTTTTCGTTTCAAGAAACCGCTATCAACATTGGCTATTCATGCATGCTTCTGACGGAAAATATGCATGATGTTTTTATTATAAATGGCAAGGACAAGCAAACTGTTGTGAGTCAAATGGAGTCTTGCAAATCGAAAATAGACTCTTCAACGCCGTCCATTCCACATAAGCAAAACGACGTTGAACTGAAAGGGATAACGGGTCGGCGAGGGAGTCATGTCATGTTCTCTGACAATCAGGTACAGTGAAATTAGACTGATAAGCGGCTGTCTTTATTTAACACACCTCCCCCGTTCTTATATGTTTAAGGAGTACAGTTCTATTAAAATACTTATAGTTATATACTTAAGGGTAACGATTTAAGCTTGTTCGTGCTTCTCAGCATGAATGGCTTCACAAACATTAAGATTTAGATGCAATTCTTGCATTTTTTTGTACGTTGATACTTACAACATATCTGCAGATTTTGGCATTTCTCTAAGCATTTTTGTTATCTTTTTACCCCTTGTAGATTGACGAAGTTTCGGAGCTCGAGCCAAAGTCTGGATTTGGACTTGTTATAAATGGCAACAGTCTGGTAAGTGACTTGTATGACTGAGCTTTGCTTCTGAAGAGCAAAGTAGATATTTGCTCGTTGGTGGATGTTTGTTACCTATGAATTTAACTGCATGTCGAAATTCGCTTATAACGTAGCTAACAAAGTAGTCTTATTGGCTACTTTGAAAAAGAGCTGCATCTCATGTATGTTATACGACTGATCCATGAAACTGATAAAAATATGATGATTTTTGAGTAGCTGTTTCAACATTTTGCAGTCAAGAGATACAGACTAAAAAATGGATGAAAGTTTCGATATTTGATAGAAGACAACTTTTTGTTAGTTGTTACTTTCTGCAAATTACTTAGTTTACCATTTCTGCCTTCTATTTGACATTTTCCGACGTTCATATTCTCACGAGTGTCGGACGAAAAAGTACTTTAGTATGAATTGATATATTTCCGCTTTCCGCTGCTTTTTTAAAGTTATTTAGTTTATTGGGAGATGGATCCAACTGTGACTGAAATTCTATTTGCCACTTTTTGTCATAGCTTTACCTGAATTTAAAGGAAAATTGCTGAAATGTCAGTCCGAAATGTTCATTTGTGATATTTGAAAGGAAGGCGTGCTCTGGATGTAACTTTTATTCGTGAAAGCAATTGTAATACCATATTGAAATTTGTTTTTCACGTTTCTTTCTTCAGGTTTTTGCTTTAGATAAAAGTTTGGAAATGCAGTTTCTTGAACTAGCAAAGTGCTGTAAAGCAGTTATTTGTTGTCGCGTAACTCCACTTCAAAAGGTAGATCTCCGATTAGTCCCTTTGTAGACGAGAGAGACAGTGCATTCGTCTTTCTTGACATTTGAAGATATATTTTGCAATTTGAAAATCCGCGAACGTAGATGATAGATTTTTACTGTAATCAAGAAAATTGTGAATCTTTCATATATTTATTTCTTATTTCATTATTTTAAGGAAAGTTGCCCTTTAGCAGAAGCTGTTTTTTTCAAGGGCTCTCCGATAAAACTTAATTACAATATTAAATTAAAGCATGTTACTAGTATGACAAAGAACCAAAATGCAGTATGACAAGCTCATTTGCAGTTACACGTTATTGGCATTAAAACTAAAATTAAAAGATTTAAAATTCATTAAATTTTTTGAAACTATTTAGAGAGCATGTTCTAGTAGCAGATTTAAAATTTTAGCAGAATGAATTGTTACTTGAATGAAAGTTCATTTAAATGTGACAAAATCACTGAAATGTGTCACTCCTTAGAAGGTTATACCTAACAGCGGCACTTAAAGTGCTATAATCCAGCTTGACGTCAGCACTTATTCGTTGGAAATACTTCGTTGACATACTATATGAATACGTTTGCCGCTGTAGCCACAAAGTATTTATCAATTAGCTTTTAATTCCTAAATGTGAAAACGAGTGACTTTATTTCTTAGGCAATGGTAGTCGATCTTGTGAAGAGACATGTCAAGGCTACCACGCTGGCGATCGGCGATGGCGCAAATGACGTCAGTATGATTCAAGGTAAGTGTGAGCTGCTGATATCACATAACCAATTGATTTCTATTAAGCAGCTTTACAGGGCGTCAATCGTATGCAAAGAAACAAGTAGTTGCATACCTCTATTTACAAGAATAGATTGTTTTTTATTGAGCTTTCTTACTCAAGGTTCTTCTAATTTTGTCAAGGTTTTGAAAGCTAAAAGTTACTAGGGATTTTGTTTCTCAAAAGCTGTTTATAAACATTGAAGTTTTGTATAATGGATACATTGGCTCTAGAAACATATTGTTTTGTATTAGTTTATGAGTGTAAAGCTTTAGTTTTACGCAATCTTTTGATGTTACCTGATGACGTCAAGAGAGATATAACGATTGTCGTCTCAAAACTGTAAACGTATTAAGTTAAGTTTTAAATAAATACGATAAATATCAGATATTAATTGTTTTTGCAACTGAAAATATTTAAAAAGAAAAAGTGTAAAATTGCATGAAATATTTGAATGCATTACTTGATTTGGCCCAATGCTTGTTACTGTATCAATAGCTAAAGAATTTTTCCGATTTCAGATCTAGATATTGAAGTTTTTTTCAAGTATATTATACGGTGAATATCAATATTCAGCTCGGTACAAATAATATGATGTATTGTTTTTTCAGCCGCACATATTGGAGTAGGCATCAGTGGCCAAGAGGGCATGCAGGCCGTTCTTGCGTCAGATTTCTCAATTGCTCAGTTTAGGTAAGAAGTAATTTTATAAATGAAATGTAAATGGACTTTTAATTCATTAAGCGGAAGGCATAACCGCAATCAAACGCATAACTACAACGAACGATCCAATATCCAAAATAAATGAAATATAGTTTGAAAATTTACAAGAATAGTGCTACCTAATGCTACACTTAGGCATGCGCGGCATTATCAGAGTGAATGTACCAAAATAATTTGGAATCTCTAACCTGGTTGGTACTTGGTGGTTATTTGAAAGGGTGCAATTTGAAGCGCAGCGGATAGGAAAATTTAAGTAAAAGAAGCAGGTTTTCAATTTGTTAGTTGCCTATGCAGAGTGACTGATAATTTTGAAATACTAAGCGAGAAGGGAAGTTTGAAGTGCTAAAAAAATTTTGCGTTTAAGGGAAGATTTAAAACACGTTAAATAAGCATAATGTCTGCTGAGTACTAAACGTTGTTCCTGGGAAAGTTTCATGGATGAAATTAAGAATCAAGCAGCATTCTACAAGGAGACTGGTCAAAACTGATAAGCAAAGAAGCATGTTGCACTGGTGCTAACTAGTTTCGAATCTTCATTGAATTATTGCAGTAAAGGCAGCAAATTGAATGGGCTCATAGATTATTTGTTAAATAATGATTTTTTGTTAATTAATTCGTAAATTAAGCTATCCTCTACGAAGCATTTTACAGTCAGTAAACAAAAACACTTTGTCATTTTGTAGGTTTTTGGAAAAACTACTTTTGGTGCATGGCAGATGGTCGTATTTAAGGATGAGCAAATTTCTGAATTATTTCTTTTACAAGAATTTCGCATTCACGCTTTGTCAGTTCTGGTTCAATCTATTCGTTGGTTTCTCAGCTCAGGTATGTTTGCATCTTTGAGGTATTACAATAAAAAAACAACTTTTTTAACAGGGATTTCTTAAAGATAAAGGAAATTATGGATTTCCAATGTTTTTTAATACGAGTAAATTTCGTTGAAAATTTGGTATTTGTTTTTAGGCTTAGCGTTTAAGAATTTGAAACTAAACTTGCTTGTACAGATTTGGGTTTGGCAAAAAAATCGATGTCTTTTTTACCCATTCGGGTGTCGAACGCATCTTCTGTTAGGCTTTAATTCAACAATTTCTTATAAGCTTCGGAAGTTGGGGATTTCAAACAAGTGTTTTCTATCATTTCCTTTTTTTAAGTATCTTTTTATGTCGTTGTTTGATCTAAGTCAAGTATGGGTCGGGTATTACTCAAGGTAAAATCCTGGAACACCAGTAATAAAGCCTAGGGGCGCTCTAGCAGAATGAGAAAATATAAAGGAAGAAATTAGTTTATTTGAGTACATATTATCCAATTAAAGTCTCAATGTCAATAAGGAAAAGCTAGAAGTTAAATTGACAAAAAATACTAGAATAAACTGGATCTGTACAAAGTTTATCCTCAACGGAGCGGTATCCTTGCTTCTAAAAACGGGATACGAAATATAATTTTTTAGATAATAATTAACAGTAATTCCTAAAGAAGCACCAGGTGGAGAGCTGGGGGCTTCAGCCCCCCTTACATTTTTGCAAAAATGTATTTTTTTAAGCAAATTAAAAAAGTAAAGGAAAAGATATGAAGAAAAGAAGAATCCGACAAATCCTTTAGTTGCTTACTTTCCAAGGAATACGCCAAGGTCTATGGGGCCTCATAAAGTAATGAATTCAAATTTAAGACTGGAATTAACCAAAGTAATACGAGCATGCCTTGAAAATAACAAAAATTTTTAAATGATTGCAAGAAAATACCTGCAAGAAATATTCTGAAACGTATTTTAAGTTAATCTTAAAAGTGTGGTCGTGAAAATTTTCCCCTCGCTTCGCTCGCAGGGAAGTCACTTCTTTCGAATATCCTCAAGGCCTCCGCCAACCTCCCGCCGACCCCTTCAAACGTACCGCTAGAATAATGAGTGCCCAATAAAATAATAGGCATAAAATATCGTGAAGCGTTTTAGTGCGTTTTTCAAAAGATGGTTCTTTAGTCTAATAATTCTATCAACTCGAGCCCCCCCCCCCCACTTTGAATTTTTTAGCGCCGCCCTTGTGAAAGACTAAACGATCTCATGATTCTTACTTGCGAGAAAGACATTTTGGACAACGTAAATTTAGATAAGATAGTGGAGCGATGGGCAAGTCGTAGAAGGATAAAAATTAATACCTGATTTTTAGACTACGTATGTTTTGATGCACTAATTAAACTAACAGTCTTTATGCTTGATCTTCCAAATTTACGAAATCTGTAAAATTTATCATACAGCTGAATAATTATTTACGAGACAATTTATAAGGTTTTGTTGGTAAAAAACTATTAAAGTTTAGGCCCTCATACAAAATTAGAATTGACCTTTGTCAGTCGGAAATTTTGAGGTGTTCACCCCCCCCCCCAAATATCTGCCAATTCAGTCCCTGGCGGTATCCATGGCGTTTACCATTGATAATATTTGTAAAGCAATTCTTACTTAACTTACGGCAAACGAGCCTCTACCTGGTTCCTTGCTAGACCTTTCATGGCCAAGACGTTTATTTTATCTGAATTTTTTAACACCGCTGTATTTTTCAATTCATACTTTTTTGCGACTTGTAATGAATGTAACTGACGGACGCTTTGTTTTCGCTTCGGGGCTAGTGACCATGCCAAGGCACATTGTAACTGCAGAAAAGACATATAACCTTTGGCTCTAGGTTTTTTGGATTTGGTACGGATCTTTCCCATAAAAGGAAGGAATGTACTGTCAGAGAAAAGGGAAACCACCAACGTGAACTTTCCCGACATATAGTCATGTGGTAAATAAGTCATGTGATAAAGAGGTCTCATTGCAATAAATATCATTTGATACTACAAACGTGAATCTGAAAACCTGATAAGGCTTCGACAGTGGTGGTTAAACTCCCCATTCAACTACGCATGGGAAGGTTAGAATGGATTTTTCTGCGTGAAAACTGTTCTGTGCAACTTGGTTACATCTTGAGTCCCATTACCGTGCCCATGTGTCATTTGAGGATACTTTCATGGATTTCAGTGTCGCGGAGCTTTAAGAACCCAAGCTGGTATCAAGTTTCTAAAGTGAATATTTTCCTGGAAGATTCAGGATTATTTTAATGCGAGCATATTTATATTTGTTAAACATGTTGGCAAACTTGTATTGGACATCGTGTACTTAATACAGGCAGACTTTGGCTTCCATTCTTCCGGTAAAATCAGGGAAATGAATTGTATATGCTTTGTGTGCTTGATTTCTATATTTAGTTTGTGCTTTTAAGCCCTTAAAAAATAACAAAGCCTTGAATTCAAACTTAAGAAAAGATGCATTGAAAGCCATGAAAAGCAGTATTTACATTTACATTTACATTTACATATAGTTTTTATGTATGGTGTTACAAATGGTATTGTTCTGTCATTACAAGGAATGTTGACTGTAAAATGGCATCACGTTACAAAGCACCGATCTCCAAAAACGTTGATAAAGTTCTTGCAAATTTCATCTGTCATGTTTTCACACACATAGGCATATTTCTCTCATCTCCTATGCTTTATATCGATACTAGCACATAACAAATATACATGCTAAGTTCGCCTCAGGTATCACCGACTCTTTGATCCGACTTCCTTATAATGCTTAACGGCTAAAGCATACAGGTGCATTGCATCATCAAAATTCTAAGAAAATTATCTCAAGGAGTTCAAAGAATAAACCACAAAAAGGAACCATGAGCAGGTTGTGTCTGTTTTCTTCGCTATGAACACCGGTCGGTATTGATTTAGAGCTTAGCAACTTTTATCTGATTAAGTTTGGTAAAATATTGCTACTGACCATTTAATTTTTTTTACAAATACATTGTAAGTATTTTATGTTTTCATGAAATTTAAAGATCAACATTTTCAAACGAGTTATGTTTCATGTACTGTAAGTTAGCAACTGTAATTGTTACCCGATTTTTCGCATTCTGTATAATATATAATGTTGTATTATCTATATTTGTCGTAACAACTATTAAATAGTGCCGACCCGACTTGTCGCTCCGACTTGAGTAGCTCATATCAAAGCGGACAATCATCTATTCAATTCAATCTCCTTTCAGACTCTCTACGATGCTTGGTTTATCTCATTTTACAATGTTTGTTTCACATCTTGTCCAGTATTGGCTCTTGGACTTTTCGACAAGGTAAACTGTTTATGTCAATTTTATGTCATGAATTATCACTGTTGAAATGTGCTGTATTTAAATAGGTAGTGTGAGTTGAGTATAAGGGTGTTCCTGATAGTCAGATTTGATTGATATGAGGATAGAGTACTCACACAGAATTTTGAGAGAGCTCAAGTTGTTCAAGTTCCATTGGAACTTTCTAGAACCTCTAAAGAGAGCGGCCTATGCTATCGGCTGAAGCTAAAGATAATTTGCATTTCACTACGATTCATGATCATATGTGGTAATTAATGAGCATATGGACACTTGAGGACATTGTCGCTACGCCAAATATTTAGCGATGCTTAATTCTATTCTTGGCACATCTGGAAACGCTTTGAGATCTTTACTTTTAGCTTAGGTCATTTGTCTTCCGCATGGACAAATTGAAAGAATCAGTTTTTCAGAAATTCACCATACTTGATCGAAGTAAAGACAAAAACAATCAAGTCATCAAATCAATAATGTCTTGCCTAATTTAGCAAAGTTTAACAATAAAATTATGTTGCTAAACATCATTTTGCAGGATGTTGACGAAAAGCTCTGCCTTGACAACCCAAAGCTATATGTTCCCGGTCAAGAGAATATACTCTTTAACAAGAAGTCTTTCACTTTGAAGCTGCTTCACGGGATAGTGACGTCAGCTTTGCTCTATTTCATTCCATATGGTGTATTTCACAGAGCTACAGCTCCTGATGGTATCGATTTGGGCGATACAGAATTCTTTTCAACCACTGTGGCATGCTGCTTAGTTGTAATTGTTAACCTGCAGGTATGCACTAATTAATTTACAGTTATACGTACTAATGAAACTGCCTCAACAGATTTTAACGTCCAATGGTCTTGAATAGCTACACAATATAAAACCAAGGTACCACTGTCATTAAATATCTTGATACCGCACACGCAAAACGAAAACCTAAACTCCAACTTTTGCTCTCTAAGTTGATCCTATCTCGTGAATCAGGGTACTGTTTTACAAAACCAGGCTATTGTCTTGCGAAAGAATGCTAAGCTGCTTTATGAGGTGTATGGGTGCTCCCATTTACAAAGGCTTTGACATAAAGAACTCCAGATGTTCTAAATCTTCATCACTCCTTCTATACCGCACTGTAGTCTTCCTCCATCCCGCTTTTTCCCTACTTTTCTCATCAAACCTCTCTAAATTTTTCTTTTTCTTCCTTTATCTACTTTTTCTTCCTTTTTTCTTCATTTTTCTTCATTTTTTCCGTTTTCTTCCCTTTTCTTCCTTTCTCTCCCTGTTTCTTATTGCCTTCCAAAGGGTGATATTCCAGTAACCTGTTACAGTCAGACTTCTTTCTCTTTTAACCCTCGGGGAGAATTTACGAAGAACAAACCCTATACAAATTCCCGGATCCTGTTATTTTTTATGTAGCACATTTATTTTGCATAAAAAACTATTTCATTAAAAACTTCATAAGTAAATTTCAACATTCAATTTATATTTTCTTTTTCTCTAAAATTGGAGGAAAGCTTGATGCCATGTAAGGCTCTCTATTTACCAAAACAAGAGTTCGATGCTAGTAAAAGGTTCTCTTGTGCGCATGCTTGATCCTCGTTCCAGTTAATTGGGTCTTTTAACCTCGAAAACAGCTTTGCATGTTTTACCTCTGGATTAAGATCCTATCACACTAAACGTCGTGGTAAACAGGTTGTGGTTTTTGGGCCAATTTTTGTGTGTTTTTAATTAAAAGAAAAGAGGCTTAGAATCGTTCCAGATATTGGAGCAAACTGTTTTTAATATCGATTGTTGAATTTTTAAAATGCGAGGAATAAGGAAAGATTTTGAGCTAAAATTAGGTATACTCTCAAATGTAAGAGGGTGTGTTACATCTAACGTGCACCACCACCTTTCTGTGTCACGGTATAGCGGAAGTAATTTTTTAAAATCTTTTTGGATACTATTTTCGGAGTCGATTATGACATATTCTGTTTTATCACTCATAGATAAGTTTGGACACTCAATACTGGACGTGGATGAATCATTTTGTGATATGGGGCAGCATTATATTTTACTTTATGTTCAGTTTTACGCTGTATTCGCCTGAATTCTACTCTCTAGCAATCGGAGGAGTCGGCTACGTCGGTATGGCAGTCAATGTGTTTGGCTCGGGAATATTCTGGCTAACCCTTATATTAACAGCAGTCGTGTGTATATTGCCAGTAGTGGGATATAGATGGTTGAGAATGAAGATAAGACCCACGTTAGCAGAGCGGATACGAAAAGGAGAGTGGAAGCAAAGAAGAACTCCCGCCGAGTCATTGGTAATAATCATGTATTGATGTACATTGATATTTTCTTATTTGCAAACTAGGAATCAGGGAAGTGAGAGGTGGTTTTCAGCTCCCTGGACCATTCCCTAAAATTACTCAAAGCCCTGTACTGAATCAACTTGCAGCTAGCTCTTACCATATCAATGCAAGGATTTAATACTTTATTTTCTCAATTTTCTTTATATATAATAGAATAAAATAGAAAAAGTTTTCTTTATGTGAATAAGATTTCCTACCTCTTGATGTCTTACAATCTTAAAAATTACACCTCCAGGTTTCACTTCGTCGAAGCAGAGCTAGCTTACGGTCAAGGCGTAGCTCAAAGAGGTCTGGTTACGCCTTCTCGCACCAGAGCGGTTTTGGCGATCTCATCATGTCGGGCAAATGGTTGCCGTCATTCAAGTTTAGACATTCCAAGTCTTACGATGCCGCCAGTGCTGCAACAAGGACATCAGTCGCGTAATTACATACGGTACATTGGTATCATCAGCAATGGAATCCTGTCAAAAATGACTTCATCCCTGGCCACTCAAGATTATGCACAAACAAAGCACCACGCACGTTTAAAAAATTGACGTATACATCCTTTTAAAATGTCGAATACAGATTTATAATCACCTGCGTATGCCTGCGTATGGCCCTTTCAAGGATCTGAGGAGTTTTTAGTTTTCTTAGTTGCACGTGATGTTTTAATGGAGTGTATATATAGCTGATTCAATAGCAAGAAAGTAAGCATAGCGTCCATCGGATGTGTCCAGCCTGTACATATCCATGGAAAAGTGAATTTTATAACGCTTTTATTGTCAACAAAGCAAACAAATCTGCGAATGTCGTTCATTATAAGCAATAGCTCAGACACCAATATGAGAGAATATTGAGCCCCTTTCAGTATGTGATCCATACCAGTTTAGAAGGTTCCTTTACAGTGTGGTATCTTTCTGAAAAAAGATGTCTTAGAGCAACTCAGGTCATAGAAATTTTAAGCAAGAAATTTTAAATGATATTATTATTCGCATTTTGCTTTATTATGTACAACTTTTGAATAGGAAGCATTTTCCAGTTTTTTTATAATCGAAATCGTATTGAAGGTCTAGGCTTGATTGCCTCTGTCCTTGATAAGAGAGCATAGTTAGTGTATGATGGCACTTATGGTACTTATTATTCGCTACTGGCATTGAGTATGTCAAGAGTTCCATTTTTTCAAATTTTTACCGACGGATAAGGAGCGTGGTTTTAATTTGAACACTCGCAGTTTAGCATGTCTGTTTCTCTAAAAAAACATTAAACATTTCCCAATTCGTTTACTTCATTTAAAAAGAGTTTATTTTTTTTATATTGCTTAATTTTTAAGTATATGATTATTGGAGATAAACTGGTGTAAAAGCATTTTCAAATCAAGGTTTCGGTTATTTCAAAATATTTAGCAATGCTAGATAATTTTCATTTCACTAAAAGATTTAATTAAATGAAAAGTTTTTTGTGGCAAAATGAACTTAATTTCTTGTCGTTCAGCAGCTTCAGACATTTCAAAAAAGGGTTGGCCACTGTACTCTGCGATTGTTCTCGAAATGTCCTTATATGGCTGATACAATAAATTCCTGCGGAGTTGGTTGCTGAGTCATAGACACCAAGGCAACAACCGAGATAAGAATCATTTGCAGAAACAACTGAAGGTCGCACAATGTTTCGTCTTCATGCATCAGTTTCTCTGAAGATAAAGTCCCAATGATCAGGTTTTCTATCGTTGTAGACACTACTTTATAATAGGAGATAAGGAGGAGGATGGGTTGTGGGACATGCTGCCAGTAAAAACTCTACTTTAATCAGACCAGAAAATGTCGCCAAAGGTTGCCCACAAAACTGGCCTGATGTGAATAGGATTCGTTCAGAAGGGATGAGAACAAAATTAGTATACTGTGAATGACTCATTCTTTATTCTTCGAAACTGCAGTCAGACTCGAGAGTGACACACACACATTAATCTTGTTATTTTATTTTGCGACCATCGATAAAAGGTTATTTGAACGGTTTAGCGTTAGAATACATACAGAATAAAACCAGAAGTAATTTTTACGTATATCTATAAAAGCAGTTGGGCATGGAAGAGAGAAATTGTTACTTTTACACTTGAAGTTTACCTTGACCGCATGTGACAATGCCTGGAAATACAGAGATAGAGTTCAGAGCCCGCTTAGGGAAGGTGCACTGCAAAGACACAAATATAACGAAAGAAATTGCATATGTTATACTAGCGAAATCCTCTATATAAAGCTACGTAGAATGAATATGAACAACTCTGATAGAATGGATTAGCGTTATGTATACGCAAGGTTTTCACTGTATTTCTGTTTTCCAAATGACAGGGGGAATGGATTCTAAATGGGTTCTTGGCAGAAGTTTAAGTTCCTACATAAAATCTCCAGCATTGTGTTCTGACGGCACAGAATTGTTTACGCTGATCAAATAAAGCCTTCAATTCCAAACCCAATAAATGTCGACTAAAAGCAAAATTCGTTCCACTTACCTTCATCGTAAACAACTTTACTTCATAAGTTTCCTTACTTTCGATACGCAAGCCACTCCCCCTGCATTTACGCCCTCGTCTGTGGGTTGAATCTCTCCTTTCAATTTCTTTGACATTTTCGTCGATAGCTGCTTTTAAATGAGTCATTTTGACATCCCTTCAAAAAAGAAAACAAAATGATGGTACTACTATTGCCATTGAAATGTAATTAACTCTCTCTTGTCTTGCTATATAAGGTAAATTCATTTGGTATCACCGCTGTTTGCCTTTTCCCCCGTTCAGGATGACAAAAACGTTTCTCTTAGCTTTGTCTGTCATGTTTGCATAATGAAATACCAGTTTATGCTGTTCAAATAGGTTGAGACAAGATCCATGCTTCTCGATGCAAAGTGTAAGCAGACTTTCGTTCGTGTTTTACTGATGATAGAAAGTACTTTTGAAAATCATTTTATCGATTTCAATCAGGGAAAGAGAACAACTGGAATCATGCAGTCAGCATAGTTTTTAGAAATATTAAAAGGAATCCTGAAAGACAAAGTAACGATTGAATTTAATTAAACATGGCGGAGAACAAGAACAAAGTATCCGGTAAGTTTATGAGCTGTTTAAAGCATAGACTGTTTTTTATTGTGAAGGGTGGGGCAGCTTTTGATAGGACGCTGTAACAACTAAACAGCAATTGAATGGTCATAATAGCGATGTCAAAAATTATGGCTTTTCCTATCACTTCAAGCAAATGGACATATTGAAGTTTTTCATGTTATTTGCCAGCTAGGGTTTAATCAGGTTTAATGCAGCAAATTGTTGCTAATGATATTAAAAACATTTACCACAAGGATTTACTGCCATCGGGCAATTAAGAAGGAGCATAACGTTGCTGCGTTCAATTAAATTTCCCAGAAGATATGTAAAACGAAAACCGACATTTAGTATGTTTGGATGAGCATAAATTCCAATTGCCTCACCAGTTTCTACTGGCGAGTTGAAAGTAGCGGATGTTGGGAGTTTCTTTTATGCACTTCGGATGCCGTCAAAAATGTTGATTCATTTGCAAACAGAATGGCTTTGGAGAGAGGCTGCAAGATGTTGCCGTCGCATTGAACCAAAGAAATTAAAAGCCTTTAAAGCGACGATATTAAGTTAAAAACAAACAATATAGTTTGCTTACATATCACCTGCAACATCTCGAATATCAACCATAGAAGTTACGCTAAAATCAATAAAGCTCTCGTTATTCTGTTTTCATTATTCGTTCGTTTCTCTTTATCCTACAATGAAGGACAGGAATTTGGAGTTTTCTAACTAAAAAACTGTTAAATCAACGAGAAGCAAAAGAGGCTTTTAACACCTGTGATTTTCGTTGCAGATGATAAATTGGGTCCCAAATTTGTGCGAGGCTTGGTGTAATGGGTTTGATAACTTGGAAAAATGCAATGGCCTTTAGCATAAATGGAATAAAACTGACTCTCAATTTTGATGCTTTGGCATTAAATCAAAAATAACATTTGCTTATGGACCAGCCAAAAGATTTTTTTCTGTGCTTTGACACGTCAGTCATCAACGACAATAGGTTTACAATCATGTTTACAATTTAATGAACAAAAACAAACAATTCAGTTGAAATCAAGGCTTTACGGATTAACCGTTAACCTTTATCAATGTCTCGGTTATCTCAAAGCAAATCTATATTCATATTAAGAAAAATGGTTTGAAAAACGATGTAAAAACTTTGGACGAGAACGCCCAGCCCCCTTCTGTCATAAACTTGGTAGTAATGCACGTGGCCAAAGGGCTATGTAATTAGGTTTTGCGAAATTGCGAATTGCGAAAGAAAAATGGGTCGGGGTAGCTTTAAAACTTTTTGATCATTCATAATTTATAATAGAAATTTCTAAAAGTTTATTGATCAATAAAAATACTGGGAAGTTTTAATGGCTGTCTTTGGAATGAGAACTGGATTACGTCACCACAGGCGTGTTCCAAACCCGAGGTTGTTGTGCGGCGCCATTTACAGGTCGGCAAGTTGCAGAGCTAGAGGTTGGGCAATAGCCCAGCGAACATGATCATATAAGAACCTAAATTTGACTAAACAGAAGCGCTACTGTCTCAAGATTGCTTACTTCCATTAAATTTGGGATTTGATTAATCACTGGCTGAAGGATGAGTTCTGGCCCGAAACATAATGTTGGAGGTAAGTGTATCCCATATAGGCCCATTCCTGTACCCTTCTTAACACTGAATTAGTCATTGATTTATGTTGTTTTCAGTCATCGTGCACAGAATGTTTGAATGCGAACACCAAGTTGATCTATTATTTTTCTTTAGAAACTGAAACATGGGAGCGACTTTCAGGGGAGGAGATGGACGAGCGAAGGAAAGAGCAAGTTGCATACGAATATCTTTGCCATTTAGAGGAAGCAAAACTGTAAGTTGAATTTTCATCATCTCCAGAGTGAAGGTAACCCAATAACGGAATGCGTTGTTATGGAGGGCGTATCCCTCTATGATGACAAATATATTTGCACAGAATTGTGACAATAAAAGTATCTGATTTTTTTCTTGATAAAGCTGAGGCAGAAATATAATGTTTATTTTACAAATTTTGGAGCTGTGGTTCAAAGTAACCAAAGCAAAAAACGCTTTAGCGACAAATATAACAGTTATTGAATAGGTCTCTTTGAGGAAATGATTCTGGTCAGTTTCGTCCAGTTTGATAAAGAGAATTGTAGGGGTTTCTTCGCGATATTTATGCTTTTATAAAGTACGTGCCCTGTCCAGTTAAATTCCACGCTTTTCCAACGATCTGGACATACTTTGTTTTTAAGTGTATACTTTTCGCTCACTTTTCTGTGCATCAGAACTGGCCTGGAATTTTTTTCACACTAATCCTGGTCTAGGCCATTGTTATGGCTGGTTAAGTTTTGCATTATAAAAATCATAATAGGTTGGTTTTCACCATGAATTTTAATTGCAGATGGTTGGAGGCCTGTTTGAAAGAAGAACTACCCCCGACCACTGAGCTTGAGGAAAGTTTTACCAATGGCGTCACGCTTGCTAAGCTTGCTCATTTCTTTGCCCCCAAAGTTGTACCCTTGCGAAAGATTTATGACAAAGACCTAAAGCGGTTTGAAGTAAGCCTTTAATATCGGTTGTTTACTTACGAACTCTTTCAAAGCCGTTACATTTTTCCACCATTGTGTTTTCGCAGCTTATTGGTCTGCGTTATTTGTTAGGCGGGGTCGAAAAACTATGTGCGAACAGTTTGAAAGCATCAATTTGTCTTAAAGGGTCTGTCTTAATTAATTACTGTCTTCTTTTGCCTGTGCGGAATAGCGACATTTAACTGACTTCATTGGCATCAATTGTATTACTACAATAGCTATCTATTTGTGTTACAGAGAAAGTCAAAATTGCTTTCAAAACATTGTCATTAAAAAATGAAAATCAAAATTTCACAGAAGGAAAAATTGTTCTTTTACCAAAATATGTATCTGTTTAATGAATTAAATCAACAATGAGTCAACATCTGTATCAATATGTAAAATTTAACACACCCTGGTTTATCACTTTTAAGATGCATCCATTTGACCATCTTTTTCATTCCATTTACAGCGCTGCTTTTTTGCAAAAAATGATTTTTGGAAAAGTTCACTGTTTTTTATACATATATCTATGTTTTGTGTTTTTCATAAGACCATCCATATTTTTTTGCACAAAATTCTTCAAAAAAGATTTATTTGTAGGAGAAGGGATTGCACTTCAAACATACTGACAATATCAACTATCTTCTAAGAGGAATGGAAAAAATTGGATTGCCAAAGGTAAGGTCCTTTTATTTTAATTATATTAGTTTTAGGTCAGTAGATATTGCTATAGGCATTGGATCAACTAATTTTTAGTTATAAGATTATCAATAATTTTTCTAAACACATTTGGCATTGTCTCAACTAAGTAAATATCACATTCAGAGCTTCAAATTTGCAGAAACTTTCATCAGATCAAATTTCCATTCTCTGTCTCAGAAGGGTTGGATTTTGGGAAGTAACATGATACTGTCAGTGGGATCCAAACTTACTTCTTGGGTTTATTTGCTGTTTCTAACAGTTTGTGAAGGAAAGCATATACATCCTCCCAGCTTGAAGTCTAAGTGTTTAAAGGATGGAGAGTCAGTGAAACTCTTGATTTTGACATTGATCCAACTGAGAACAGGCAGCTCTTTGTCATCATGCTGTTTGGTCTCATAGTGTGTGTTTGTTGTTAGAACCTGTTTATTGGGGATGGCAAATAACCAAATATGGCTTAGCCTATCCCATTGTACCATCCCTCATTCTAGTTTTGGCATTCAGTTAAGGCGTTTTGCCAAAGTGTTGTAAGTATAAATATATGTCTACAACGGCTTTAAAGAATTGCTCTTTTTTATAAAAGCATACTCAATGAGAAAACTGCAGCATGATGTGCCAAAAAATAAGAACACAGTAAAAACATGATTATCCCAAAAATATTTGCTCTCATGTTAACAATACAGAACAGATCTTATCAGCTAGTCAAACATGCAACTAAGATATCATGCAAACAGTTATTTAGTGGTCATAGACATTTCCCTGGAGTAATTGTTCCCTTTTGTACATGATTTTTAGCAACCAAGGGTATTTTCTCATTGAAAATTTTTTACCCCCAGTGAAATAATTAAAACTCAGTGAAATATAATAGTTCAACCTTCCTTCTGTAATAAATGTGATACTGAAAACAGTTTCTCATGGTTTTTGCACAGTTGTAAGGAGATTGAATAAATCAGGTTTTGATTGAGTATTCCATAGTATAATCCCTTAAGCTTAATATATTGTTATGCAAACAATCTTTTTGAGCATCAACTGAGATATTCCAATTTTGGGAAAAAGCATTAAAATGACTTCCTAACCTGACATCAAGCCTTTATTCAGTTGCACTTTATTATAGCACAATCAAATTCAGGAACAATGGCTTTTCTATCAAAATTTTGTCATCTATGTTTTATTGAGTTGTCAGTGATTTGTAAACAGTAGGTCTTTCATGAAATGTATTCACATTTGATAAGCACCATTCAAATACTGAATTTGTAGAACAGCAAAGGTGTTTAAACCTAGTTATGGCTATTTTGAATTCTATATAAAACTGTAGCTAAACTAAATCTCTGATTAATTCTGTTTTCATTGACATATCAGGCTTGATGTCCAAAAGGGGTTGAGGGCTAAGCCTGCAAGCTGGAGAAAAAGACCTTTGCAGGGCCACAAACTATGGGTCCCAAACTATGTTACAGTTTGTGGCTTTAGCCCCCCACTCCCCAGAAAGCTCCTCTTGGCCTATGGCTTGTTTCATATAAACAGTGGAGATTGCAGAAGTGTATTTTAAATTAAACTTTCCCAAATGATATTAACATATGATATTAACATATAGTGATAAGCACCAGTTGTTACAAGTCATCCAAGCCAACAAACTAGATTTTGAGAGCCTTATATCTGAATACTTATCCTATAAATGGTCTATCATTTTATTCCTGATCTGGTCGAAACCTTCCTAGAACAGGGTTTCATAGCTTGTTTGACTTGTTTGTAATATGCCTACAAGAAAAAATCATGTGGTAAAACTTGAAATTCTGTGGCTTATAAAACTATGTAATTTTGAAGTTTGGTTCATCAGTTTCAGAAGCTGGTAAAACCACAGAATGTCAAGTGGTATTCCCAATCAAGTGTTGATATTATTGAATATTGTAATGAAGGCCCTATTGGCAGTTGAAGTATTTCTATAAATAGTATGATGAGCTAAGGCAGGCATTTGTTCAAATGTAAGCTACAAACAATAAAAGAAAAAAGGGTTTGAAGCTTGTCTTGTTTTCAGCTATATTTTTTTGCAAAGCTCTGTATCTTAGAGTCTTTCAGTTGATTAATGCATATGGTATTCAATTAACATTGAAAAGAATAAAGGTCTTCTTTCATTATGCTATAACTAAGTTTGCTTGTATGCTTTAAATACACTGATGCTAGCAATTGTGACAATGGCAGAAGCTGCTCCATCCTTCCAAGGGCTTGCTGATATTATATACATGGACTTGCATGCTTTGTTGTACTAAACATGTCAATTCTGAGCTGAAAATCTGAGTTTCCTGCTTGATACAATCATAAATTCAGGTCTGCAGTGTATGGCAAATTCTAGGTTGCCCCAAATGCCCCAACATTGGTAGAGGCTGCCCAAACATTTCCTGAAAAATACCAGCTCTTCCTTTTTATGATTTAATAGATCTAGTTTTCAGGTGCACCTTATGCACTACCATTTCTGCATTTTGGGTGGGCAATAGCCATGCTTTGCATACTGCCATCAAGTAAGCTGCCTGGTGATTAGAGTAAACCTTCATGTAGCAACTTAAAACAGTTGTGTTCCACACATCAAAGCATGCAGTGCTCTGGTTGTCTGGATGAAACATTTTTTAATGTAGATTGCTGCTTGCAAGTATGTTTAAAAATTTAAAACCTATTTTTAAGCAGCAATTTTCATCAACTAGCATACTTGCACGTCTCTGAGACATTTGGCTGAGATTAGCTCAGAGAGAGACATGTCCTTCTAAGAAACAATAGTGAACTTATTAAGTATACAAATGCTTCTTTGGTTATAATTATCCATTTGATTCCTGTTGTTTGGCAGTATTAGGCGTATCAGTCTGGATTAGTGACTTTTCAGATTAAAATCATCTTGTTCAATGTCAAATACTGCAATATGTTTATAACCATTCTGTTTAAAAGTTTCCAGCTTTAGATAAAATTTAGACAGCAAGTTCTGTACTACTTTACCAAATTAAGTCAAAAAAGTAAATTTTAGTTTTCTTGATTTAATACCACTATTTATTTTTAGTCTGTTTGTATACTGGATACCTGAAACCCAGACTTTTTTTGCCCTCTTGAGAAAAAGTGCTTGTTTTTATCTGATAAGCACCCTTTGTGCATGTGTGTTGGAACGTGATACCCCCTTTTTCATCATGTCACAGCTTTTCAACAAACTTTTGACCCCCATCCCCACCCCATGATTAAGAGTCTGAATAACACGATGAAGTGGACAATTAGATGCCTGTCACATATTTTAGAATGTCACAAATCGACATTTATGGAGTTGCAAAGAGTTCGTGTATTGTTCTCCAGGGGAATTTATCAGTTTTCACTTCATCTTGCATTGGTTACGCAATACTAATACCACAAAAACAGCAAAGATCCGGTTTCCGAGCTACTTTCTAAAATACTGGAAAATACTCTCCTTTATGCATATGCTTGACGACATTTATGCAGTTGCAAAGAGTTCGTGTATTGTTCTCCAGGGAAATTTATCAGTTTTCACTTCATCTTGCATTGGTTACGCAATACTAATACCGATGAGAAAAGTTTATTTTATTTAGAAATATATGCATTTCCTTTGATTTCCTCCCATACCTATTTCTTCCCGTATTTAAAGAATTTGACTTCAAGCATGGGCTGAATTAAAATAATGCATTCCTATTCTATAAATTTAGTTTTTATACTTCAACATAGTCATCAATCATCGACATGAACACCATTATCGCTTAAATATTATCAGCAACATCATAAATGGTTTATCAAGCAATTATTCTGTTCCTTTTTCCGGTAGAAACAGAACCAATTTAAAAAGCTGTGTTAAAATCCATTGTGTAAGCGTAGCCATGATTGGCAATACAATTAAACGCTGCCTTTCTGTGAAATAAATTTTCAGTATTTTTAAACATATTCATCGAAAAACACACTGCCAGGTGGTTTTGCAAAGGGGATATTGACGTAATCTTTTTCTTCGCAGTGCTTTTTAAATAAGATAGGCAAATAATACCTTCGATTAGTGACCAGTAGCGGTGAACCTCTAACAGTGTGATTTTCGAAGTTAGCAGGTTTGGGTTAAGACTGTGTAATATATTCGCTGTTCTCTGGGAAAGGATTTTCCTAGTCTAACATAATAAAATTTACAATTTCTCGTATTTGGACAAAATAAGATTTTAAATTTTAAGAGTTGGATGCAATGGGAAAATTGAATCTTGAAGAATCTCTTCAAGATAAAAAGATCTTGAAGGCTTTTTTTTCGAGGCTGTTTCGCTACGTCCGATAATTATACTATTCTCATTTCCTTTACAAATCCCTTTAAATATTTTTCAGTGTTCCAAGACTGTTAATGACATCAAGAAGGTCTTTGTAAAATAATCCTTCTTTCCAGTTGGGAATTTACAGTCAACTCCGCTTAAAGTTAAATTTCGGGTACATGAAATTTAGGCCAAGCTTTGTAATACCTTGCAATTAAGCTCCGTTTACAGTCACACTCAACTGACAGTCAGAAACTTTCAATAGCATTTGGTTTGACTGACCTAAAACTACTTTATAATGATAATGTGTATTATGCATGTTGTCGCAAAATTATTTTAGAAATTCAAAGATTGTTATCAAAAACGGTGTTGTAGAACGTAGGGCAGAAGCAAAATAACGAATCAAATCAAAAAAAGAATCAGCGCGTAACATAGAAGTTCCTCAATAAGAAATTGCGCTGCTATAGTCACGCTCTTATGCCCTTAGAAATAGCACTTCCAAGCCTGCCAAATGTCTTGGAACACTGACGTCAGTTTGTAAGTTTAAATTCAGTAAACCCCCTCCCCCCTTGAACAATGTTGGTTCACTAGGAAACGGTCAGGGAATTAGGAAGTTCCTTCTTTAACGTTTCTTTTATGCTATTTTTCTAAACTATCAACATTGTTTTAGGAGGAAAGGGGCGGAAAAAATTATTGTTTTTCGGGAAAAGAATAAAATATATAGAATGCAGCACAAATTGCTGGGTGTTGCAAGTACTTGTGGCAATGATTGTAGTGGTGGAATCGTATGATATCCAGTTAGCCAACAGAGGCTGCTTGATATTTGCGATGGTCTGTAGTTCAGAAAGCGTAGACAGTTTTATACCGTTAATTTTATGACAAGGCAGCAACGCAGTTAACGATTTTTAGACAGCAACGCAGCAAAAAAATTACAAGCGGATAGTTTCTTCTTATAGATAAACCTTATCTAGAGAAATTATGACCGAGATTCGCTAGCAATTCTAAAAAACCTATGACTGAGATTCATTAATAGAGAGTGCGGGAAAATAACCGACCCGAGCGAGTAAACTTCTGAGATTCAGTAAACTCTTTTCTTCAGTGTATATTCATTCCTTTATTCGCTGCTCCTTAAAATCGCTTGAAAGTTTATTTTGTGTACTCTTTGTTATTTGGTCTATATAACGTAGAAAAAATAAAAGGGAACATCTCGTGCAAGAGAGCAACTCTGAGCTGTCTAAAAGACTTGATGGATTGTTAAAGACTCATTGCTACCAATGAGCCATTGCGCTACGCAAGCATCCCATAATGCATTTTCAGACAGTCTGAAATCAATTATGGTTGATCAGGAGAAGTTTACTGCCGTGTTTGGATTGTCGCCTGAATAATTTGCCACCCTCGCAAAGGCTCATTGTTAGCAATGAGTCTTTAAGAGAACGACCGATACATGATTTTATTTACTAAAGAATTTCTAATGTTTCTTTTCTAGGTATTCTACCCAGAAACAACAGATATCTACGATATGAAGAACATGCCAAGAGCAATCTACTGTATACATGCCCTCAGGTACTGGAGCTTTACCCACATTTTTTTATAAAGACAATGCGTGTGCTGTTTTGAGTTTTATGAAGAGGCTTCTCTCATTCTAATACTTTCTAACTGCATTGTTTCTGCTGTTGTGTTATGTTTCTTTTATACTACCATTGCTTGTTTATGGCAGGTGCTCTTGACTGTGTAGCCGATACCTAATCATGACATGAATTCATAAATTGCGAAAACTATCAGGAGTTTCTTACCTTCTTCGAATCAAGTTTGATTTCAAAATGATACAGTTTTGGTAGGCGTTTGATAATAAAGAGATATATATTCATCGAACAAGCAACATGTATTAGAACCCTAATTGTTTGTCCAATATGAACAAAATTGATTGTCAATCTGTTTTGCAGTTTGTATCTATACAAATTGGGTCTTGCTCCACAAATTCAGGATCTCTATGGCAAAGCAACATTTACACGTAAGTAAATTTGGTATAGTCTCACTTTCTTTTATTTAGCTAAATCTTTTTTTCTGTTTCAGTGTTCAAAACAAATACATATGTAATTTAGTATTACTGAGTAAGTTATTAAAATTTTTGAATTATTTTCAGAGGAAGAAATCAATGCAATGAAGCAAGCTTTGGACAAATATGGTATTGCAATGCCTGCTTTTGGAAAGATCGGGGGCTTGCTGGCTGGAGAGGTAAGACTTGATCTATCACTGATCGTGTTCGCGTAGAAGCACGCGTGTAAATGCTATTTAGTTAGCATATATTATTAGTTGGTATCACATTCCTATACCGTCGTATACCCACATTATACTAGATTTATAGATTTCGCATAACACGGTATACAGTGCACCTCCGTGAAACTGACACACGTTAGACCAAATTTACTGTCCGTTGCGAGAGGTGTCCGTTGCGAGAGGTGTCCGTTGTGAGAGGTGACCGTTCTCTAGAGGGTACTTGCTTTAGGCTTTAACAGCAGTAAAGATATGGCAAAATCATTTATCCGTTGTTTTGGGGTGTTCATTCCTTGCAAAGGTCCTTTAAAGGAGGTTTCAATATCGATATGTTCAAGTCAACATGTGCTCGAAACATTTTATAGTAAATATATATTATGGAAAAATCATTTATTCGTTGTTTTGGAGTGTTGATTTCTTGCAAAGGTCCTTTAAAGGAGGTTTCAATATCGATATTTTCAAGTCAAAATGTGCTCGAAATATTATATAGTAAATATTATTTTATGATGTTATTTCAACTATCCCATGCTATATCTTTTTTAATAAGCTAATCATTTCTTTTCAGCTTTCAGAGAATGATGCAGCAAGTAAGTGCCACTTAATAACTACGAAGACTCATAATGTACTGTAGCTCATCTTTGAATGGTAGGACTTGCCGAAAATACAAAAACTAGGGTCCTTTCCATTGCCATGCTAGCCATTGCAAAATTTGTATTGCCATCAGATCATGGCACGTATGACACTTTCCCAGCTTGCTGTATCTGGCTTACATAACAGCTAGTGTGATTACGTCGTCGAATTAAGCAAAACACTGATCAATTATCTTTTAGAATAACATTTATCAGTTTTTTCTTTATCTTTAAGTAACAAGGTAATTGATAAGATTCAATTTCTTCAGTTTTTCTTCATATTCTCCTTTCCAAGTGAATTTTATTGACGTTTTTCAGCTCATGCTGCCATCGTTGCCATCAATGAAACAATCGACAAGAATGACCCGGACGAGCTTTTCAAGGTTTTGAGCAATCCTGCTGCTAGGCTGTTGAATCTTTACGAATCGAATAAGGTCGGATACCAGAATAAATTGGCTGAAGAGAAGCATCGAAAAACTGCTGCTGCGGAGGCTAAGGCATGTCTGCAATTTTTAGTATTCAATTCTTGTATTTAATACAGAGAGACTTTTTTTGACGGAGGGACTCTTTTTGACGGAGAGACTCTTTTTGACGGAGAGACTCTTTTTGATTAAAAGTTTACCTGATCCCCCAGAGATTATAAGGCCCAAGCGCCCGTTTTGTGTGGGTTTAGAGTTTTATGAATCATAATAAATTTTTTAAGATTGTTAAAGTTCTAGACAGTGATTTGTAGTATCGGCATTTTCAAAATTTTCAACGTGTTTAATAATTCTTTCATTAAAGCCAGTGTGATTTTTTCGGGTGTTTCTTTAAAAATGCAACTATCAAACCTTGCTGATAAAGCTATAGAACCATGGTTGATGGTTAGTTTTCTGCTTTTTCAGAATCGTCCTGAAGAAGAGCTAGACCTGTACGACAAGCTGCTCACACAGGCTGAAATTCAAGGCCATGTCAAAACCGTAAACAGTACGTTTTTCATGTCGTTTAAGTTAAAACGAACCTTTAATCATTTGCCATATAGCAGCAAAAGTGATTGAATCGTTTCCGCTATTATGTTTGTTTTGACCCACAAAACTACCCTAGTAATGTTATTCTCCTTATTTGGCATGTTGTATCAATTCACGAATCACCATTTTAATGCCATTGCAGATGCCCCACCCCTTCCCCTTTCGAATCAGATTTCTCTAGCTTTACTTGGCAGATTGCGTGTGTTGGATTGTGTGGTTAATCATCTTCCAAGTGACAGTAATGAAGGTCGCTGCTGCCTTTACGCAACAGAAATATTTACACACGGTTGACAAAGGAAGAAGATATCAAGGTCAAATGACCTGTAAAAGTCCTGCGTGATGCCCGAATGAGTTTGATATTAATTACTTTATTGAGTTCGTTGATTGATACCAACATTGGATTATAGAAACATTCTAATGGAAACTGGATCTGCTTCAATTTGTCTCTCATGTGTCGATTTTCAGTTTTACTTAATTGGAGATTTGTTGTTTCTTTTGCAGCTGATGTTGCAGTCCAGGCCATCAATGCTGCTATTGATGCCGGCGATGAGCAGTTGCTTTTAAGTGCACTTAAAGACGAATCTGCAGGCCTTCGTGACGTCATTGGTGCAAATATCAGCTGGTACTTTAAAAATCTGAAAGACGAGAAGGCGGCAAAGGCTAAGGTGACTACTTTGAACGGTTTTGTAGAGCCCTTGCCGATAAGAAAACTTGTGTGCAAATAGATGGCGTGCGAATGACCTACGCTTTGTTCTCCGAGTTTTTTGTTTCTTTTCCAGTTTGCTCAGTATGTCGAGAACTAATAGTAAACAGCCCATGATTTCGATTTTTATGAGTAAATGGCTACATAAAATTATTCATCAATAAAAATTTGTTTGTGGTCTATTAAATTACTTAACCCTTTGTCAGTACAAGTTGCTTTTTACCAATCGGGTTTTTTGGCATGGCAGTTCTTTAAAAAGAAAACTCACTGTTAAATATTATACAGTATTTTTGTTTTGATTTCATCTAAAGACCAGTGAGCAATTCCATACCTAATCAACTGAGTATCTTGAGTCTCTTGTAAAACTGAGTATATTTATTCAGATTGATTCCCAAGTAAACTTTAAAAAAGCTTCAGATAAGTATTTTATACATTTCCAACTTGTTTCTATCTTTTTAGAAAGAGGAAAATCCAAACGCTCTTCTACAATTACGTGAAATTCAAAACACGATTTATAATTGCAATTCCGTTGCCAATAAAGCTAACTTGAGTGAGTTTCTTGCTATTATTTAAATTTTTGTGAAGGCTAACTTATTCGTTTCATTAAAGCTCTCCAGCACAGTGGATGGGGACTGAAAATATTGATAAAAATATGTTTTACCAAGTCCTTCGCTTCTGTTTGGCACACTTGCTATTTATCTTCCACCCTTTTTGTAACACCTGCCTGTTGATAACTTGTCTATTCTTTCGCTGTAGTTTACGAAGGGTATTTTGTGAGTCAATCTCGAACCTTTTAAAAAGAGATTAAAGGGAGATGTAGGTAGACGACCGTAACTTTTATCCAAATTTTTTATGTTTGTTTTTATCTTCACGGTATGAAGTCAAAAAACATCCCTCAAGTCTTGTATACATGCTTAGTCTACCCGTATCCAGTTTTAGAATGTTGCAAATTCTATTTTTCCAGTGGAAGCTTGCTTGGGTGGCATCAACAAGACGCTTGAAGAGGGAACAGCTGAGGAACTCATGGCCTGGCTAATGAAACCAGAGTCTATGTTGCCGGAAGTTGATCCAAGAAGGCCATACTTGTATTACGATAACCTGAAACGTGCCCGGTTGGATAAAGGACAGGTTTGAAACTGTATTTATTTATTCTTATAGATATCCTGTATAGAGTTTAAGAAATTGATAGATATGCAAAGTTAAAAATTGCAATTAGGTAATTAAATGAAAACTGCAAGTAATTGGGAAATTGCAAGAATGTATCATATTTTGTCATTCAGAAATCTTCTTAATGTTAGAAAGCATATTTTACTATCAGCCTTAGAACAAAGCAATCTTATTAAGCAAATTACGTTAAGTGATGTATACGAATTTCGCTTGCAGGATCTCACATATGAAGATCTGACTCTTCTTTTGAAAGGTTAGTAAGATATAAATAGCCTGTCACCTCTTATTTAAAGAACATGTTCGCGGGGATTTTTTATGCTAAAATGACCTTATGAAGTTCCAGAACCTCCCTATGTAAGCACTGAGGAGAAGTTAACATGATACTCAAAAACAGACAATATTGTAAATGCAGAATTTTTATCTGACGTTTTGACGCTGTGAGTGAATCCCTTTGCCGACAATATTAGATTGTGCGAACCATCATGATCTGAGTATCGCTTGGTAATTCGATGGCGCTTGTCGTTTCAGTGCTCACAGCTGTTGCAGCAATTAATAATGCAGTTGATGTTGCGGACTCTATTGCGTTGACTGATGCGCTCAAGGACCAAGAGGCTGCCTTAGATGGTGTCGACGAAGCGTTGGGCTCTAGATACCTCTCGCATTTCATTGCTGTGAAGAACGAGAAGAGAGAGGTTTGTTCATATGATCACCTCCATCTTATTAATATGTTGCGCCGGGTATATTCTGGAGGGTTTCCAGAGTGGTAGAGGTGCCAGCAACCGTAAAAAGTTACCTATTCCTACCCAATCATAATTTTGATTCCTGGGTGAATCCTTGGAAGTCATAGGTGTTTCTGACTCATTGTAATTCTTCTACCAACTCTGCAGTATTTAAAATCACAAAGCCAATAAAGATACATTTAAAGTATCGGTTGTACTACAGAGAACATTCTCTTAGTAACCTCTTTTGCAGAATGTGTTAGGCTTGCGGAGTTCTTCGTCTTGGTATCTGGTACCTGAAAATTATTTGCTTGGTAACCGAGTAGTAAGTGGTCATTTCGCATTACTGGTCAAAGATTACATCAGTTTGTTCAGTTTGTAGAACATTGTCCTGTTAAGAAATTGGTCTCTCCGAAATAACTATAAAAGAGGTCCATTGTTTTATGAATAATTTCGCCCTAAGGCTTTTCGACTCGCACTGTTTATTAAATTCACCTTTTTAACGAGTGAAAGCGAAGATCAAAATTTAGCTTCAAAATCAGTATAGCAATAAAATCTATAGTTTAAGATTTTCTTGGGTTCTAGACACCGTTTACTGGTTATGGTATCTTTGAAGCTATTTCTTTTTATTTGACAGGAACTCGGCGTACAACATGAGGATCTTAACCAAGTTGAAGTCCAAGCCCTCGTTGAGTATGTGAACACAGAGGTACAGGAGGAAAATGACCGTAAGTTACCTTCGAATTCAGTTGCGATTCGCTTTTTTCTCATAGCTTTGTTGTTGTGTTGCTGTCATCATGTTCAGTTTTTTTAGATCTCACAACTGAACAAAGACAATGGTAGAACCTGAAAACTTGTTAAATGTACAGATACTCTGGTTAAAAACAAATGTTTGAAGATATATCATGCCCTTTAGCTTTCCAAGAATGTTTAAACGAATTTTTGCCAGTAGCCAGTGAAAGAGAATTTTTATGATTTCTGTTCTTAGTTTATTCTACGCAGTCTCACCTTTGGATCTCGTATGATGCATTGAAATAGAAAATAATTATCTGTTTACAGCCTGAAGTATTTGACTGGCTGCTTTTCTTTTTGTTGTGTCAGGTCGGCAGTGGTGGTTTCTTAGTTTTTATGGCAATACATTCTTTATAGTTTGTTTGTATCCAGTCTTACCTGAATTTCGAGTTAATTTTTTTGGTTAGCTTCCTTTTTTGTCTGCTCATCAACGAGCAATATTATCGTCTCTTCAGATTTTGAAAGAAGTTTCTAGTTGGATAAATACATACTTTGTTAGTTCTGCAACTTAATATCACTACCAGTAATTAAAAGACTAAAATTGATAACTGATATTTGTGCAATGGCACAATCGTCACGAGTGTGTAATGCCAATTGAGCAGAGAGAAGTGGTTCTTAAGAACACTTGTACTGATTGTTAACATATATTTTGTTTTGTAAAGTGGCTAATTGACGAGAACTCCATACAAAGGAGCTCCACTTTATGGCCAAATACTATATTTATCATACTATTGGTTTTGTAGTCAGTTTGTCGAATCATTGAGTCACTTGACCTCTTAGTTTTGTGATAATTTGAAGTCAATTGCCATTCGTCTTTATACTATCAAACAGGTCTATAAACCCTATTTTGCTATATATGCACGTCGGCATCAATGATTTATGCCCATTCACCGTGTTTATCTTTTCGCGAGATTTTTAGACTATCGGAATACTGCACTTGAAACACCTTATCTTTGCCGATTCTATTAATTTACTATTCGGCGCCTTTGCCTGTGGATAAGAGCAAGCATCAAATGCTTATTTCCACCTCTAAGATTTGAGTATAATCGTTAGTGAATAGACGTGAAAGCTCGGACATGTGACCGTATTGACTGCCTGTAATCTTTGCAACTAGGCCGTATGGATGTGTTGAGCCTTCCAGTTGCAGAACCTTACTTTGCCTTCATCTGTTGTCAACAAGCATGATTTCTACGATCGATAAGGAAAAACAGAAGCTTTTTAGGTTTTTGACAAGTGATAATAATGGGGACATAGTCGTGCGTCTCCTTGCGCACCACCGCAGGTGCCATGAAAAGCTTAAAAACTCATTCAAAGCATCTCATGGTTTGTATATGATTTTTCTATAAATCACTGATAAAATAACTAATAAAATTATTTACTGTTGTATGTGTAGTGGCCGTTGATGGATCTTTGGCGTCTCTGTTCCGATATTTCTGGTATAAGAGTGATATGACATTAAATATTAGTTGTCTCAGTACTAGCATAAGTATCATCAATACATGCAGATTGCTTCTTTAAACTGTGCTTGTGCAGCTAAAACAGAAATCCCTGTGCAATTGGGGTTCTTTGTATGACACCTCTGGAAAAGCCAGACTCTGTCTTAGGCGCAGATGCTGGCCCATTACCTGACATTGAACTTATGCTTGATTTTGGCATTCACTTTCCTGCTTCCTTGCTTGCTTTTTTGCTTGCTTGTTTGCTTGCTTGCTTGCTTGCTTGCTTGCTTGCTTGCTTGCTTGCTTCCTTGCTTGCTTGCTTCCTTGCTTGCTTGCTTCCTTGCTTGCTTCCTTGCTTGCTTGCTTGCTTGCTTGCTTGCTTGCTTGCTTGCTTGCTTCCTTGCTTGCTTGCTTCCTTGCTTGCTTGCTTCCTTGCTTGCTTCCTTGCTTCCTTGCTTGCTTCCTTGCTTGCTTCCTTGCTTGCTTCCTTGCTTGCTTCCTTGCTTGCTTGTATCATATAACTATCATTTGACGGTATTACTACTGCTGGTCTTATAGGGCCCTCATAGCCTAGAAACATGGTGGTCTTCAGCCGAAAACTGTGAGAAAGGTCATGGAGAGCTAAATGAATCATTGAGTCACTCCAAAACCTCTTTTTTTAAGAATGTTATCAGCACTTTAATGTATTGCCAAGAAAGAAGGAAGGATGATCCTTTCTTTCTCTTGAATCATGGATTGAATCCTTTCTAGATTCGTTGCTCTTACTTTTGTCATTTATGGAATTTTCGAAACATGGTATTTTATTCGTCAGCTAGTTTATTAATTCTGTTTGTTGTTGCAATCATCTACATTTTCAAAAACAGCGTGTTTTTACAGCAACATTTTTACAGCGTGTTTATTGAAAATATATTTACTTATTGTCTTAAACATAAAGAGGAATTAAAGAATTATAAAAAGAATATCCGTGAGTGTTGCCTAGGACACTGAGATAAACCCGAAAGGTTATCGAGCCCAGTGCCCTATTACATACGCTTGTGATATACATTTATATTATACAATCTGAATTTCAAAAAATTTGAAGCAACAGTAACAGAACAAATTACAAGAAAGAATAGAAAAATTGCCTGAAAGTGGAAATACTATTTTCTTGTGGCAAAACTTGAGGTTGCCAATGTTGGAGCAAGCAATTTTCGATTTTTTTATCTGAAAGTAAACCATTTCTTGAAATCTAGTCCTTATTGCTCCCCTGTCTTTCCCCCTGGATGTTTTTTGGCTTAATCTGAAGTTCAGTTTTCGGTGGACCAGTCTTACTATATTGCTTATTGTAGTTACCATGAGCCTCATTTAACGGTATTACTTCTCTCAAAAGCAAAGTTAAAATGCTTATTATGCACCTTAGAAAGTTGCTATTCAGTACAAAATGTAACGAAATTCCAGGAATTTTAGATCTTTTTTAGTCCGAAGGAGTCCAAATTAAGTGAAAAAGATTCTTTATCGGTGCCTTTATGAAAAATATCTTTATGAGAATTGATAATGACTCCCTTTTCTTCCTGCTTTGAATATTCTTGTCCCAGTAATTAGCTTTCCGTATCTGATCTTTGTTGTCTTTACGATTTAGATTTCTAGACCTTTTGATTGGAATTTTGCAGCTTTTATTTGGTATCCGATATCAAATCTGTAATCATCTTCCTACATTTTCTCTCCTAACTCGGATATCTATCTGAGTATTCATGCATCATCAACACATTCAACCAAAAGAATCAGTCACATTCTAATTATATACATTAGAGACACGTGATTGTGGTTGTCATCTTGGTTTTCCCTCGTATACTCGCAGACATTGCATTATTAGATGTCCGATGCAGATATCGTGCAAATTATGTTTGCTACAGGTGTTTGCATTCATCGAAAAACCAGACAAATATTGATGGCGAGCAGAATTACAGCTTTTTCTTGTTTCCCCCCGTGTTGTACATTAGAAGATCTTCATTTTTGAAAAAAATCTAGCTTATTGATTTCTTATTTCAGTAATCTTTCTTGAGTTCTGAAATTTGAGCCTTTACTTGATGCCGTTACTTTGTTACCTCCTTTCAGGACGTAACGCTCGTCTCGTTAATATTTAAAACTCTCCATGCAAAATACTAATCAATTGCTGGTTGTTTGGTTAGAACTATAGATGAAAATCACATCATTTGGTAGTTGCATTATATTCTTTAATAAATGGAACTTTTTTGCACATTATTCTCTGCAAAATAAACCGTGTGGACCAACTATATTCATTCTAAAGTCTATCTTGAATAGCGCTACACCTGGCAGCTGCTTTGATCAGATTTTGGAAATACATTTTCTTTGGTTTAATATTCCTTTACGCAAGCTTGGAAAAGAGTAACACGGTTCAACCTTGTTATTAGTGCAACGCAGCGCTTATGCGTCAAGCTTATAAATCTCCACAAACTATCAATTTAAAGATTCCAAATGTTCGAGGAATGGTTGATATGATACTTTGAAGTTTCGTGTAGTATTCATAGAGCAGCATCAGTTACGTTTCAACAACCTGTCTACTCATTTTACTATCTGGTCACGACAATTTATTGATATTGGAATGCCGACTGCATTTTGTGGAGCTGAAAACACAGTGAGCCGGATTTTAAAATGGTTATGAAAAGCCTTGTGTTTTTATCGAATATCCCGTCTTGCTACGGATCGCGGGGAAATATAAATCATTTTTATCGCCAAAGGCAAGTAACTGACTGAGAAATTTTGGGTTGAGGCAGACATCAGAGCCTTCCGAGTCAATGCAATTTCTGTTTGAAGCGCAAGGCAGTGTCACTGTTTTTGCCGCTCTTTTGGATTCCTCTTGGCACATTTTTGTAAGAAGAGTGCTGCTTGAATATAGCAAAGATCGTCTAAGAATGCCTTTTTGGGGTTTGGTTAAAGTTGCATATGGTGTCACTTCGACTTCGTTTGATCGTTTTGTGCATAACATCAGAAAACTGGATGATAGCCCAGTTCCCGACAGAAAATTTGGAGCTACTACGACGGATGGTAAGCCAAATATTAATTTCATCTCGGTCATCCAATGGATATATGACGATTTATGATGTTGTTATAAAAACCATGCTTCCACCCATAACTCCAGCCCTTTCCCTTTGAACTGTATCTTGTATATTCTGTTTCCTGGGATTTTTAGGATTTTTGCAGATAAACCTGCCGCAGAAAAGATTTAATTTTAACCACAGCAGTTCACCCCTTAGGGACAGTCAGATCGCAATATAAAGAGGCTTCTGCTTGATTGGAAAACGAAGCTTCTCATGACCAGGATCTCTCCCTGAATCTTCCAATGAAATGCTGATTAAAAGGCAGCTTTGTTGACTTTAATAATTCCTACCTAGCCTCGAAATCAATTCGTCAATTTCCCTTAGTGAGGGTTTTGCTTCGTTGAATCACTTTTGCCATTTTGGTGTCACCTTGGTTTTTTACTTCCTTGTTTAGACTCGTCATTTAGAACAGATTTCTGTGCCAAAGATTGGTGATCACTTTGATCTAGTCAGTTACACCGTCTTTTTTGCTCTTTGTTGAAATGAATTTCTGTTGGCCTAATAATACTCGTTCCGTATTAGGTAATTGGCGATGGGGGTTTACCTAGCTTTGCCAAATTAATCGAAACATATGCTCGTCGCCTATTTAGCTTTTGAACAACAACAACAACAACAGCAACAACAGCATAAAAATAACAGTATCGTTAATAGCATATTTGGTAGGTTTCTTCGCTGAACATACAGGAAATTGACAGAAGTTTTGGCTATCTCCAACATGTTCTTTCAGAAGCACTGTAGACTGTCATTCCCCCATCACGATATTTTTTTCTCATTCTGGAACAAAATTGATTTTTCAATAGAGGCCACTGTGATAAGGGTCGATCAAAAGCACACGTTCTTTTTATTTCAATAATTTCAAACGCAAAGTTAAGTTTGTAAATAACACTTGGTCCCTAAACTTCGCCTAACCCAGTGAGTTTATCTTGAATAAAATATTAAGAGATGTAACATCAAATATTAAAGAAGATGGTTTTAATTTATCGGAATATTAGCAAGCCGGTTAGACCAAAAGTATTATATAAGATTCACAACTGCATCTCACTGCATATAAGATTCATTCCTTTGTTTTTGAGTATGTTTCGACTAAAAAGTTGTTTGACTACATTTTTTTTTCAAGTGACATGTAAGTCTCGATTTGAAACAACTCTATTTCTCAAGTACCGCGTTTTTGTATTCAAAACTTGCTTTCAAAAGCTCTTTGCTCTCCTCTATTTTCTCGCATTTTGCCTAACTGGATGTTTTTCTTTTTAAATAGCATCATTTCTTTTTTTAAGTCTGTGGAATGACAAGTTAAATAACTCTTTTGTGGAAATTGAGCCTATCTTCTTTTTCCTCGAAATAGGTTCGCAATAATTTGTTACTTCTTAGAAAACTTTTGATTAGCATTTCCTTTTGATGAATGAAAGGTGAACTTTCTTTAGCCGGATTGTTTGCAAATTGAAGAATTCCACTGCAAATGGGACGCTAAGTAGAAGAAACGTTATGATTTGAATGAGTGAAATGCCTAAAAGGAGGGCAGCTTGTATAAAGGACTTCCTGCCGATTAAGCAGGGTATACTGATTCCCCAAATAGGACTAGTCCTGCTGGGCACTTCAATCTAAACCTGCCAAAGTCATCCACAGTGCGTCTCGTTAATCTTTTTATTTGCATACAGGTGCAGAGCACATAATGTTTTATTGATGAAGGCTCGAGATTTGACGGAATGTGCATTCTTCTCTTTTCATTGCATTTAGATAATGTAATCGCAATCTAGCTCTGTTCACTTATCACTTACCTTAATAATTCATATGCATCTGAATGAGCTAAATGGAAATACCCACCTAACCCACCACCTTGTTTGCTCTAAAGTACGTTGCCTTGGTGAGTACTGTACACATAGAGATGTTACTAATGTTCGCATACAAATTCCATGATAACAACATTCGATTTCTGTATATAAACTGCGACAATTTTACGTGTTCAGAGATTTGTGTGAACTGACAGCTGAGATTAGGAGCGGGTTGAAGTGCGTCTCGTCAAAGAAGTCTGGTTGATTGTTGGAATGAAACGCGTCAGTTGGTTGATGGTCGAAATCGGCTAATGAACTCTTCGTAACATATTTGCACTGGTTTTGTTATATATTCTACTTGTACTTTGTAAGTTCTTCTATTCATTAGTGCTTTGGTGATAACTTTATACGTTCAACAGAAGCAAATTTCAATGCGTAGCCTGTAGCAAAAGGTTATTTGGCAAAAAGTGTAAGATCCATCCGATTATCCTTGTTAATCGGTCATTGGGATCTGTGTTATCATCGTGAAAATTTTAACTTTGCTTGGAGCCCATATTGCAGTTGGGTAACACACCTATATTCCATAATGGGCAGCAATAACAACGATGAAGACTGGAATGGAAGAATCGAGTTTATTAGGCGAATTGCACCGGGAAAGGAACAAATTGGTGACACAGACAACGAAGAAAAGGGTGTCTTGAATTTCCATGGTGAATCAACAAAGCGTGTTGATGAAGATCAAGATGATGATTCCGACCTTGAAACAGATTTGGAAGAAGAGGAAATAATTGAAAGTGGAAAAACTACTCAGTGTCAACAAAGCCAACACTTGGAAAGTGTGTATAGAAAGGCTTGTAGAAAGTTGAAGATCATCCCATGCAGCCCGTTTATACGTCACATTTGTGACGAAGAGATTGATCTGAGTCATTATAACATTGGTCCGCATGGAGCCAAAGCCGTTGCTCGAACGTTGAAGGAAAACACGACCACAACCATACTATGTATCCATGACAACGGCATCAGCATAGAAGGAGCAAAGGCATTCGCTGAGATGCTAGCAGATAATTGCTTCATTACTGTTGTCGATTTCTCTATGAACTTCATCAAAGGAGAGGGTATTTCGGCCATATCAAACGTACTCATTGGCAATAATTATATTCTTGAACTTAGCTTAGCATCTACAAGACTTAATGATGGAGATTCTGTCTTGTTGGGTCGCGTTCTGAAGGAGAACTCCACTTTACGCTCTTTGGATTTAAGCTCCAATGAAATTGGAGAAGATGGAGGTATCAAGCTTGCCGAGGGTATAAAGGCTAATAGGGGGATTTTGTCTCTTAATCTTAGTTGCAACCATATTCGAAGTAAAGGGGCTGCTGCAATTGCTAATTCCTTGGTTTCAAATTATACAATGAAGACCCTAGACCTAAGCAGTAATGGCTTTGCAGATTTTGGTTCGCATGCAATAGGAAATGCCCTTTTGATAAACAGTACTTTAAGGGCATTGGATATTTCACAGAACCGTATCTCTGCAGAGGGTGCATTCAGGCTTAGTATTGGGCTAGAGCTAAACATTGGTTTAAAGGTATTAAAAATCGGCGGGAATCCGTTCCAGTCTCGCGGTGCTTCCATGATCATTGACTCGCTGATAACGAATAAAGAAACAGCAATTGAAGAGATTTATTTCGATGACATCATTGTATCGGCTGACTTTGACAAACAGCTTTCGCAGCTGTTTGAAGAAAGGGAAGGTGTATATATCCAGTTTGGGGCAGTTATCAAAGGGAAAGAGCACAAGAGGAGAGGCAAAGAGCAGAAGGTGAGTTTTTCTATCACTTGCACCCCAAGATGTGCTTCTTTTCTATTTTCTTCTTTATTTTCTTTCTTTTTCTATTCTTACGGCTAACAGTTGTCAGCACACTGAAAGTTTGTTTTTTCGACGCTTCGAAAAAGTGAAACTCGGTAAAACTTTCTACATGGCGACATCTGTTTATTGCTTTGATCGATTTTGCTGATTTCCACAAAACATTTGCAGGGAACAGACCAGATAGACACGAACCCAAGACCAGACACGAACCAATTAATAATTTACCGAAACTAGACCATTCCAGTTTGTCAACACAAATGTAATTGTTTCATGATTATTCAAGATGACTCTAGGTCCAAATTGCAATTTGAATATAAGTTTATTAGCAACAGTAATCAAGACACAAGATTCATGTTTTCGTCATGTAGATGATTCCCTTATTGTTACGCTATTCTCGAATTAACGATCATCCTTTTAAATATCATCCTTTTACGTTGTTTAAAAAATTAAAACTAACAACTTTAAATTCATTCCTGTACACTATTAATGACAACTATTCACCTTCGCAGGACCTGATTTCAAGGATTCTCGACCATATCGAGCTTCGTGGAATCCGTGTTGTTGATTTTTTCCGCGCGATGGATAAAACTGGCCGCTTGATGATAACAAAGACGGAGCTAATTAAGGGACTTAAAACTGCGGGAATACCAATGAGACGGTCTCAGGTGGACAATCTGTTTGAACTATTCGATGTTGATGGCAACGGGTTTGCTCAATACAAGGAATTCGTCGAGATAATCAGGAAGCGCACGCACGAAGAGTTCGCAGCGACTAGAAGCAACTATCAATGGAATCATTAGAGGTTCTTGCACAACCGGCATGCTTTGCGAGTCTATTTTCGAAAGGGGCCCTAATGTCACACTGCATGAGAGTACATATGTCCTCACATGATAAAATTGCGTTACAGCAAAGCATGCCGGTTGCGCAAGAGCCTTATAAGCCAATAACAGACGTCAATGTCGCTTGGCATGACCTTGCACAAAGTGACAGTGTTTGACTGGAAATCTAGTTCACATTTCACTTGCAACAACTTGCAAATGTCTTCAGCAAATCGATTTGCATCTTTTACTTGCTCACCAAAATGAAACACACTCCCTTGTATAGCATATATTTGCTTTATATGTGTACTTTAATCATTGATGTCATCAATTAATTACGGAACACATTTGCTTGGCATCAGTTTGTTATGGTGAAATCTTTGACTTTCTTAATGTTTTTTACTTTATTTCTTAAAAAAGTCTGTTGATGGCTATCTCTGATTTTCTTTTCCATGCTGATTTATTTTATCTGTAACGTTTTCGCTTTGAAATGCATAGGGCTTACCAAAATGCCTAGATTTAAGCTGTAATTCTATATCCTCTCTGGTACTAGGGCAAAACAATTAATGCTTTTGCCTACCACTCTGTCAAAAATACGTTGATCAAAGCTTAATTCAAACTTGAAATCCACCTCCGCTTTTGTGAACAAATGTTTCCTCTTCCTTACTGAGAAGAAACGTCACATCCAAACTATGTATTTCTCGTACCATCAAAGACGATGTTCGATGTTTACTTTCGTTCTTCAATGTAGTCTATTTTCGTCAAAGATTTGTGAAACGTCAGTGTTGTCATCAGTAACTACCCAGTTTTATTCTATATAGAAGAGATGTATTCAGCCTGGCAATGCAAGAGCCTAAGCATGCTTTGAAAGGCTGTCAGTTCCAAAAGACGATAAAATTCATTTAGAAGCTACTGTCTGACAGGGTTTTATTTCACGATAAAACTGCAGAACGCTATACTGCAAATACTTCTAAGCGATGGAATGCTGATAGATAATGTTGGTAGAGTCAAAAGTACACTATTAGATAAAGAGTGCCGTTAGTCTGTCTGTCTAGATTTTTTCTAGTTATTTCAACGATGGATGTGTACATTAACATGCAATCCGTTTTACTGACCACATCAGACTACGACTGCTAGGAGGATAAATCTTGGCTGAAAGTATCTTAAAACAGACTCAAGAGTTTCAATGATAATGGCTTCGTGTTTACAGTTACTTGTCAATGTTTTCACGACATCAAAGAACTCGTAACGAGAGAGTTTTAAGATAAGCTCAAAGAATTTTGTCTACATTCGTTTTTGTCTGATTTTTACTAAAAGGTTTAACTGCTTCTGGTAATGTGGTTTCAGATGTTTTTCATTAGTAGTATTCATCTCATAGTTACTTTCCACGTAGACTACTTCCAGTCATCAATTTGGTTGTTGTCAAATTGAATACCGTTTCCTTCCTTAAAAGTCTATTCAAAATATTTTTTGGAAAATTATCGAGCGTTTTCTTGCTACATATTGCCTTTTTATATCGCCGCCTAAATTTCCTCGTTTATCTATCTCCCACATTCATATATCAATATTTCTCTTGAACTCTTCCAAGCTACTTTTTGGTACTGGGTTTTTATCTGTAACAATGCTTCGCTGTCAGTTAGTAGCCTTGCCTCGTTCTGTTTGGAAACTACTTAATTTTGCTCAAAGCTTCGTATTGTCTTCTATAATAACCATCTTCTTTCGGTAGACGAGCGAGAACTGGACATTAACTAAAAATCAAGTCATCACCCACAACCACCCAACAACACCCCAACCCACACCTTTAATGTGATCTCGTGGTCGTTGTGTAGTCAAACCTCTTCTGCAACTTCATATCCTTGCAAAAATCACTTTTAGACATATTGTAGTGACTCGATGTGAGTATGTACCCTCAACTAGATGTGAAGCATACAGTTTGGAATGTGAAAGGATTCGAGTTGGATTTCTTATATTCGGTAGAAACTTCACAGTGTCCCGCAAAACGTTGAGTGCTTGTAATGCCCTTGCCTCTCCGTATCCAGCAGTTTGAACGCTAACTCACAAAAAGTCTTTACTGCGTCATTTTGAATCTCACCGGCCATTTAAGAGGTGAATGCCATCCGCTGCTGTCTCATTAATGCTTTTCCACTAATTCCTGCTCCAACTGACGGTCTACTCCTTAAAGGATCCTGCAATTAGTAGGCGATGTCATTATCCAATTCTGTTCTGGCAGTTTCCAATTAGAATAAATCGTGTTCTGGTCTCCATAATTAATGACTTATCAATTATTTTCATATTATGCTTACCTAACTTGAATAAGACATTTGATCGGCATGCCCTTTAGGCCTGTCAAAATACCGTCAGGCAAGAATAGGCCGCTCATTCAACATTCAGTGTTCGGCTTTGTTTTAATAATTTTAAATGTTTTTACGCCTTTTAAGACAGGTAGAATTAAGCTTAATATTTACTTGTTTCCTGAACCATTACGTTCGCACTTTGAAATGCTTGGGATCTGCAGTTATCTTGAAGTGAGAATCATCTTGATTTTCGCAAACTCTTGACTCATCAGTAGATTGCACCGAGTAAAGTTTTCTTGAACTTTGAAGAGCTGCAGATGTTTATGGAAGGAATTTCAGATATGAAGAATTTCTTATTTATCTCATCACTCTGAATCTCCTGTATACCGAGTCTCGCGTTCGTGTGTATTTACCCTTTTGATGAGTGGAGACGGGTTTTCGTAAAATGCAAGTTCAAATACATTTTAGATATTTTGTTAAGATGCTGTTGTATTGTGAAGTCTAAATGCCCTGCGACTGACCTCTGAGCATTCACCTCGGTACAGATTGCTTCCCAAAGAATCAGCTAAAGGAATTTGTTGACTAGCCCTGATGAGCATATAACCGACATTGTAGCCTATTTGATTTCTATTCTCATTTGGAAGGAGAACTGCCCAATCTACAAACCACTCGTTATGGCAAAGCGACTGTTTCGAATGTTCACATTGTGACGTAACAACATCTTTACCACGCTTTGCTTATGTTGAGTAGCGTATCGATAGCACGCCGTAATAAGTCCACGTTTTAGCAGTGGATTGTTTGAAAAGCTGGCTCTGGCAATTGGAGCTGATATTTATCAGGGTACTTTTGCAAGAGTCTGTAAACATAGCATGCTCGCGATCAGGTGGGTTTAGGGCACCTATAGGAACATTCCTAATAACAGGGTTTTAACTCAATGTTGTGAGGCTTGGGTTCGTCTTCAAGCTTCGTCTTCAATTTGATCAAAACCTCGATATAGTATAATCAACAATGGAGAACCTACATTATGAAGATGTGGGATTTCTATACATACATCAAAGATAGTCGCATCTTAGTAACAGTGATAACGGCAATTAAATGTATTCACTTTCTGGATACGAACACCCGCAAAGAATCGTAAATCTGACACTAGCACTGGTTGCCTTGGTGTAAAGTGTATATGCTTATTTTACTAAGCATCCAAGAATACGGTAACATATTTAGTAGGCAAGACTGCATTTCTTGGATTTTTATCACGTTTTCAACTAATCATACCAAAAAATGGATTACGACTCCCAAAGTAACGATACGGATGTCGTGCGATACATTGTCGAATCTGAGTCGACTAAACCGTCATTGGGAAGAGACGGCATAAAGTACGACCAACGAGCGCCGAGTGCGTACAGCTGTTTGTCCGACAGTTTTGATACCGACTTGGAAGAAGATTTTCCACCAAGAGTCCAACCCTTGCTGAACTTGCAGCAGTTGTATGCGGTCCATTGCCGAGAGTTCTGTGTTGTCCCGTGCAGTTCTTTTGTACGTAGTATTTTCAAAGACGAGATTGATATTTCTCATTATAACATCGGGCCTAAAGGATGCAGAGCAGTTGCCAAAACTATGAAACAAAACACCACTACCACTCTGCTTAACATCAGTGACAATGGGGTAGAAACAGAGGGAGCTATCGCAATAGCTGAATTGTTGCAGGAAAATTTCTTTTTGACTGTCGTAGATATGTCCATGAATTCCATTGGAAAGCAAGGGATTGAAGCTCTTTGTTCAATGTTAAATAATAACAAATATTTGCAAGAATTGAGTTTAGCATCGAATAAGATAAACGATAAGACAGTTAGATCTATTGCAAATGCACTGAAGGAGAATTCAACGCTGCGTGTATTAGACTTAGGTACCAATGATATCGGCAGCGACGGTGGTGCAATTTTGGCGGCTGCAGTTCAAGCCAATGGAGGATTGTTTTATTTGAATCTTGGTGGGAATTTCATACGCAGAAAAGGCGCAGTTCAACTGCTTGAAGCCATTGAAGCAAACGACACTCTGCGCTCTGTAGATCTTAGTTTCAACGGTCTTGATGTTTACGCTGCAAATGCCATTGAAAGCCTTCTTAAAAGAAATACGACATTGAAAGAGTTGGATATTTCACACAACAGACTTTCAAGTGAGACAGCCCAGAATATAGCTGTTGGTTTAGAAAAGAACACTGTGCTCAGAGTATTGAAAGTGGGCTGGAACCCCCTTCAGAGTGCTGGCGCAAAGATGATCGTGGACGGAATTACTGGGAGTGATGTAACAGTGTTAGAAGAATTGTACCTTGATGATATCCCCGTTACTGGAGAATTCGAGGATGCTTTGGAGAATCTTTTTGATACAACGCCGGGGGTGTACGTTCAATTCGGAACAAGAGTAAGAGGAAAAGGCCATCGTAAGAGAAAGAAGGAGCAAAAGGTTTGTCGATTTGAAATACGTAAAATTTCCCCTTGCATTCGTAGTTACGACATTGCTGTGTTTCATTATTCTTCGTTAAATAAAGAATATGTTATTTGATAAAGATAAAGAAGGAAACGCCGAAATACAACACAGCTAACCTCTAGAATTGAAATTAAGATGTACATTTGGGCAAAGTGTCTGTAATAAATTTACAGATAATGCAACTCTATAAGCTTTTTTATATTGAGAAACATATCTGTTATGAATCGTTATTTTTGCCATAGTGTTTTGATGATTTGTATTTCGCTATAGGACTTGGTATCAAGAATTTTGGATTACATTGAATTCCGTGGCATTCGGATGATGGATTTCTTTCGTCGCATGGACAAAAGCGGCAAAATGATGATTACCAAGGAACAGTTCCGGAAAGGTCTTCAAACGGCTGAAATTCCCATGTCCGGGAGCCAGCTCAATAAACTTTTTAGCTTGCTAGATGAAAATGGAACGGGTTTTGCCAGGTACAGAGATTTTGCCAAGGTTCTTAGACCAGACTTCCACGGACAGTTTGCTAAGCAAAGATCTAATTTCAAATGGGATCATTAAACTATATGTTAAACCTTTGTATATAGATAAAGCATACTGTGTACGCGCTAATATGGCTGTTTGATATTAATTGTGATTTGCGATGTATGATATTATTGATAGCCGCAGTCATTTATCTGAAGCTTCTATCTAAGTTTTTTATATTCAGGATATATATATTTGTTACCAAGTAGACAAGTTAACATTTTCTATTACGTCATTAACAGAAATGTCACGTGGACCTCGAACGTGCTGCCTAAAAAGCAGCAACAAAAAGAAATTACAAAATAAATCGACAACAGTCACCAACCTGCGTACATTGTGTTTCGGGTTACTGTGCCAATCAAGGTGTTTGAACCTAGTAACGAGGCCATGATTTGTATTCATTGCCTCCCTAAACATTCTCTTTACTTCTCATTCGCTTACTGCCTAATCACTAACACTCTTTTAAATGCCCTTGTTTTTTTTATTTTATCCTTGATATCAGTAATCGTTTAAACTTGTAACTGGGAAATGAGATAAAACATTTTGATATTTCAAACATTGGAGTTTAAAAATGATCCACTCGTTCGCTTACTGCTTCATTAGTTTTAAAATACTAATTGAAAATCTTGCTATATCTAGACGCTTGAAGATAGCCCTACGATAAATTGTTAAGAGAATGTTAGCACACCAAGAAAATTGCTGAGCTTCGCTTTCGACTTGTAATTCAATCCTTCCGAAAAGTAAAATTACATATGACAGCCAAAAATTCTGTCACAATGTACAGTGAAATTCCAGGCACCGAAATTATTTCCCGTTGCGAAAAGGTAGTCTTTGTTTAAGCGTTGCTTTAGCAATTGCTTGACTGCTGAAATTTTTTTTGCATTTTTTTCAAATGGGGAATGATAATTTGTCTATAATTGGATGTGATTCTATTTATCAAATGCTGTCCGTTTTTAGATGCTGTCCATTGTAAGATAGTGTCCGTTATTAGATGGTGTCAATTGTTTTATTGTGTCCGTTAATTATGATTTCAATGTAGTTTGTAATTGTTACTACTAAGCTTCCGAAGGTATTTTATATGCTTCTGAAGAAGTGTTATGGTCCACCCTCTCGATGTAACAACACCTGGTCAATCCTACGCCTGGAATTACAGGGAGCTAGCGACTACCCTCGCGCTTAAGTGAGAGTTTGGTGATGGCAGGGACTCTAACCCAAAACTATGTAGTCCGTAACCCTAGTCACTGAGCCAACCACACTCGTAAAAAGTTTTGCGATAAATAAAACAAATCCGTCGCCTGAGTCGTTACTGGAAAAGTGTGTTGTGTTCTATCACGAATATAATTGAGATCATGTTTTGTATGAGCAGCTATACACGCTGCAGGCTGGTAGGAAAGACCAATGTTAAATGTTGACCATTTTTTATTATTTGTTTGCAGTAAGGCACGATTCATGCTGTCTTTGGGGAACGTTCCATACCTAATTTTTTAATTCAGAAAAAAACCACGATTTTGTCAGTTTTCTATTTAAGCATGGCTTGTTTTCTTTCTCGTCAAGGTTTGCTTCGTTGTCTTTTTCCAGCACTTTTTTGTAAAAGCTGTCGATCAGATACATCTGTCTGCAAGTAAGAGTATCTTGTTTTGGCTACTACCATCCAAAGTAGAGCCTCTGATGTTTGTTATGATTATAGCATACTTGATTGAATTCACCAACGAATTTCATTCCTTCAATATTCTTCCGTCTGGTATATACGTGCTGCTACCTCTCAGTAGATTTATGGTACCTGCAACCTTATTATAATAATTGTCGCTAAACTATGATTTTTTTTACTTTTTCAAATTGTTGTCCGCTGGTTTTCTCGGCATAGCAACCCATTTTTCGTCGGATTCGGTTAGCTTTGCACTTAAGACATCTATTCATTGCAGTCATGGAGTCTTCGACTGCATACCTGTCTCGTTATTTTTGTTCGTTTGGATCTTTGTGGCTTTTGTCTGGGATGTCTGGACCACTGCATTGACTTTGTTCGAGAACATCAAACTCCTGCTTATCGATTTTCTGCGCGGGGTTATCATGTGGAGAGTGTGATAAATTGCCTATAAAAGCATTGGGCATTTCTTCATGCAAAGCTACTCTCAAACATTCGACAGTGTTTAGTGCCTCTGGATGCCTTCAGCCCCAGTAATCGCAATATCGAGACTAAACAAGAGTTTTTAAATTTTTGACATTCAGTCTTATATTATCACAGTGCAGTACAGGATGACTTGTATTTGAGAAGCATTTGAACTCATTGATGCACAACTGTCACCACCATATTCATATGTTTTGGATATTTTTAACCGAAGAATGGATGGTGAATAGAACAGTCTTCACCGGATCAATTACGTCTTTGTAACTCCGGATGCTAAACATGTTTTCATTCGTTCAGAAGATTTTTAATAGATCAGGTGGTGTATTTAACATGGTATTGATCTACACATTTGCGAAAGCTTCTAGGAGACATAGCGACATTTGCAACCCTAAAATCATAAGTACATATGCAGTGTATGTTAGTTCACTAAGGTTGGCTGTTATATACTGAGATGCATTTGTACATACTGAAAACTGCAACAGTCTGGCCGTGTTTGACTTTCCTCCAGTCCTCGAGACAATCTGTTATCTTATGTTAATGATGTTAAATTAGTGTTGCAATTAGCTTTTAATTGGTTTTCTTGATTATTACAATCGATAAAGTCGTAATATTTTTGCCAATTTGGTTAGCTTAGTAGTTTCTCGACTTTCAGCCTAGTAGTCAGGACAGTAAAAAACTAGCTATGGCGTTGTGAGTAATTGCAGCGGGTATGGTGTGAATCTCTACATACGAAGTCATAAATATATGATCTTTTTCTAATAGCTTAGTTGAATGACTAGTTTGATCAAAAGTCGTTGTTTTTGCTTATAAGTTTAAAATTTGTGTCTCAAGAAAAATGATTTGCAATGGTTTTCATGTTAATGTCCAGTGCTATTATTCAATTTCAGTGTCCGTTGCCAGAGTTTTGATGAGTGGTCTTCCTAAGGCCTTCTCAATGTCTGGATTTTATCTAGCCAAATTTGTGAATAATCTTTTTTGAATGTAAAGTATTGCACGTATGACCTGAAAAGAAAATCTTGATAAGATATTGGGTCGAAGAAATGCTTTAATTCAAGGAAGATTCGTAACTGCAAAATTGATATTTCTTTTAATGAAACATTTCCTTATGTCTGTTTCCTCGTTGCAGTGTTGGCATCACTATCCAAAATCAACGAAGCTATAGAGAATGGAGACCCAGCTGTGATTCTGGCATGCTTGCAATTGCCTACAGCTAAGCTCAATAATGTGAGACAAAAGAATGCAGAGCTATACTCAATAATTCTTCGACAAGCGAAGAAGGAGAAAGCTGAAGTAAGCATTCATTGTCAACTTCCCAACAATTTGATGCAAAAGATTTTATAAAACTCTTCTTGTCCGAAGCCTAATGCTGTCTGTAGACTTTAAATTGAAAATCCAAAAGGGCAAAATTTAGAGCTTTTACCAACTTTCAGTTCTGGTGTGTTGAGATGACGCTAGTTTCTCAAAAGCACTTTGACAAGTCAGCACTAGATACTACCTTTTAAGGCCTCCCATATTCTCATGCATTGGGTAACATAATATGTAAATAAAGAAAGTTTCTGTGAACTTGTTAGTTACAGAGTGCGCGATAACATTTGTACTGAGCAAAACACGCTTTGTGGATCGCATTGAGCCGAGGCAAACTACTAGGAGCAATCCAGATTTACCTATTAAAGCGAAATTGGTTTTTAAGTATGCTCTTACTGTTTGCAGCGCCTAAATGAAGCTGGAGTCGAACTGTGGCATGAAGAAATTCAACAATGTGTAGACAAGGCCAATATGATTGCTGAAGATGGAGAACGATGTAAGTTATCTTTCTTATATTTAGAATTTGTGCCAAAAATTATCGAGAACACACTGGTTAAACAGAACTCGTTTGTAGTTAGGTTCCAAGATATAGACATGAAGATGCAGTGGAACTGGCTTGTCATAACGGTGTGGGCAAAGTTGTCAAGACAGTTGATTTGTGGTCTCGAAGAAAGCAAGCGTCAATTGACTGGTTAAATGCAAATTGGTGAATCAATTGGTTTGCTCAATTTTATCGGAATTGTACAGCTTGCTGAAGATTAGGGATTTTGTTGCTTATCCAGTCCATTTTTGTTCTTGTGACACTATGGTACAAATGCCTTGAGGGTATCTTGTAGATGATTAAGATATGATACTGTCCATCCCAGAATGTCATAATTTGCGATCATGATTTGCAAAAATCGAGAGTAAACTATTTTGAAACGTGTTTTTTTTCGCTTTTTATTTAAGCCTATATAATTTTGTTTTATCCGAAACAAGTATGTTTAAGGAGAATATTTTTTAAGGGTGAAGAATTTCTTTTTGAATTCCCTCCCCCGCTACCGTTCTTGTTTTTAAAGAATAGTACACCTTTCAAGCATTTTGTGTGCTACCGCCTTTATGATAAAGGCTCGTGAGTTTTTTGTAATCTTCATTGCGGGTTTCATCGTCTTTTTTAGTGTCTCTTGGTGTTCTCACAATCAACGAAACTATAGACAAAGGTGATAGTGCTGATTTGTTGCTTGCTTTGAAACACAAAAACGTTGCGCTGAGGAGCGTTACGCCGGAGTGCGCTCAGCAGTATAGAGATGGGCTTAAGGAGGCGAAAGACCGCAAAGATGACCCAAGTAAGTTTTACGAGGCCCCAAAAAATGTTTACTTTTCTAGCACTTAATGCGGAGATGTCCGAGTTACGTGTTTTTTAGTACTATACAACTTCTTGCCTGATGTTGCTCAAAGCTTCCCTTTGCATATGTCAGTTAGGTAGCCAAAATATTTATAAACATGCCTATTGGACAGAAGATCAAATAAAGAAATTTAGAATGTAAGCTCTGCCTTTGCCATTTGTCCACCCTGCAATAAAAGGGTTATGCTGCCGGTGCAAGGGAAGGGAAAGGCAGGGATGAAAGGTACTGTTAGATGTTTGCCTAGAAGGAATGTCCCTACAGACTTTTCCAATCTCCCAATCGAATAGAGATCACTGTTTGTCTCGTTTCCCTTAAAATGTTTCTGATTAAGATTCCTTGATGTTCTATTGATGAAATGGTGACTTGCATCTTATAATGAATATCGTGAAAAACCTACTGCTTTTGCCAATAGACGTCTTTCAATGCTAGAGCAGTTAGCTCATTTTATTGCTAATACCAATATTTTGTGGAAAAAGAATACAATTAATCCAAGAGATACAATTATTGCTGTGGTCTAATTCATTTTTTTAACGCTTTCGATAAAAATGGTTCGAGTTTGGAAGGCCTGTTTTCTGGAAGACTTAATCAGTCCTTGTAACCTATTTGTTTAATCTGGCGTTCAAGCACTGACCGTATTTTCAAAAGTCTGTATTTAAACCTGGATTTTGACAAGATTTCTGGTTTATCCTAGGTTGGAACGGCTGGACGGAACATAGACTTCCTCAACTGTACACATATTACCATAACGTTCTAACCAAAGACTCTTGTTGGAAGACGCCTGCCGACTACAATCCGGCAATTGGTCATCTTAATAGAGAGGAAATTCAGGTAGAATGGTGTTTTTTAATTTACGTTATTTCAAATTTACGTCAGAAGCCTTAACCATCGGCGCTATGTCGCTAATCTCTCCATTTTTGATAGATTGTGCCACGGCCATTGCTATGACCCCCGTCCCCTGAGACATACACACAATACAAGACACTTTTCCAGTGCTCACCCTTTCCAAGTCTCTCTGTCTAAGGCACGAACTCAATCCCATAACTCTTCTTTTCTCCCTAGATATTGTGAACTTTGGAATGCTCTACCCCATATACTGTTTCCCATACCTTTACAACTTTTTATTCAAAACAAAAATAAATGACTTGTTCTTTCCTCTGTCGCTTCCTGATCCTTTCTCCCTTTCCCTTGTTAGGGCCTAGCTATAGGCTCATGAGCCTTTCCCTAACATCATCAACTAGAAAAACCATTGCATTGTAATGCTGTTTTAAAGTTGAAAGTTAAATCGTAGACATGGCGAGGGAAACAGGTCTGTAGAGTTGTCAGCTAGCAAGAGAAAGGTTGATTATAAAATGGCCGTTCTCGTTATGAATGTAAAATGCGAATGGCTATCGTATATTTTGTTTCGTTATACCTATATTGAGTGTGATTTTTATTATCGTTTCATGGTTAATAGTATTCTGTTATTTTGTTGTATTTTGATTGCATTCAATTGTGTGAAATAATTTGTATATATTTCAATTTATAATTTTTATAATGTGCTTGCATGCTCGTCTTTTCTCCAGCGCTTAAATCTTGTTCTGCGATTATGAGGTTATAAAAGAACTTGAAATTCTAAGTTACATTCTCAAGTTAAAAATTGCTTGCTCATATTTAGGCCATTGTTAGTCAACTGACGACAGATCATGACAGAGATGTTTACTTGCGAGCAAATGAGCCGTCGGTGGTGAAGATTCAGTCCCAGTGGAAAGGACACCAGGCAAGAAAGGCTTACAACGAAAGAAAGCATTTCCTAAACGAACAACAGCCGGCTGCTGTTAAAATCCAAGTAAGAAATTTGATTACATTTTCATTTGATTGTAGCTAAACAATATTGGGTGTTGATGTAGAAATTTTCTTCAAATCACAAATTGTATATTTTTTCTGTACTAAGCGATGATAGGAGCGGGACGTCTTAAAAAGAATGTTGGGGTAAGAACTTGGAAACGTTGGGGAATTAAAAAGTGGGTTTGGTTCGGTTGAAATACCCATAGAATGGTAGGAAGAAAAGTGGCATTTTAAGGAACTGTGTTTAACCCTGTTTAGTTTAAAGTGACCGCTCTGTGTTTAAATGAATGGTTTGGGTTTTCTTACAGGCTGCCTGGAAAGGACATGCGCAGCGAAGGAAGTATCTTCAGCGACGTGACGAATTAGAAGGTGATATGAATGCAATCTTGAAGGTATGTTTAAACATTCAATGTGCTATTTCGGGACTGCAGCAATGAACGTCTCTCCCTGAAATCTTATATACAAATTAAACTTTTTAAAGGAATACAAGTATATTGATAATTATAAAAATGACGTTTAATATGCATATCAAAAAATTAAACAGCACTAATCAGATTGTGTGAAGTATTCTTTGTTCGTGTGTATTTTTGATATTCCGTGTTCCTTGATAAAACCTGGAATTGTTATGTTTTTAATCGTTATTCTATGCGCTCTTAAGCTACTGAAGCAATTGTCATTTAGCTTTTCAAAGGGGAATATACATTATAGTCAACAGAATTAATGTTCATGTATTGATGTTGATTTGGTTTTAAGCACTTTTTAAGTAAACATTATGAGAGAGTTGCTGTCTTAAAGCATACACACAAAATTGCAAACTCGGATTCTCTTTAAAAAAAAGAAGTTTCAGAGAAAGCTGCATAGGCTGTTCCAGGCATTGCAACATGTGCTTTTTCCATTGAAACAGAGAATTCGAGTGTGCTGTTTTTATTTTAGATCCAGAGCATTGCCAGAATGTATCTTGCACGCAAGAAATACTTATCTCGCCTGCAGTTCTTTAAAGATCATGTAAGTAAAACATGTTTCTGATAAAATTTTTAAATTGGATTATTAATCGCTTGGTGATTTGATTTGAGTGCAGATGTGTACAATTGACCTTATCTAAGTAATTATTAGAAAAGTTGGCGCCACTTGTATGTCTTAAGGTCAAAAAGTGACTGGTCAAGTGGAAATTAACTCTAAGAACCTCATTAGAGATGTACAAATACCTCTTTCTGTTCTATAAAACATTTTTAGGTCTTGATAATTAAGTCTTTCCCCGTATTCTACCGTTAAGCATCATGAACAGAAATGATTCAGAGTCGGTGCCAGTTGCTAAGATTATGTTTTCATTATTTGGTGTATAGAACAGGATGCTTCTAAGTGTCTAAAGCATCGAGCACTTTAAAACAAACCGTAGTTTAGTAGTTTTCGTTAGTTAATGTTTAGTTATTTCAATACAATTCAACTTGAAAGATTCTTATTTTAAGAGATACAGCAAGCATTGAAACTCAGTGTGACCCTATTAATAATTATTTTTATTTAACATGATGTTTGATTTAAACATAAGAATGAATTTTGGGCGAAGTTTCTCTTCTGCTGCATTCCTGCTATGTACAAACCTTTTGATATCGTTCTAGATCAACGATATCGTCAAAATACAAGCATTTCTTAGAGCAAATATGGCTCACCATGACTACAAACAACTGGGTAAACTACTTCTTGTGTTGTCTCTTCTAATTAACATTTCTGTTTCTTATTTCATCTTTTAAACTTTGGCGCCCATGGTAAGTGCTAAAAGTAACTGTTGGAAAAACAAAGCAATGATTTGTAGATATTTCTATATGCCAAAACAAAGAAGTTGAACAAATATTTTTAGTTTTTAGTAAGACTAAATTCTTGTATATTTAAAGGAGTCCATCGTCTAGATACAAAATTTTCTTAAGTGAGCATGTTACTCCTAAAGTCATAAACGTTACAAAGACTCAAAACTTAACCCTTAGAGGGAAAGTTATAAGGCATAACCTGAAGTTTCTATGAAGCCTTCGTGTCTATTGCCCTTCCCAAATAAAGATAAAACAGTAGATTCACATTTATACTTAAAACTTTCGTTTACTTGCCTTTCCTTGAAAATCTTCCTGAGCATTCTTTCACTAAATGACAAGATACTGTCCTTATTAAGTTCTGATATTGAAGTTTTTTGTATTCTAATAGTTGCCCTGAAAGATCCCCCAGCCAGAACAGTTAGAAAGTTTCTTCACTTGCTGGAAAACGATCATATTGACTTCTCAGAAGAGTTGGGTGAGTCATCTGATCTGTTTTTTGCCATGACCTAAAGTTTCTCCAAGTATCATTTCTATGATATGATTTTAGTTACTGCTTGATTTCATTTTTAAATATTGATGATTTTCCTAGGAGATGTACTGTAATAGCCTGTAATATACATTATTTATGTTTATCAGTTTCAAAACTGCTTTTGAGATTCTGCTAATGACTGCCAGAGACCTTTGAACAATTTGTAGGTTTAACCTCCGGGTTAATTTTTTTGTTAAGACTGTTACCATACCTTGATGGCATTTGATATGAAACGCCTGTGTAGACCATTTACAAAACAGCATGTCAGCCAATAAAAAGCATCAATTGAAAGTATAAAAACGAATTATTCGGTTATATATAGCCGCGAGGGAGGCAGAATATGTTGAACTCCGTCACTGAACGAGAAAGAGCTCTAAAACTTACTGAACACGCCAAAAACTTTGGAAAAGAGCCATTGTTGTTTAGGAGAATTAGTGTTTTGTGAAAATATTTATGCAGTCTTCACGTTCCTCAGAACCTTGTTTATTGAAAAACGTTCCCTAAAAGTTTCCTTAAAGCTCTACATTGTTTAGCAGCGAGGCTCTGAAACTTGCATTGGTCACTTCGTTTTGAATAAAGGGAGAATGATGTCAATAAAAATTGAGAAATTAGCATAGTGCCCAAACACTTTTGGGGGGTTGGGGGTTGTATTAATGCGTTTAGCCTTCCTTACTACATCAAGTACTAAGTTCTAATTTTACACATTTTAAGTCTAGTTTGATGACTTGTAGCTCATTTTGACAACATTAGCTATTATAAGTTTTGTTATTCAACTACTCAGCGCTTTAAGTGAAACCCCAAACAGCAGCTAACCCCCCCCTTTAGTTTTGTTGTATTATTCTTTGTAATGGATTGTTTATTGTAAGTGTCCCTCATAGTGTAAACACGATGACACGATGTAGTTGTTTTAAGTTGATTAAAAAAAAGTTTTGTTATTCCCATTTCTGAAATGCAGTAAATATAAATACCTCTTTCAGAATTGCAAAACCTGAAGGCCCAGGTTGTAACCGACATCAGGTCATTGTCTAAAATTGAAAATGACTTAAACACTATGGATATCAAGATTGGATTGCTCGTCAAAAACAGAATTACCCTGCAGGTTAGATTTTTCATCGTAAAAGACGATCTATTTGATTTTAAGTGAAATTTTATATCAAGCACTTATTTTAAAACATTCTTAATTTTGAGGCATTGTTCAAATGTTTAAAAGTACAGATAGGCGATAACGTGATAAAATCTATGTTTAGAACTTGCAATAGATGTTGCTTACTTTGCCCTTTCAGCGTTATTTCATGATGTTCATTCAGTTTATGTGGCCAAAAGTCAAAATTTCTAGAAGAACATTTTTGGCGTTAAATTTGAAAGCTCTATTCTTGGCGTTTGGTTTTTGCGCAGCGAGTAATTAGAAGTTGCCCTCGACTCTTGATAATCAAATGAGCCTTTCATTTTACATTCACTTTGTGGTTTCTCAATTGTTTGTGGATAGAAAAAAAACATCGCAATTTTATGATCAGCGTAAAACCTAGAAGTGTTTTTAGACAAAAATTTGGCTTCAAAATTCAATATTTTGGAGGTTAGGGTGGAGGTTAGGATTTACATTCTCAGTAATTGCACTTACATTTGTTATCAAGCTTCATTTTAAAAGTATTCATGCTGTGTTTATATCAGCTGCCTTTGTGTTCATAGGATGTAGTAATGCACGGGAAGAAGCTTAAAAGGGAAAAGGGCGACATCGCCAAAGCAACGCAAGCAACGTCTGGAATCAAATCCTTGAGTAAAGAAAAAAGAGAGATGCTGGAGGTATGGTTATTCATTCATAGCGAATTGTAAGCTGTCAAAACAGCCATCTTAATAAACATTGTTTTTCTTGAAGGGTCTATGTAGTCATTTGTATTATTTTGTGTTGATGAAAATGAGGCGAAACTGCCATAAACGGGAAGTATTTGGGATGGAAGGGGCTTGAAATTGAGAAGAGCAAAGATTTGCAAATTTACTTTGACGTTGGGCACTATTGTAAGGAATATTTTCTTTGCAGGAAAGTCATTATTAGCGACCCACTATAGTTATCATTTATAACTATTATAAGGTGTTTTTTGAGGAAAACTTTGTTTTCACCTTGAAGACCTTTTTAGACAGTAATAATTTTTTTCGTTGTTTGGAGATGTTCATGATAGGAAAGTGTCTGCCATTAGAAGATGTCCTTTATTAAATGGCTTCTTTTAAACAGTTATTAAAACCAGTCTTAGCATCAAAGTGCTATCTATATTATGAAAAAGATTCTACAAAATAATTGCAGTTTTGTTAATTTTGCCCCTCCTTGCTAATTAATTTTCCCATTTTTGTAATAAATAGTGAAATGAGAAATGCATGTTACATTTTCTTAAATACCATTAGAAATATTTATTTGAATTGCAAAGCCGCTTATATCACTGTCAGTTATATCCTTTGTTTTAACTCTCATATCTTTCTACTTCTTTGTTAAGTTCATATTAACCCTGAATTTTGTGAAGGAATGGATTTTGTTTTGTAGGGCTACCAGCATTTGTTTTACTTGCTTCAAACAAACCCCTCATACCTTGCTAAACTTATATTCAAAATGCCACAAAGCAAGACGACTAAATTCATGGAGTCTGTGATTCTTACACTGTACAATTATGCATCCAATTCACGTGAAGATTATTTGCTGCTTAAATTGTTTGAGACTGCACTGAGAGAAGAAATCGCGTGAGTATTGATATTTGAACAAGTGTCTACCGATATCTTGGTGTAGATACCCGTATTGCATAGGTTTATAATTGATGTAACATACACAACCAGTTACTCATGTTCCATATACTATCCTACCCTGTTGCGTCCCTAGCATATTTATTCCACTTCATTCCCTTTTAAAAATATTAGTTCATTGTAACTGGCTAACGTAATTGAAATTTACTGGGAACTTTTTGTAACTGTGAATTATGTTTTATCCATCATTGAAAAGTAACTTGGCAGAGAAGTTAAAGAAAGAAATGAATTTGTTTAAACCTTTCTTTATACTCTTTTTATGTGTCATAGAATCAGTCTTCTGGTCATAGAAAATATGTTATAAATTTTTCGACAAAATCCGAGCTCTTAGATGCTTGCATGTTTTGAAAGCTAGTGCATATATTTTTTTCTGAGCATTAGATTTTCATATTTTAAATGTGACTTGGTATATTTATGTTTTTGCAAATTTCAGGTCCAAGGTTGATCAAATTGTTGAGATCATAACAGGAAATCCAACAGTAATCAAGATGGTTGTCCATTTCAACAGGTAGGCCCTCGTGATTTCATTATACTGTGTCGCAGAAGGATATTTTTTATCGTTAATGACAATAATTTTCTGCGGCTTCTCTGCAAAATTTCGTTGTTTCTTATGCCTTTTTAATAAGTAACAATATGTGCCCATTTGGATATTCTAAGTTTTATTTCATCATTGTGTGTGTGTGTTTGTCCTTTAATAGTGTTTAAGAGCCAAGTGCTAATACTTCTTTCTAGGGGTCAAAAGGGTCAGAGCTCACTTAGGGATATTTTACAGCCACTAGTCAAGGAAATCTTAGATGACAAAAGTTTGAGTATTCATACCAGCCCGGTTGACGTTTACAAGCAATGGATCAATCAAACGGAAACTGAGACTGGCAAACCAAGTGAACTTCCATATGACGTTGACAATGAAACTGCAATGAAACACCCTGAAGTTGTGGCCAAAGTCGAAGCTTCTATTAAATGCTTGCAGGTGGCCGCTGATAAATTCTTGAATTCGATCATTAAGAGCACAGATTTAATACCCTATGGAATGAAATACGTGGCAATGACACTGAGGGAGGCTTTAAGTGAGAAGTTTCCGCAAGCAGGAGAAGATGATATTCTCAAGGTAAGAGCAGAAGCCATGTTAAAACCAATTATGAAAATAGCAGGGAAAGAGGCAGAATAAAACATTGAAGGGATTTTTGTTCTAGACCCTTATGAGGATGGATAAGAGTGTCGGAAAGGATTTAGTAACTTGTGCTTCCACTTTTTCTTTAATTTCATTCGCTATTTTTAAGTCAAAACTTGCATATATTGAATAGAAGCTTACTTTACGGTGGCGGAACATTTAAGTCGCGTTGATTCCAATCAAATTCAAACTTTTCAGAATATGGCTAATAGTGATGAACTTGCTTTCATACATTCTTATAGACTTGTTATGCCCTTCAGTCTATGAGTACACTCTGGCAAGTATGACATATCACCAAATTTCCAATAAATGGGACACCATCAAAACTTTGTTAAGACCCCTTCCTCGATTTATTTATAATTGGCTGACTATCCCTTTGTGATTCCTTTTAGGTTGTCGGTAACTTGATTTATTACCGTTACATGAATCCAGCAATAGTAGCTCCAGATGCTTTTGATATTGTTGATCTGAGTGTCGATCGTGGGCTGACGTCAGACCAGCGTAGGAATCTTGGATCGATTGCAAAGGTATTGCAATATGCTGCTTCCAACAAGATGTTTGGTGGAGAGAACGCCCATCTTAGCTCGCTGAATCCATACATTGCACAAGCTTTCAATAAATTTAGGTGGGTGCAGAATTTCTCTAGCATGCTAAATCATCCTTTTTTCCGGAGTGTTTCTTTTCATGGTTCCGAGAAAATTTTCTTGGTGCTCATTGCCAATTTCCCTATTTCTCTTTGAGTACTTTCAATAAGTTTGCATCCTTCATGTTACCACCCCCCCCCCCCAACCCCCGACATATTTTGAACCTTGAGATGTTAGGTTCTAGGATTATCAGAAATTCAAAGAGTGGTAGGAATGCGAAGATTGTTTTCACTCACTATTTTCGTACTATTAACGATGTCAGCTCAGGCTACCACAAATTTTGTTGATTTTTTGATTTGTTGCTTTGCTCACATTATTCTTCTTTCCTTCTATTCATCATATTCCCAGTGGTCTTGCTTATACTTGAACTAGACGGCCAGCATGGTTAAAATTCTTATGTTTCAAACTTGCACTCAAGGTTCATCTGTTCCTCAAGTTTTTGGCGAATTCTAGTTGGTAATTTTTTAGCCTTATAAATTGATGTTGTTTCTAAAGGAATTTCTTCCGGGCAACATCGCAAGTCGAGGATGCTGAAGCTCATTTTGGCATTGACCAATACAGCGATATAACAATGTTGGCCAAGCCAGTTGTCTACATAACAGTGCAAGAAATTATAGACACACACCAGGTATGGTCCTTCCTTCTTGTTGTTTAAAGCTGAGGTATAGGTGCTTGGTGAAAAATTGAAAACAAGATGATCTTTCCTAAAATACTGCTTCTGAAGTTTTTGAAGATGTTTCTAACGAATTGCATGATAAAAGTTTAAAGATCTACAATGTTCTTTTCTTTTAGTCTTGGTTGCTTTATAGTGTTGGAAATACCACCAAAATCATAATTATTACAAATAAGACATTATTATGATGCATATAAATCTATTATTGTAATGCATGTATTTGTTAACTCAAATATCATGTCTGAAAACTCTTTATGCAATATGAAAAATAAATTTTTGAAAATAAATAAATGAAAAGCATTCAAAGAGGCAGTTTATATATTTTTTCTCTCAATATTTTGATGTTAAGATTTCATGAATAAAAACTTCAAAAAATGTTGGTTTATTTCTAGCTGCTTCATGAACACATGGACAGCCTTGCACCTGATGAAGATGATCCCCTCAGGGACATCCTTTCGGATATTGGTGAAGTGCCAACAGTGGAGGATATGATTGGTAATATCTGATATACTTCGAATTCTTTTTTTAAACCACACAAGTAATCTTATGTTGTGTGCAATTATCACTTTGGAGATTTAGGCTGACCTTCTTATAGGTGTGTCTCAATCTACCTTTCATGAAACAAAACTTGCCAAAGGCATATGAAATGTAACATCTAACAGTTTATTTCTTTGTTTTTGCGTTATCCATATTAAGTTGTATTTACAACTACCAAAAAACCAGTCGAAGACTATGTTATGCATTAATCTTTCTATTATTGGGATTGGGATTTCATGAATAAAAAAATTTGGCAGAGATGCTTAAAGCTTTAAAGTGTACTGTATATAAGAGACAGTGTTTAAGAAAAGTTGATGATCAGTTTATTGTGACCAAATGCTTTTGCAGGTGGCGTGAAAGCAGTTGATGGCGAAGACAACGAGCAGCAACTAGCGAGAATGGCCAAGACTGAAATATCACTGACTTTGACAAACAAATTTGAGGTGCCTGATGACGATGACTCCGATATCAAAGCATTGTTTGTTAGGTATTTACGTCATCTCTTTTAGGGACTTGTATATGCTAAAATGTTGATAAACGTGACTGCTATTTCCTGGTAGTTTCTGTGTTGAGTTTCCGCTTTTATTGTGAAACTTCCATACAGGTGGGACCAGAGTTATTGTCCGCTATGCCCGCAGAATTCTAGGACTATTTTTGGACATGGCTGTTATTTAGGAAGTCACTAATAATGGAAGTTTCATTTCCTTGTATCTTTTAGCTAAATCCAATCCTGCAGTTGAGTTCTGAAAAGATTTCTACCAGGCTTTTGTGTTCATATCACGTTTTTATCTTGGAGTAGTAAATTTAAACTTTCTTGCTCTACAAAAAAGTCTTAATAGATTCAACGGCTGTGACGACTGTTAGAGATGAGGAAGGCATCTGGCATCTGGCAAAAATAGTCTTTCGCTAAGTATGTAGCTCTGGTATACATTGACTGCTATATGACGTCATCTTACATTTTAGAACCAAGAAGCTTATTGTCGAGGTCATGCGAGTGCAGCATGCCGAAACGTTGGTTCAAATTCTTGAAACTACTTCGAATTCAGAACAGGTAATGTGACTAGTATCATGTCTGTATCTAGTTATCATAGATGTCGTTTGTTTTCGGCTAATATAAGGTTGATATAAAGTGTAAGTTATAAGATGGACGTAAAGAGGTTTACTGTTGAATGGTTCATGCTGTGATTGACTGCCTAGCTTTTCTAGGAGCCATTAGACAGCTCTCAACATATGTTTGTATCAGTTTTCTAGCTAATTTTGTGACGTACGAAATCGAAATCGCAGTTTTGTTACGTTCTGTAGTTCATAATCAAATATGCCTTCATTTTTACATGGAAATAATTTACTTGAATCTCTTAAGGGTCTTAACGCTTGCTTTCAGGTGCTTCAAAAAATGTTTATTTATGAACTTAATTGTAAAGAAGAGTCGGCTAGATTTCTTAAACAGTTACGCATTTTAAATTCAGGAAGCTGAACATCAACGTATTATGAAGCAGAGAGAAAGCATAGATAAAACAAAGCAGGCATCCATCAGAAGATCTGCATCGGTTCATGGTGAAAGCAGGTTCGCTATGCTATTTGTGTATTTCAAAACGCAAAGGAAGCCTCATTGAATGCTTTGATAGCTACTGCTTTCCATTTAAGATAAAACCAATATCCAGTGATCTAATTTTACGACTGAAATTTAGATCTTGTACATGAATTCCCGTGCCTTTTCTTTGACAAGATTTTTTTCAATTAAAGACCTTTAAGGACATCTAAACGTAAATGGAAGTTCGGCTCGTAAAATGCATATATTTTTTTCATTTTGCAGGCTCCCACTTGAGGACATCAAAAAGAAGATTTGGAGAAACCTAAAGCTTCTAGAAGCACAGGGCCTAGTCACAGCGAAAAATGATTATCAAGATATCGTCAACGCCATTGCTAAAGTATGGATGATATCGAGCTTTCATATTTCTTTCATCATGTTTCATATGTTTCTATATAGAATCAGACTTGGAGCCTTTTTTAAGATTTTAGCTCCATAGATCGGTATTATATGTTACTCAATCGGTTACAGGAAATTGACAACTGATACACTTCATCTGCTGTTGATATACGCCATCTCTTAAATAGCAACCTTAAAAGGTCTGTGTGATTTGAAAACCTGTCCATGGCCAGTTATTATTTGATTGCTTGATCTCTTTTCAAACGTCACATGCAAGACTGTCTGTTGGAAAGTCATTCAAGTTTCGCACGCCTTGATAAAGTTTCTCTGAGAAAACAAGTGGAGCAGAACAGTTACACTTCTCTTTCTCTTTGTTTATTGCCAGAATCTACCCGTATTTTTGTCTTATCTATCCCACCTACGATTGCGTTTTCTTTATTTCGACGAGTCAAAACTAATAGTGGTTGTTTTGTGTATGTCGCTGAAAAGAGAATCTGTCACATCCAGAGCTTAGTTAAATATGTCTCCTTGACCAGCTGGCCTTGCGGCTATACAATTGCATGTGAGGTTTCATTCTCCTGAAAGCATACCAAGGTGTTATGTCCTTTGTTACATATTTGTGATGACATATGTGTGACATTTATCTTTTTGCAGACTTGTGTGAATTTTCAGAAATTTCACTGCAGCCCATCCCACAAGCTTCTAGAAAACGCTTTCCAAATACATGATTCAATTTTCTTCTCAAACCAACTTTTTATCTAATCCTTTTTTATGTTAAAAATAAATCCATGACGACCATTGGATTACATTTTTAAATGAAATATGTTGATAAACTGATATCCAAGACTTAATGGCTATTTTATTATAAGCTGCCTGTCGGTAGAAGTTATATCCGTATTATTTCAAGGAAAAACAATCTTAAGAAACTAGTGGTTACTTTTTCTTGGCCATTTGCTCACTAACTGCTCATAATTTATCAAGTTTATCGCGATTAGCTAATTACGATGTTTTTTCATATTACTTTGGTTGAAGCGGCAATTATTGCAATGAAAATTCATAATGAATTCCTTTTGTCTATTGAAGTCATGTTTATTGGTTTTATTTGCCGCAGACATAAGTCCAGTTGGTCTAAAATCAAACCAAATTTAAGGAGTCTGTTTATTATTATAAAGAGGCTTTTATTGCTTTGATAGCCAGCCAGCTTGTCTCACATTCTATTCTATTAGAAATGTATAAAAATTCCCCTACATTTTCATGTTCAAATGGCACTAAAATGACTCTGTTATTTGCTTTTATCAGCTGTTGAAATAAGTTCCATTTTGATGTACATCAGTAACGTGGCGCTTTCGTGTCAGCTGAGACGTTAAGATTTCCTGCATATTTGCTTTATCCTTTCCATAATTAAAGAATGGCCATTGTTTTCGATTGAATGAAGGCCCCGCCCTTTTCTGTGCCCTCTTTCAAGGATGCTTGTATTAAATTCTGAAGCATCCTCCTATCTTACCTCTCGAAAGCAAAATCGTTGATTATTTTCTATTATGATATCTATTTTATATCAAACACCAATAAAACATCTGGCCAGATATCTCAATTTGACTGCAATCCCATCCTTGTTATCTTAATTGATTTGCTTTCGTCATTGAAAGCTTTCGCCAATTCAGCACTCCCCACAAGGTGGAATATTTCTAGTGTTTTTATACCTTGCTTTGGATAGCAGGGAATCTCAATAAAATCACATTCGAATTTGCTTGAAGGTATTTACATTGTCTCAAGATGTTTCTGTAATTACTCATTATTTCGTGACTTCTCAAAACTAATGTTATCATTTGTCCTGTTTTTCCTTTTACAAGGATATCAGGAACCAACGCCGATATAGACAAAGAAGAAAGCAAGAACTGAAAAAATTAAAGGAAACAGTTGACAATTTAAACCGCAAAGAAAAGTTTTATGAAGAACAGATCGATTATTACAATCAGTACATTAAAGTTTGCCTTGACAATCTGGCCAAAAAGTAAGTTTTAACTTTTTGGATTTCGTGCAGCACCTAGATTCACTCTTCAATAGAAAGAAAATGTAAAAAATGCTTTTCTGTCCCATAAGGAAGGGACCCATAATTCCGCAAACATTACGAAAACGTCCCCGTAAGTAAAAGCCTATTAAGGTAAAAGCCCTCCCCATGAGCCCCCTCCCCCTCACCCCGAGTGTTATACCCAACGGCTTTTCGAATAAATAACGCTAATACCGTAATACCGTAGAAAAAGTGCAAGGGAGGCAACGTCCCCCCTAAGATTCCCTCGGTTATGAGCCTAACCTTCGCCCATTGCATGACTGTCTAGCAATGTATTTAATTCCAATTTAGAAAGTCTTAATCTCTGCTCGACGTCTGTTTCTGTCAGTTTCGTTTTTAGCCTTTGTTGAAAATATCTTTGATTTTGCAAGCTGTTCCTCGTTTTTTTAGAAAAAATACCAAAGCCAAAGCCAAAAAGGGCAAAAAGGAGGAGAAGATCGTGAAAGGCTCCATTAAGTACAGTGGCCAGAAATTATATGAAAAGGGCGTTATTTTAGAGATCGAGGGACTACCGCAAACACAGTAAGTATTTGGTCTGGAAGACTTCATTCGTTTATTTCAACTCTCGGTTTTGTTGTGATCTCAAGTTAGATGTCTCAGAGCTTAAACTTAGCACTTATTTCTGTTGATAGCATTATTAGATCAAGTTTGTATAGAAAACTTAACACAATCACCATAGATGACTTTTACATATATATACATTGAAAAGACAGTGATGTTTCATATTGCGCAGGTTAAAGACTGTACAGTTCTGAAGTTTTCTTTATATTATTAATTGGTTATTGTTCCTGTTTACGACCTTCAGAATGTGTGGTATTCATTGCCATTAAATTATTTTGAGGTAGGTATGGGCGTCCCGTTTGAAGTCCAGAAAACTCAAATCAACACAGGGAACTGCCAGGTCCATGATCTGAACCATAATTTCTCCCTGTTTTAAAGGATATTAAGCTATGGACCCAATAAGTAAACAAACAACTCTATTTCAAATATTCATTTATCTGTTTGTTTTTGTGCGCGCCTTGTCCTTTGTCTCCCGTTCACATTCTATAATAGTTCTGAGCGTTCTCTAAAAAATAACACCCAAACAGTGCCATTATAATCAATAACCATTAGCCAGGTGATTCAACAATTATTACGTTATATTTTAATCTGATATCTTCACTGTCGTGTTCTTGGTTAGAGTGACGTTCTTGGATAAAAGTTGAAATTAAAAATCTACCACAGCAATGAGATATTCATTATCTTGATGAACTTAATCCCATCAAATTCTGCTCGCGACAGTTTTTATCCAATGAATCTCCAATCCTTAAAAGGTTCCGCTAGACGACAAGATTTGTCAGTCCGCAACAAACATCTTGACATCTATCGTACTAAACTTACCTTTTTCTATATCGAAAGCCCGCTAGAAGCGGCTGATGTCTTCAAAATTTCTCTAGACCACCACAGCGCTGCCAGCGTGTTAATATTATCTTTTGCCAGCGTATGAGCTCGTTCAGTCCTTTAAATACTGATGAAATTACAGCCCTGGCTCTTAATCTTATTTTCGTCAAATAACTGACTCATTTTCCGTCACATTTCAGAGCGCTTAAATCAGGAAAGATTGTTGACTGCATATTAACTCATAAAGATGCTTTGCATTCTTATCCACTGATTTCAGGCTTTTGAAATATAGATCAGAAGTTTGTCTGTTTTGGTCATTAATTAACGTGAAGAATATTGCTTTGTGTTTGTTGGAACGATACTCTTGTAGCACGATACTTCATTTAGCGAAATGTTACAGACCTCTTTTAACGCTCCGAAATTAGTAACTTTTTTCCACCTCTGGGTCATATGTTCATGTCCTTTTATGATTTATATCTCTTACTGCTCTGTTGACTTTTACGTATTTGTTTCAATTTGCGGCATACGTCACATATCACGACGATTCTTTTAAAGCAGTTCCAAGCATTATTTGATGATGAGCTCTTGAGTGTCGAGGGAGATTTGTAGGGGAAGGGGGAAGGGGGGTTGCTCAAATGTGATCACCAACTTAAGCTAAAACACATTTAACTCAGAATCTCAAAATTCAGCATTCAGCTATTTAACATTTTCAAGAGCATCACGATCACAAACATTTGTTTTTATCTCGATACCAATAAGTGCACCATTGATGTATTTGCTGGCTATTATCCGTATAAAGATATGTTGCAGACTTACTCGCATAGAGACATAGAGACGTGTTTGCTTGCAAGCTGGCGTTTTGTTTAGATCCTTTTCTGCAAAGTGCATGAGCTAAGTTTACTTGTAATGATTCGTTCAAATAATTACGTCGATGATTGTTTTGCAAATTGGCGTGCAATTATAAGGAAAGTGCCAGTATTCAATGGTTAAGTCTGATCTTATGTAGTCTAGTTTTAACAACTAACTGAACTCAACTGTCGTGGAATTGGGAAACCGGTCAGGCGAAAATGTCAAGCATATCCGTCTCAGGTGGCTTTTCTGTCATTTTGTGTAGCCAATTACTGGCACGTGATGTGGCGCCTATCCTATATCTAACATAATGCCAACCATGTTGGTCCGTTTTTGGACCCCATGCAGCTATAAACACCACAAAAAATTTTAAAAGATACGCTGTTATCCTAATTGCTTTCTGTTTTCTTAATTAAGTAAGTTACAAGCATAAATTTCTGTTAGAGTTAAAAACTAGCTGTCGACGTACCAGTCTGTCACTGGACATTTCACTTTGACCTTTCACTTCTGAAACTTGCCTATGTTGATTGCAATTATGTATCACATTATTTTCCTAATTAATTTTGACGTTGAAGACCTGCCTGTCATCCTAGTTGGGATTTCGGCTAGGGATATTTTAATCGTTTCCTTCTGATATAAATAAGCTAAATTCTAACCTCTTTACTTTGATGCGATTGAGTTATTCCCAAAGGTTTACACTGAAAGTAACCAATTAAGAATTTATTTCCATTCCTCAATAAATTTGTCGTACAGTTTCTCTTGATTTGGCCACCAGTTATTGTTGCCAGTGCGACAGTAGTGGTAAAATTACAAAAACAATGCTTATGGTAGAGGATTGATCTGAACATGAAATATCATTTAAGAAAAGCATCTAATAATGTGAAGTTTGTCGTAATTAGGCAACAGACACTGTACAGTGAGACTTTTATCTTTGCTTTTAAATGGCTATGCGACTCCTAGAATTTTACGCATGTGCTAAGCAGCTTAAATATGGTATGTGCAAATATCTGAACCTGCTGCTAGCTAACGCTATAACTGAATCATTGAAGATGTCTCTCAGCATGAAGAATACGAGGCCAACCTCGATGCAAATTAATAACTGCGCAGCGCGATGGTTAATTCAATACACTCGTAACTGTGGATGTACTTTGTTTCCAGGCAGGGTAGCCTTTGTGTAACTTCTCCCTTCATTGTACCAGCCTTGTTTATAGCTGAGGATCATCACCGTTTTATGCGTAAACAAACTGTAAAATACAAAGAGTTGATCAAGGTTATTAGAATCGTAAATGCTGGTATAATAAGTTCATATGATGTGCAGAACTGCGTCGCAGCGTGATCGGAGAATAAGTGGAACCTCGATGAAATTACCGTTGATGCAACCGGGTGGTCTTTCATTTCTTGAAAATGTTTTATTAGAAGATTCAAAAGGTTTCTGCCCATGTTAATAGACACCTTCCAGAGACACCATTCTTGCTTTTTGATGGTTTTAATCTCCAAACAATTTTTATTCCTGGTGCAGTTATTAAAAGAAGATAATTAGAATGTTTTCCAAAAAGCGCTCAAGATTGTGAAGACATGTAGCTGGAGACCATCTTTAGACCACATTTGAAGCTTCCCCATTGAGACATGCAAATTGGGTTTAACTCCGTTAATTTGTCGTTGTTTGACGTGTGAAACACAGGCTATTAGTTAACCCTAACAATATTGAATAACAAACTTATTTATATTACTGATTTTCACTGATGTCTTAAAAAGTATTCTATGATTCATCTCCCTTTATAAAGCTCTACTCTTATTAAAAAGGGAAAGAAAGTATACAATTATTGCGGGAGCACTCATAAACATTTTTCCTCTACGACATTTAAACTCATTATCATATTCGAACATGTTACTTTTGAGTTGGCCTTTAAGTAATATTTCACCCAGAGACGCAGGAACCAATGGCCCCAGAGTCACCAAGCCACCCCACCTCTCCCGCCCCAAGATTTTTAAAGAAGGATTAAATGGCCTGTAAGTTTGGTTTTCTGCCGTCACAGTGCCCTTTATGCCAATGTATTGGTGACTGCTGATCGTGATAAGTGCCCTTCAAAAATTTCTGAACCACCTCACCCCTTCCCCGAGGCATAAGTGCTTCTTATGTACTTGGCATTTGCAAACAAACAAAAGGAAATCGATTGTCGGTCGGCCCATACACGCGCTCTGGGCACCACTGCAAGGGGTCATGTAGCAAACTGTATTCATAATATGACATTCTGTATTCTTTTTATTTTAGATTCAAAAATGTACTTTTTGAGATCACTGCCGGCGATGAGATTGGTCTTTTCCAAGTTTCTGCACGATTTATGGGTGTTGCCATGGAGAAAGTGGAACTTGTTTTCCAGGTAATCGCCAATAAATGTCACCTTGTTTTATCCTCAGAATTTTTGCAGGTCTTATCCTTAACCAATCGCCGTTTGGTTTTAGTCTCAAAACCCTTTTTCGGGCCTTGTTTTATTTCGAGAATTATTCTACATTTAGCGTAAAGCAGCAACCATGGTGGGCAAATCGATTAGTATTTGGAAATTTTTTGGTGTAAAGTAAAGAGCTGCTGACTGGTTTATTGTTATCTTACGATCTAAATGTCACATATATCTTTGCTTCTATCTAAACTTATCCATGTTTTTCAACTCAAGATCCACGATAAGAGCTTAATGACGATCACAGGCTAGTGATTTCCATGTGATTTAAATTGCACAAGTGAAATCTTAATTTAACCTACGTGGGTATCAATTTAACTTCGACAAAATGCTTTATCGAATTAAGCCACATTTTCACCAAAAACAGGATCAGTCGCGCCTTAATTTACTTCAATTCTTTAAAGAGATAATCAAGTTTGCTTTTGCCTTTAGGCCTTCTTTTAGCTGCGTATAACATTTTTCTTTTCTTTTTATTCAACCCGGTGTTTATTTTTGGTGCCAAGAATTTAGAAATTTAGAGGAGAATTTAGAAATTAAAAAGAAAATGCTTTTTAATTTATTTTAACTCTGGACCCTGTCTGTTCTGAGAAAGTTCCCAATCGCTAGAGATAACGTATATTTATGTCCTTTCTCCAATATATTACTCACTGGCTTTCTTTGATTGCAAAAACAGCTTCTAGCGCCCAGTGTAAAGCGATTAAATCCATGCGGCTGTGTTATTGGCCTTGCTGTAATAGAGTTTTGCCATCCCTTTTATTATTTCTCTTATGCCCAGTCTTTGTAGACATTCGACGCATATCGCTGTTAATATTCTATTGAGTTCTTCTAGCATTCGCGCCAAGACGCTGCTTGAAATTAAACAAGAAGCTTTGTTTTGTTTCAAATTAATCCAGAGCCTCTGATAGTTTATTACATCTTCCCTTTTGAATCCAGTTCTTCCACCAAATCCTCATCTTGGGGTTTTATGCCGTAAGACAGCACCACATCTCAATTGTCTAATTGTTTAATAGACAAGAATTCTCATCTTGATTTGTCAAGATTAGGATTTCTGATCCAAAACCCGTCGTTCCTTCGGATTGGATTAACAGGCATAAGGAGTTTTCCTATTGTTGGTTTGATTTATTGCAACACCAGCCTTGTTAATAAAGAGACTTTTCTAAATTGCAACTGTATATTACTTTTAATTTAATTACGAAGCACAGTTTGAGCATAGCTAAAAAGTAAGGGATTAAACAAGGACTTCATCTGTTCATAGACAAATTGACTGTAACTTATAGAAAATGAAAGCTCCGGCCCTGGTATCCTGTCTAGCCAAAGTGCATCATATCATTTTTCCGTTGACATGAACTTTTTTGATTGTGAGCCTAACTTTGTTCAAGCCCCCTCTTCTTTTCATGTAGATCAATCTGTACCGGCCTCCCTCCTGTGTTCACCACAACTAGCATAGAGAGTTGTTGTTGTTGCATATTTATTTTACATCGATTACAAAATAGTTAGTCCACAAAATACAAATTTACAAGTAAGCTAATCTAAATCGATGGCAAGATAAATAGAGGTCCTTAGATCATTGTCATTCTCGTATCTACTGCTTCCACGTCATGCTGGCAGGCGTTTCTTTTTCCCACAACCCTCGTAATTAAATGCGTCACGGCTATAAATGCTCGTTACATGATACCCTTATATCAATTAGCTTCAGAAACGTGATTTCGAAAGCTTTTTCAATGAATCAATAAGCAGCTACTTTTCTTTAGTGTAGAACATTTATATAACGCCATTGGTTATATGATGTAGCTCCTACTTTAATCGTATTTTCTCTGCTTAGGATCTGCTGCAATTGCAGTACGAGGGGATAGCTGTTATGAAGATGTTTGGAAAGGCAAAAATCAACGTGAATCTGCTTATCTTTTTGGTAAACAAGAAATTCTATGGCAAATAATTCGGGTAATAAAGAAAAACTGCTGACTATGTTGTCAGTTATTCAATCGTTGAATTATCTAGACTAACAAACCTTACCAATCGATTTTTGTACCACTGCTGTCACAAAGAAATAATTTTGTAAATTGATGACCGAATTGTCTGATTTATGATTGACATTTATCATACATCAAATCTAAGGCGATAGTGATTTATGCAATCCAACATTTTTGTATTACTTACAGAAGCATTGTGAAATGAATTCATAGATTTGGTTCTTAGATTCTATATTTAAGTGAAAATCAAATCTCCTTCTCTTCGTTATTGGTTCTTGTGTTTTCTTGTTGCATTACGTCATAGTGGAAGAATCCTTGCAGCAAGCTCGTTAGTTGCGAAAGAAACTATGTTGCTCCAATTATTAGTCGGTCTCAGATCAATTAGAAAATTTAAGATTGCTGTTCGTTTGTAAGTCATGAACCAAAATTGTAAGTTGCTGGCTCTAAGAACCATAGCAAAACTGTTTCATTAGAATTTGTTTTTTATTAATTTTTCAAAATTCATTTGGTTGGAAAGCCTGCGCAACAGGTTTCTTTCGTTCTATACCTGAGCGGATTCAACAATAAAATTGAGTTTTGTTAGGCTAAAGATTTGAAACGAAAACTCTGTGAACGATTTTTACTGAGCTGTTGTATTTTCTTAGAAGAAAAGAATTATCGATATTTTGATTGTGCAGCGCATGAAAATATCGTCTATTGTTTTTGGATGGTTATTTATTTGCCATCAACCTTATTCGAGTCTCGAAATTGCTTAACCGTTTGCAGTTGTAAAGAGGTTTTTTTCAAAATATAACAAATGATCGGACATTGTAGGTGCTTTGTGAAATTTCGTTTAATAATCTTTTTTATTAAATTCTTATTGATTTATTGATCTTTAACGGTATGCAGTCACAAAGAGTTTTTGCCACGAAACCGCGAAATTCTCAATCGTTGCCTGCCCTTCCATGAATGAAAACCCGCCGTAAAATGGGATTATGTGTTGTAATTATCTGTTCAAGTACGGAATTAAATCCAACAAAATAATGTTACTATATAAACATCAGGAAGTATTTTTATATTAATTCAATTTGCTGTTCACGGAACACTTCCGGACTTCTCCAGTAAACAGGCTGCTACTAGAGGTCTGATGAAATGAATTTACTAACGAATTAAAGCCGAATAGGAACGTGGCAAAATGAAATCCGAAACTAGTGTATTCAAAAAAGAGATATCTAATTAATTTTGCTTGATAAAATGATTTCTTGCTGCAGAGTTGAAGAATGTCCTGTAAGTTACTTTTTTCTTGTTAGGCTTTTTTGTTTTGTTTTTCCAAAAATAACAAGAAGCATAGAAGCACAAGAACGCAACATTGCATAAAATAACATATCATAACATAGCGTAGCAAACATAACATATCATAACATAAAATAACATAACATACCATAACACAACATAACATAACATAAAGTAACATAATATAACATAACATAACATAACAGCATAACATAACAGCATAATATAACAACATAGCATAACACAACATAACATAAACATAATATAACATAATAGAGTCTTTTTCGAGCCTTTTCTTGACGTTGAGGGTGATCAGAACTTGTTCATTGCCTTTGGTCATCTTTGGGCTTTGTTCTGATAGACAGCTTCTTAAAAAAGAACGAAATGAATGTACGATTGTCCAGCACGGTTAAAGAAGACACATTCTGGGCTTTGCCTTTTCTGCAAAAAATATCAGGAGACCATTGAGAATTGAAAAACAATTGCATAACGATTCTCAATCAAATCTGCTACCATGCAGAAGAATTGCACGATTTTCAGTCCCGAGGGGTGTTTCGTTGGTGCAATGGTTTTATAGTTGTAGTGTTTCCGTAGAGGAGCAGCAAAGTTAAGTCAATAAACTATCATACGTAGATTACAGTACTGTACACTCCGCGCCTTTCGAAGCACTGCAAAGGGAATTCTATTACTATGCTGATTTAATAGAACTCGCTGTAACAAAATAGTGGAACTCGAAAGAATTGCAAGGAAGGCTTGAAGCGTATTTTGAATGCTCAAACGGCTGACAGCATGCGTTTCCTTAGCTTTGACAGATTATCGAGGTTAGTAAAACTTTGTAGCTTGATTTCATACTAGAAGAAGTAAATTTCGGTTCGAACGAAGATAAAAAAGAGAAAACGTTTTTAAAAGACAGAAGACATTAACCATTCACATGCTCTTAAATCACGTTAGGCCAATTCAGTTGGTCTCTTTGAAAGGAAAGAATGCAATCCCCAAAATTCTTTTTCTTCGGGATTTCTCAACTTTCTTGTGAGTGAAAAAACTTGCGAGATAGAAAAATTATTAATTTGAAGCGAATGTAACAGTAACTGTATTAGATTTTAGACTTCTTTTTTACGACGTTTCAAGTAGGCACAACTTCAGGAGTCCTATAGGCAGTGTTTCAATTTCCATTCTTTGTCTAGATATTGACGAACCTTTAAAACGACTATGATAATCATTAAATCCTTTTTTGTTCCCTATAAATGCTAAGTTCAATAAATAAGATTAGGGCGACGCGTTACAAGAAAGTTAACATTTAAACTATTTGAAGAAAAACAATGGTGGCTGACTAAGTTGAGTAGGGCAAGACACTAGTTGAAAACTATTGCGTAAGAAACATATTGTTAACTATAAAATGTTTCTTTCCAGTATGTTGAGATTGAAACTGTCCTTCTTGTCCCCATCGCCTTTTTTGAGAACATATCATCAAAACTCGTCGCTTTTCGGTGCTATCAGTCGCTTTGAGAAGGTGCAGAATTTGAAGAAAGTTGACGCAAGTTGCAGGCCTTTATCGGTTTGCAGCTTTGCGGAATCGACCGTATTTTCGACTGCAGCTCATAGATTTTGTGATTTTTCAGCGGGTTACGGCTTCTTCAATTTAAGTGAATAGCGCAAGCTTGCAGCAGCGCGAAGTGCAACCGCGGTGGTTTCCGTAACATCGGCTTTTATACTGAGTCTGCGGAAGCAAATACCATAATTATACTATCTTCATGTATCCTCAAGAGGTATCTTCAAGAGGTCTAGAGAATGATGTAAATATGAGGATTTGATGGACGGTTTGAGTTGTGATATTCGAACAAATTATGTCGAGTGACTTACGTGGTTCATAAAGATTAAGAGTCTCCCTGAATATTCATTATGGGCTTGGGTCTTTCAAGATATACTTACTCTCGCTTTTTTAAGGAAACTATTCGTTTACTGAGAGTATTCAAAGAACTGGTGGTTCAAGGAAGTACCGATCACTTATATAAGTCTCCGTCAAGTTTTGTGCCATCTATACAATAGTCGATGTGAGTCTCCTTGGGCCTAATTAAGATTGCTGCAAATGTTGTTTTGATACAAAATATGCGTTTACAAAATGCCCATCTGAAAGCTATTTAATTTCTACCTAATCGTAAAACCCATTTAAAGGACATGGGACCACCCAAATTTAACAACATAAGGCACAATTTTTTTAAATAGTTTTATTAACGACTTTTAAAAGTACATGATGGCTTTTCAAAATTCTGCACTTTTTGCTTTGCTTTTAACGATTTACTGAACATTTTGCATCCAAACTGTGATAGCTGGCCATCTACTTGCAACAACAACAACGACCTTCAGTGACGTAATGTTTTTAACATCAAATGATACATTCACTGAATATGGGCATCGTTTGATTAAAAAGCCGTTGGTAGTTTCTTAGAAGAGGTAATCAATTATCTTGATTAACACGATGATATGCTTCTTACATATTGCGACCAAATGTTGTTTACATCAGCAAGAAAAACCCACCGTGCGTTCTTTATTTTCATCGCAATGCATTCATCCAATTAACCCATAACTAATTATTCTAAAATGAATATCGCCTTTCAAATATCAAGGCTTATGACAAATGACGACTAGTTCATAACTCATCATCTCTTCCTTATTACAACTAATTTTTTCATTAGATTACTTCATTCGCTATGGTGATTTTTAATAGAAGATCTTCTTACAAGCTTGACATGATTCGATTCCTTTTATGAACATCACCTTTGTTTTCACCTTTTCGTGGAAAGCCAAAAAATAGAACCTGATCTTTTGGCTAATCAGCAAATAAAAGATTCTGCCCTGGATGTAGATTATCTTAATGAAAATTCCCAGATTTCATTGGATTTACTAGCCAGGTGTTCGGATTAATTTCAATGATACATTCAAAATCCCATATTAGATTCCAAATTAGATAGTATAATGTGCCAGTGTTTAGCTTCACGTGAATATATAGCACTATGTTTGATAGACAATGCCGCTCAGTCGATTCCTATCGCAAAATCGTAAACAAGAAAGAACGTTGTTTTGTATTACTTACCCCTATTGAGTCCTACTTCTAACGTATGATCTAGGCGAGCGGTGCATTTAGGCCTGCCAAACATACACATTCAAAAGTTAGCAGATTTGCGGCAATATCTTTACCACTCCTCAATTGAATCAACATTGTAGTTTTTCGAACAGCAGTGCCAAAAGCAATTCTATTTTTGTCGTTATAAGACATGTTTTATTTATTTTTCATTTCATTTGATATGAAATACTCAGCCACTATAATTAGTTGTTTATTTTGCCAATTCCATATGATGCTTGGCAATGGATAAAGCTAAATTGCCTCTATGTACAGGTACAAACTTCCATTCTAAAATTTGACAAATCATTTTGAATTTGCCAATACTTTATTCTCAGGATCAAATTTGCTTTTTTAGAAGTCTAGATTTAGTTCCTTGATTTATATTGGAAATTAAAAAATTCATAAGGACTGGACTGGTAATAGGACTGGTAAAATAAAGGAATTTTTAACACTCCTCATAGCTCTATATTATTTTTTGCAAAAACATTTTAGGCCTTCCGCATCTTGAATAGAATTAAAAAATGATATGACTGAATCTAAAAGTATTCGTAACATCTATGATATTTCAGGGTCAAGAATTGTCACCCATCACATGCTACTTTATGGTTAGTTGGGAATCGTTCTGTACTCTTCTCTTATTTCGAAGAACAATTTCATCAAAGATTTTTCACTGTTGCTTTCTTTTGCAACATGCAGAAATTCAATGCAGAAACACAAGATATTATCTATGCCAAACTCAATCGTCATCTACACTACTATATACAAAAATATGCTTGTTATGTAACATTTCTATCAGGACTGCATACTTGCGAATAAATGGAGCTTGTTCATATTTAAACATAAGAACATCATAATAAATTCAGCTACCTCTTAAGGGCATTTGCTTCTTAGATTATAAAACAGTGAATTCGTCAAAATTTTGTTGTTAGGATCGGTCATGGTCATGTTTTCGAAGTAGCATGAAGCAAAAATGAAACCACCTCAAATAAATAGGTTACTACACCTTAAAAACTTTTTATGTTCCTTTCATTTACTTAAAGGAAGGCTAAGTTTTATTTTGTAAATGTTAATAACCAATTTATAAAAGTTTTTGTTGCCAACGATTATCTTCCTATCGAACAAACTAAGTCAACTTATAAGAATTAATTAAGAATCTATAACTACTTGAGAAAGTTCAATGCCACAAAACTATATTTTTGGATTTACCAATCTCATGATAGATTTTGTAAAAAGGACGCTTTTTGTAATGCACAACTTTTTATAAAGTTTATAAAAATATTGACGCTCTAAATACTTGAAATTTAAGAATTAATCAAAATATTCTTGATAATTTATCAAAAAGATTTGAACTATCCTTGCCAAACTAAGAATGATTGAAGATTAGTTCTAGGCTCAAAACAAAAATTTCTCAAGAATTTTGAGGCTCGGCAGAAATTTACTCTTTATATAAAAAAATTCGTGTAAAGGTTTCTATGAATAACTAGTAATAAGAGCCTTCAGTTTAGATGTAGGGTAAATTGGGTGTTTTGTCTAATTTATGCAAGTTTGTAACAATTCAAGAATATATTTAGAAAGATCAATAGTTTTTGCCGTATCCGTTGATAACAAGAGAGTCTGAGTGATATGTGGGGCGTGAGTGGAGGTCTCCGTAGCTATGGCGCCTGCTGATGTATGGTAGATCAGAAGATGCCCTTATCATGGACGGCGGCGATATAGTTCTCTTTGTTGCTCTTTCGTGCACAATGTTTGCTTTTAGGTAATATGGGTCATCGCAAGGAACAATGCCATGGGTGTGTTCTTGGCGCCAACGCATGTCGCCATGGTGACAGCAAGTACAAGTGGCTACCTGGCAAGGACTTGATGAGATCTGAGAATACGGCGTCTGAAATGGCCTGCTTGGTGCGTCGTTTGCGTGACTGTAAGAGCCTCGAATCTCGGCTATTGCATCATTGATTGAATACGAAGCACGCGGACGTGGATTGCCGTAAAGCCTTTCTTCGCTTTCCGGAATACGCTCTTTCTTCCTCCATTTAGCGCGTCTGTTTTGAAACCAAACCTATGGGAGCCAAAAAAAAGATGAAGATTTAACTTGGCAATGAAAGAAATTTATTCTAATAGCATCGGTTCCTTATTCAATTCTAAAACTTTTTTCCAAGTAATCATATAACTGACAAAAAGACTACAACTACATCTTCCCCTTCTTAATTATAGAAAAAAAATTAAAGATATTTGCAACCTTGTTTAAATTATTTTGAATTACAAAAAACTGCTCACTCATTCCTTAAGAATAAAAAGCCTGTTATATAGTTGTTTTGACTTGGCTTTTATTCGATAAGCGTCAGAAAAGGCAAGGATACAAACGACAAACGCGACGCCAAGTACTATGGCAGTAAAGAGATACTGCAAGGCCTGCACTGTGCTTTGTCTGCATTGAAACCATATGTTTATCTTTAGTATTTGTCTAAAGGTGTAATGATTAGAAGCATGTTATATCGAAGGCAAAATCATTGACTACGTGTAGATAATCTGACTTAAAACACAAATCTTGTATTGCTTCGTACCTGCACTCTTGCTTCGCTGAGGTCCAGCCTCATAGCTAGTTCTTCTCTCATGAATACATCTGGATATTGTGTCTTCTCGAACGCTCTTTCTAATTGATGCAGCTGATATGTTGTGAATGTTGTCCGGCTTCTTCTGATTTTTCTTGGTTTTTCTTCACTTTCAGTGCTGTTCACAAAAGACTCTTCCTCGCTGCACGAATTGCTAGTTTCATCGATATTCTTTGTCTCAGATGTTGCTTGATGCTCTCTCTCTGCAGACAGTTCGTTGTCAGAGTCGACTACAAAACATTTGATATCACGATAACTTGCTTGCTAGGTTGTTATGATGGAAACAATTGTTGTATGCTATTTTAGCAGTTCTAAAGGTTTTGTGCAAGAAGCAATCGTTGCAACATCTTTCAACAGTTATGTTTAAATTTGAAAGCATATAGTATATATAGCCTAGATAGCATATTCAGCTATATTTAAGCAATAGGTTTTTAGAAAATGTAACCGTATATTCTACGAGAATGCCAACTGAAACAGAGACAGACTAAACAGTGTTCTAACTAAATCAGTTGTTCCGAGGAATCTCGGAAAATCCATATGTTCTTAGAAATGAAACATTAGTGAATGATTGTAAGTTGAAGAATTCTGTGGACGAATTTTGTTCAAATATAAAGTAGTTCAATTTTGTCTTTAAGAAAAGTGATTTTCTACATTTATGTAAAGAGTTTCTGTTCTACTGTTTTCGTTCAACGTATGCAAGTAAATTGAGAATATGCACAAATTACATGCATCACAACAGTTACTTCTGTTCACAAGACTGCTTTGATTATACTATGCAAATATAAAGACAGTAGCTTAAAAAATGCCGGCAGCAGGAATACCCTATAATCAACTTCATACTATAGTCGGGGAGGGACTTGTGTGTTGGAGAGGGTAGTGCATCAAAAGATTATCCCAAATACATAATATAATATCATCGTTACCAGTGCAATATTTTAATCCAGAATTTGAAAATTTCAATTTTAACTGCACTTTGTCAACGCTGAGAATATATTATCTAGCTTCAAGGATGCAAATTAATTTAGTCAGAAAGGTAGATAAAGCGCCTAAAAATCTTTGCTGCCATGTTGTTTCAATAAAACAGGTGTTAAGAGTGATTTCTTTATAACCAAATCATTAATAACCTTGTCTCGTAAACAACATTCCGTACCAAAAAACTGAAGCAAATTAAGTTTCCTGCTAAGCTGCCATGTAATGTGTTCATATCCTTTCAAAATGGCGATTCTTTTTACAGATAGTCATCTCCTATAATTTTATAATTTTGTGATAGACCACAGATCAATTAAGTTTTCTATGATTATTAAAAATAGTCTCCAAAGCAACTTAAGGTTGTTGTCTAACAAAATTGAAAAAGATAAAAGAAAATGTTTTATCTGCTTTTGCTAAAAAAGAACATCATGGAGCAATCTCAATACGTATTGAAAATCCTTTTTATTTTCGTTAAGCTTTTCATAAAATATATTCGATATAACACGCTATCGACGAGAGCTTTAAAATTGAAAAGCTTCCAAACTGAGAGCAAACAACCCTCTCTTTGACTTGGCAAAACATTTTACAATGTGCTGCTCTTTAAGAATCGTTTGGGAAATTTTATTTGGTAAACTTTCCAGAATTATGAGATGTTTTTAATCTTCAAAAGCATAACGAAAACTGGTAAATATAATTGGCATCTACAGTAAATTTATAGATACAAGATATTAATTTTTGCATCAAGAGAGCAAAAATGGGGGTTCAAACGTTGACAATGTTTTAACGAAGCTAACCCCAAGATCTTTTCCAAGCAATAGGATACCAATTTCAGGTGCTCAGTTCACTCAAACAGTACAATTTCTAACAAGAAAAAACAATTAATCTCTTAGTTATAGCAACAACCTTACCTATATAATGATACGAATATACTTCAATTGTATATACAAACTTGAAAGATAGCTTATGATGTAGCGTTTTGAAGATAACCAAAGCTAAAGGCATTTAAAACATCAAATCCATGAGCTTGAATGTGAAAATCTGCCGTAAAGCTAAAGAAAATTCAGGGTCTAAATAGAATATAATGACTGTTTAAGAGAGGTACATATAGGTACTTGCTGGTGTTGCAAAGGCCAATGCAGACTCTACATTCATTGATAAGTTACTAGCAATACTTATAAATCTTCTTTTATTTCCAGTTATGATTCGTTTTGTTCAAGTCATTCGGGTTTCATTTGACTTTTATCGAAGGTACAATACCTTATTTCTGATCGTTGCATACAATTATAATAGTTCTTTAGCAAAGAACAGCAAATTTTTTTTGATTCATAAAAAAAGCTACTTCGTCAAAAGAACCCATTTTTCCAGACTTTTCTGAATGACTGTAAAATGCAGTACTTGAAAATCTTCAAAGCACCCTACATATATGTTCTGTTCCTCTTTTACTTCTTCAAATGATTATTATAGCTTCAGTAACACCCTTTCCCTCAAACACATCGAATGCTCTGGTCATACAGAAAACATGCACAACGTATCTTTCTTTGTTGTAAACCAATGTTGTTTCAAAGGGGAGAAGATGGTCGAATGTTAGAATGGAATTTTGCGTTTGTATTCCAGAGCTTTTGGCTCTGATCGGAAAAGTGCTACGGGCAAGGGTGTGTTTAATCAGATGTTAATGGAAGGCTGTGCATGCATGGATTTTATCGACCACTATCGTTCGATTCGATCGTTTCTCTTCCTTGTCATGATTTATGCACATACCCAAATGCTTACACAGTTCATTTCGCACGGAACTGTCAGTGGATTATTGTTGCTGTCATAAACTTAGCATTTTAGTTAACTGTCACCATTACCTCCCATATATTCTTTTCAAAGTACTATTATCGGTAGATGAAGAACTGCTTTAAAAAGAACATTGCAACACTCTCTTTCACTTTGCTTGCATGAAAAATTGCAAAAATAACAAATGTGTTACTTGTTAAAATAATTATTCATTAGGCTAAAAGAAACTTAGAAAATACAACAAAATATTATGTTGAATTTTTCTATTTACTGTATTATCAAATACTTTTGAAGAATGCCAATGAGCTTATACAGAATAGAGATATTCACAGTAATGTATGAAAAATGTATCTTCAAGAGTTTCTAGAAATCCAAAGAGAAGTCTTCAGATCTTTAGATAAACTCTCAAACAACCTTATCTCAAAAAATGACCTCCCATTTTTGAAGATCAGGTTCGGAAATAAGTTTCTATATACCACAAAGTATAGTTGTTTTATTTTTTGATGCCAGAAATACCTAAGGTATGATACTACCAATGTGTTGGTGATAATTTTATATTCATTAGCTTTCATATACTTATCTAAATTGTTGAATTCTGATAGATCAAAAAGCCTCGTCCAATGACCTGTATGGTGATATCTACATCGTAAGGGAAAAACAACGATATATTATGTATGATTACTGAAATAGTAATGAGTATGTGTAGTACTTTAGATGAATCTTTGATGAGGCTTTTTTAGTAAACCAATTTTTATGGTTATGCTTTGGTTCACAGATTTATCATAAGAAAGGACACTGAGAACATAAATAAATTGCTATGTGAATCAGGCAACAAGATTTTAAGCAGTGTTAGAGATTCAGGAAAATTCACACTCTGTTTTCTCTCTCAATCACTCGCCCCGTTCATCCATACAAATCTTCTTGAGGAAGACAGTGTGAATGAAAAGAAGATTACGTACAAAATGCGAGTAGGTCATGCCATGCAATTAAAATCCTGTTCTTAGCGAGAAGGATAAAATAACAGCGTTCAAATAACGCACAATAAACCAATAAAAGTAAGCTCTATAGCATGCAAATTAGTCGATTATAAATTATAACTGCTAGGATATAGCTTATCCTTTTACACAATCGCGATTTGCATGATATTGTGGCATCACAGTGCCAATTCAAATGAACGAAAGAATCAACGCGGGATTTATAGCTGGGTAGCCACTGCTAGTGTCTTTTGTAATCGAAGTCAAATTTTAATCCAATATCAAGGCAACATCCTACTGCAAGTGGAATTTGGGATTTGTGTTAAATTTCTTTGAGCCTCAGTTTTATTGATCATTCACAATATGTCGTGGCTGATGTGAAAAAGCATTTAGCGCTCAACATGGAGTGTCGGAAGACATATTGTCTTATTTGGGTGTGTGATAAAAGAAAACATTGCTGTTTAATTATAAAAAACTCTGCCGAAAGAATAGACCATCCTTGAAGATCACGAGGCGCTCAAAAACTAACGTTGTACGAGATATCTTCTATAGACGAAATAGAGTAGAATCTTAGTTTGCATTGCACAGCTTTGTTACAACACCAGTGCTGCAGCATTTTTAATTCGATTCTTATCTTGTATGTTTGAAATAATATGTGTAATAAATCAGCCACCAGGAGTTTGTTAATAGAGGTTTATAATACGACAAAACCAAAAGAAAAACTAATATATGTAGTCATAAAATATAATGATAAAGTTTAAAACAATTTAATCCATTAAGATTATCTGGATGAAAATCAAAATCTTGACATTTCAAATGCGATTTCTATATAAAAAGATTTGTGGAAAATGGAATTGTTGTTTATTTTTATTTGAAGGTCCCGAAAGCGAATTCCTTAAAGTGTTCACATTATATTTGAAAGTATTAATCAAATGATTAAAAATCACTTTTGATAAGGAGACAATGCTGCTTCTCTTTGAAGCGATGAAGTTAATGTGTTTGTGCAAAGGAAACATAGGCGATCAAAAACAACGAACAGGGTGAGGCATTTGAAGCAAAGTTGATATTTGATGGTACCTTCTGCATTTCTTGCACAAAAACGGGTGTGTTTTCAATGTGTGGTACTGGCAGCTTCTATTTCATATTTACGTTATATTTGGCACACAACACAATGTGGTTATGTACAAAATTTTTGGTGCTAAGCACTCAGATCTTCTAAACTTATCCAAATTTTGGTTTATTATTGTTTCTTCCGTACAGCAAACTTCACCTTAAATGATTTCTATTTTTTCAATATACTTGACTTACACTTTTGATATTAAGTTTTATGGCAAACAAGGTTTGGTAGGGTCTACATGTTTAAAGGTACAGTAGCCTGTCCCCTCCGTGATTGGATAATTCTTACTGGAAAGCCTCGCCTTCAGAAGGTCTTCCACAGCCTTTTAAGCATCCAACCTTAGTTATTGTGGGTAAACGCGACAGAAAATGCCTAATCTTTTTATCATCGA